GTGTCAGTGTAGTAAGTGCTGCTACAGGACCCGTTAAACACCTGACCGTGGTTGACGGGAACGTGAAATCTCTGTTGACATTAACAAGGAATGAAGTGCCACTTGATATTAACATCGGCAGTCATACACCTCTAGTCGAAATAAAAGATCCAGATAAAACTGTCACCGTTTCACTTAGTCCAGGTGTGGCTGTCCTGAATAGTGACAAATGGACTTCAGTAAGGAGAAAAAGAAATGGGAAAAAAAAGACTGTAGGCAAAACGCAGCTGGTCAGAAGAAAAATCCTCACTGCGTGGCAAGACAGATCTCTCTGAGAGATCAGTCATTTTTCATAAGATAAGAGAATCTTCAGATAAAGAACTAAAGGCGAGGTTTGAACACGATCTCAATCATATTAAGACATCATTAAGTAAACTACTCCCAGATACAGTTTCAGGAGTTAGTATTTGTAAGCTTTATAGAATAGGAAAAAAGGTGGATTCCGAAAGTCCTCCGAAAAACCGCCTCCCGAAGGTTAAATTCAACGCGGTGGAAGAAAGGAACCTGATTCTAAGTAATTCACGTAAACTGATAGGATCCAGAATATATGTCCGCGAGGATCTCAGCCTAGCAGGTCGTATTAGGAGACGAGCTGCAGAAGCGGAAATGAATGAACGTCGCCAAAAAGGGGAACGAAACCTTGTTCTTAAGGGTTTTCAAAACGATCCCCAAGCCACTCTGGGTGGCAAGGGAAAGCTCTCCACAGACTTAAAGGTATGCTACACAAATGCTCGCAGCCTACTAAATAAAATGGCGGAGATCAAGTCAGTGGTGGATAAAGAAAAACCGGACGTTATTACTGTCTCGGAAACTTGGTTAACGTCAGAAGTATTAGATAGTGAAATCTAGTTGACTGGTTTCATAACCAGTAGGGCTGATAGATTAAACCGTAGGGGAGGCGGGGTTATTATGTACACGAAAAGTACCTTAACCATAAGATTAGCCGAGACAGTAGCACATGTTTCAGGGACATGTGAACTGGTGAGATGTAAGTTGAAATAACAACGGCAAGATATTGAAGTAGTTGTAGCATATCGCAGTCCAGAATGTGTAGCAGATGATTTTCTCTTAAGTAAACTTAAGTGTAGGATCCAAACTACGGTTTGGATGTTGAAGAATAGCCTACCGGGGACTTTAGACACGCGCCCTTTCCCGTCGAAATCAGAACAAGTAATCGGGTAACTAGCGGTTCTAAACAAATATTATCACCCGGCTATTCAGCCAATGATTGTTCAATCAATTAAATCAATCACAACAAATGAACGCTATTCTATCCTGACTGGATAGATCACACACAACAGGAGGAACAAATCAATATGGCTACCGCCAAGAACAAGTGTCAAGTAAAACAACGCAGATGCAGTTCAGGAAGAAACACAAACTTAGTGAATGCGTAATAAAAACAAAAATACAAATATTAACAATTCAAATGTAATCAAAATACAACAATGTACAACTAATGTGATCAATAGGAATAAAGTACAAGTATATACATGGAGGGATTTTCACCAACACATAAAACCTTCAAAATGGATCTTACATTAAGTCCTGGTGTAACAACGGTAAAGGTCTTGTAGTAGACGACTTTAATGCACCACATATAAACTGCGTTAATTTAGAAGTAGAGTCATCCATATCGTCGTTCGACTGCAAACTATTAGAAACCTCGATTGTATTAGCATTATTCCACCACATTAGAAGTCCGACAAGATACGACTTAAGAAACTCTTCCTCTCTTTTAGATTTAGTTTTCACACATGGTGATGACGTTGGTCAAATGGCTTTTCTCCCACCACTTGAAAGAAGTGACCATGCAGTCATCTTATTCAAATTCATGGCTGAGATTGCCTGTCAAACAGTTGCACCGGCCCGTCCCAACATATGGAAGGCAGATATGCAGGCACTTGACTTCGCAGCATCGGCTGAAAACTGGGAAATCGACTCAAAGGCATCAGTACAAGAGGCATGGACTCTATTCAGGCAGTTATACAATCGGGTAACTCAACCGTACATACCCTGGACTGTCCCAAAGAAAAAGAAGCACGGTCATCCCTGGATAGGGCGGGATATTCGACGTTTACTGAGACAAAAGAAGAAATGCTGGGACGTTGCCATCCGCCTTGGCACAGCAGTTACAATGGAACACTACAGATCGATAAGAAACGAGTGTATAACGAAAATTCGGGAAGCTCAAAGAAAATATGAGATGCAGCTGACACAATCTGCACTCAAGCAGCCCAAGAGAATATTCTCGTACATAAAGTACAGAACAAGGATGCATCATTGGATTCCCAACCTAATTAAAATAGGAAGTGAATCTGAAATGATAGAGGAAGATCAGGAAAAAGCAGAGGTTATGGCTGACTATTTTGGGGCAGTTTTCACTCAGGAACCTCCTTTAGAGAAAGAACCAGACCCAAATACAGAGTAAACAAACCAGCTGCTCACCGTGGACTTCGACCAAAACGATGTGCTTAAGGCTCTTAGCACCCTAAACATGGAGAAGTCAACGGGACCAGATGAACTACACCCTAAAATCTTGAGACATATTGCACAATATATCGCAGCCCCACTGACTGTGATATTCAAAATGTCACTTGACCAAGGTGTGTTACCCATGGACTGGAAGGACGCAATCGTCACTCCCATACATAAAACAGGTCCACGACAAGTTCCATCGAATTACAGACCCGTAAGCGTCACCAGTGTTGTAATTAAAATACTGGAAAGAATAATCAAACGGACCATAACGGCATTTATGGGAACCAATAACTTGCTGAACATGGCACAACATGGTATTAGAAAGGGTCTATCCTGTACAACGAACCTCCTTGTAGCTAGGGAGTTCTGGATTAATGCGCTAGACAACGGAAACTCAGTGGATGTTGTCTACATAGACTTCAGTAAGGCTTTTGACAAGGTGCCAAATAATAGACTGCTACTGAAGTTGAAAAACCTTGGTATTGCCGGACCTCTTTTAAAATGGATTAAGGATTTCCTAGTAGGTCGAAGGCAAAAAGTAAGAATAAATTCCAAGTGCTCCATCTGGAGGCCAGTACTTAGTAGAGTACCCCAAGGTTCCGTCCTAGGCCCTTTACTTTTTATAATGTACGTTATTGATCCTACAAGTATAGTACAGTCTCCAATGTCATTATACGCTGACGATGTAAAAATTTGGCGAGTAGTAACTGGAGACACAGACGCATGTGCTCTTCAGGCAAACTTAAATAATATGATTAACTGGTCTAAAGAGTGGATGATGCCTATCAACGCGGAAAAGTGTGTCTACATGCCCTTGGAGGATTCAAAGGTTAATAGGCACAGCATAAGAGAAGTTCCATTATCCGTGGTCCGGTCTCATAAGGATCTACGGGTGACAGTGAGTCATGATCTTAAGACGACGGCCCATTGCTGGGAGGTCGCAACTAAGGGATTTTGAACCCTCTGGGCTTTAAAACAGACATTTACTAAGTTAGATACTACCATGTTCACCACAGTATACACATCCTTAGTGAGAACTAAGCTTGAGAATCGCGTTCAGGCTGCAAGCCCCTGTTTAAAAGGTGACTCGGATATCCTAGAAAAAGTACTGAGGACAGCTACCAGTGCAATTTCAGAACTCCGGGGTTTATCATACAAAGAGCGGCTTGAAAAGCTGGACCTCTTTACTCAGTCCTATCGCAGACTAAGGGGAGATCTAATTTTGATGTACAGAATACTGAGAAATAGTTTCGGACCTAACTTCTTCTCACTCTTTCTTCCCACTAGATCGGGACATCTCTGAGGACATAGCAGGCGAGTAGAAAAGCCAGGAACGAACAAAATACCCACGGCACACAGGTTTTCACACCGAGTCATCAATACTTGGAACCTGCTGCCTGAAGCAGTGGTATCCGCACCTTCAATTGACTCTTTCAAGAGAAGACTGGACACTTACAGAAGCATACTAGAAAATGAATAACATAGACCGTAGGCCTTCTGTCCTTACCACACAAACCTGAAATCTGAAATCAATGGACATTGTATCGCAATTCCCACTAAAATCGTATCGCCTCGCCACACTGCTTTTTAATGTAAGTTGTGCCTGTTCATTTCTTGAAACGTAAGCGATATGGGATGATAGCTTATGAATCGCGAACGACTGTTTTTGACTTACTGCATGCATGTTTCATCTAATGAATCCATTGTACTAAATTGAATCATGCCTTTATTCTTTGTAAAGGTTTTTTGTTGATCAGTAAATATATAATGTATTATATTTTTCACCTAGTGTTAACTCGATAAGTAGCCGTTTCGTAGCGCAAACGCGTGGGGTCGATTTAATGTGAACTTGTAAGTGGGTTTCATCAAAACGTTAGCATGTATACAAGTATACTTTAACTGATGGTTTTAAAAGTTACAGAACTTCATGCGGATGTGAGACGAAGTCATTACAAGTGCACTAACTACAAATAAACGATATTGCTGCTTCACATGCATGATTAAAATGATAGTGATAAGTGTATCTAATAGATTCACAGGTTTCTTGAAAATGTTATATAATGCATTCATCACTAATTATCTGTATGACTACTAACGTCATTTATGGCGAGACCTAGTATTTTGTTTACATGTCAATTCTATGAAGAATACAAGACATTCCATGTTTGTTCTGCTTAATGTGTGGACTCATCACAGTTTTCTGTATACAGCACTTCACATAGTTTGTTACTCGACATTTAAGTATTGTGAACACTTTAAACTTGTAGTTAGTTGGAGAAAACATTCTCAGTTCAAAGTGTATACTTGCACTTTATTAGCTTTCTCAGTGAAATTCTGAAAAACGACATGCCACAAACAAAATAAAAGATAGATGTTTTTGATGTGCCTAAGAGCTGACAGTTAAATGACATCCACTAGCAAAATGTAGTTATAAATCTTACATTTTGTGAATAATGCTGCAAATTCTGAGATTGCCTACAGTGGTTCGTTTACATTGATCTACTTTAAATTTTAATTTGTAACCTGGTGCATGAACCTAGATTTAGTTGTCACGTTTCGTCTGATCTGGTGATTTGTTACACTTGGATGTATACAAATATTTCGAGTACATCATCATTTGAAAGTGTACTAGACTACCTTCTATAATTGACCAGAGCGCAGATAAAATTTCCAACTCTGCTAGTGTAGTATTAGAGAAGTATTTAAAAAATGGCAACCTATGAGCTAACTTTTTTTTTCGAAACTTAAACAATACAGACTTTTGTTTTCCGAATCAAATTTAATACTTCCACGTTTCGGTGCGGTTTAATCAGAATGAACTCAGTGAGCTAAAATCTGAATACAGTGGTTTTGAGTGCTGTTAGAGGTATGAGGGCGCTTATCACTTCCCGGTTCCCCACACCGTGGAAGGGTTCTTTTGAAGGTGCCTGAAAAGGAAATTGGATTAGAGGTGGCCTTAGTGACCAGAGAGCGTGACCGCAGTGCCCAAGAGACAACTGCTTGAGGTCGGTCACATACGACCTTTTTATGGGTAATTTTTGTGCTAGCTCCGTACTTGTTGAGACCTTACCGCCGGAGAAGGATATCCGTGGAATAAGGCGAGGCGTGCATTTTTTTAGGGCCGACCTTTTCTAACCCCACCCCTCCTTGTGGGAAGGTAGCTTCGCCATCATGCTGGTTGTCTTAAGGAAACACCTTACTGCTGTCACACCTCTGTACAGTCAGCAGTACGACTTCGCCCTCGAACCTTAGGTTTGTTGCTTTTAGTCTTACCGCTCTTCAACCGACCTGTCTGACATGGTAGGACCTTGAGGAACGGTTGTTCCAGCCAGTATAGCTCGGTTGCTTCATCACGATAGGCAAGCCCAACCACCACGTCAAGGTAGCAACAACGGTCGGGGAATCTAATGATTAGTTCATTTCATTATATTTCCCTCTCACAGTAATACAGTTTTCCTTGGTTTCGACTGACTTCATGTTGTGACAAAACTACTTTCATCATTATCAAAAGTTCATTTTCGACCAGGCAAATATTTAATTCGTATAATTTGTTGCTGATACTTGTGAGAATCCTCAATCTAAAACTTGTCTTATAACCCTCTGCGTCTTATTTATTTTGTTAATTCTTAAGAGTGAACTATACTGTATGTACTTTTTTAGTTTCTATATGTTTAGGGTCAACTATTCTAACAATGGAAACAAAGGATAATGTAAGCCTTGGCATTTTCGCTAACGTATTGCTGACAATTTTAGCCCTCAAAGCCTTTTGTGTTTCCAGTCATGAAAAAGACAATCGAAGACCTATTTACTAAGTCGAAAATTACGAAAGATGATATCGAAGCTTTCCAAGACAAATATTGGGAACAACTTGTTCCTAATTTCAGTCAAGCACTGAAGCTTCTGGATATACACGGAGTTCCAAGACATAATATTTTATGGGTATATAATCTTTATTGTTACTTATCTTTGTTCAGAGCATAAACGATCGCCTTATGGATGCTATTAAGGCTAGAGTTGACTCGAAGCCTGATGATTGTGACCATAAAAAATGCCAAAAACTCTGGCAGAAGCTTATCAAGACGGGAATAGTGTATATTCATCATCCATATATGCGTTCATTAATTATGCAGGTATGCATTATTTTTTATCCGTCTTTGGAGACTGTTTTATAATATGCTTTTATGTAGCCAGTAAATAGCTCTGAACATAAGTCTTGTGTTCATCGGGATTTACTAGTTAATGTGTCGTCCAAATATATCAAGAGGTATAGTTATATGAATTTCTTCAAGGATGCAAACAGTTTTCTTTGAGTCTAGAAAAACACTAGTCTTAACTCCAGGTATAAGTCACAACCTCACTTGATTAAGGTCATTCATTATATCAAACCAAGTAAATTACGTGATGGGATTTGACGAAATCACTTTGGAGACAGTGAGACAGCTTCAACATTTAAGTAATTATTATTTTAATCACCCGATATATACCATTGTTAGATACATGGTTATGTAAATTGGTACTCATCCTTGATATTTCCGTCTGTAATCACTATTCATTGTAACTGCTGCCTTTAGGGATTTGTCGTTAATGCATACCTTTTTTTTGTATCAAAAATAGCAGTACAAACAAATTATGAGGTTCAGGTCGTCTATTTTATTGCTGTTATTGAATATTTTCAACTCACTTCAGGTTATTAAACTGGTGCGGGTAAATAGTGTAATTGTGTCACTTATACATACAATCTAAATGACTATTGAACTAAAAGATCCAGGTAAAATCGATTGCTAAATGTGTGTAATCCACCTACAAGGGATGTGGATAATAGAATAGTGAAATACTATTTTATAATCTTTCTCGTGTTCGTAGTATCATTGTCAGTCAAGTTTCTGAGCACCGAACTTACTGATACTGTCTTATTATTAATGTTCCTTGAGTTATATGTACGGATATATCGTATTTATTATTTATTATTATTATTAGAAGCTTTATTCAACATTATATTTTTGGTACAACATAGAATTCTCAGCATAAAGTATTTCAACAAGTTTCCTTTTCTTATACCTTGATCTATTGTGACGATAAATTTTGAATGATGACCGGTTAGATGTTAGGAGTTCGGTAATCCACATTTGATCAATGTTCATTCGTTTCAATGCATATTGCCAGCCACCATGATGTCGCTGATTGTACCTTTTTGTATCACGTATAGCGAAAGGTTGTAAACTTTTCATAAACGCTCCTGAATAAATTGTGCGCACAATAGACATAATGATGTGCTAAAACAAACAACAAAACAAATAACTTGATGAAATATCTAGATCGGAGGAACAGGTAGCCCAGATATTCAAGCAGGCCGCCAGCTTGTATCGATCGACGCTTCTGTTATAATTGGTACTAATAGTTTTTTGTTAAGATAGTCGTGTTTTATGTGATCACTGCTTATCTTCCTTTTGATTTAAAGGTTCTTGGTAAAATGAATTCGATTAAAGAAAGGCATGTCAACCTAATTGTTGACAACAAATATTTATATGATGATGCTCCTTTACCGGTCTTACGTCATATTTGGGTTGCTCATCCTCACAAGTATGTGGTAAATTTTTATTGTTATAAACATACAAGCTATCTGGTAATCAATTAATACACAATCTGATTCTTCATGAGGACAGTTATAGGCTAGGTTGTTAGATGAAATCGTCGACTGGAATGATAAAAATGAAGGCTTATAATTCTCTTCACTTTTACAGACACTTCATGCTAATACGTGACACCATACATAAAACATGCCTTACAGTAGGTCCTGTTCCCAGATAACATCATATATCTGGTCATGGATACTGTTGTGCATGATTTGACTTAATCTAAGCCATTCGCCTGTCTAAGATTTATGTACTCAGCTTTAATCCGGACTGTTCATATGCGAAATCGTATGCACTATATGATCGTCCGAACTGAGGTAGGTAGAGCGGATTTAGAGTTTATGATTTATGGGATGAATGCTGAGTGTTCTAAACACTTATTCGCTGCCTAGTAGTGACTAATATAATTCATTTGACAGTAAAGACCACGCAGTATTATCTTGTTATTCACAGTAGACACTGTGACTAGTAGCAGAATCCAGGACATGTGTATCGTTCTATTTAAAACTCGTTATCTAGATATATCTGCATTCCAGTGTTGATTTTCAGTCTTGTGCCTCTTGTATCAAGTATCAGTATGTTGTTCATAGACCTACTGAGTCAAAATAGCCACCAACTTAACAACTATGGTGTTTGCATTACTATTAATATGCGTTTGAATTATCCCTTTGTTGATATTCAGGAATAAATTTTAATCGGTATTTGTTAGCGTTTCATCTTACGTCCATTATCTCGATATAACCATTTTTCCGTAAGTTACTTAGAATAGATGAATGAATCTCTTCGACAGGAAAATTCGAACGTTTGATCGTAATGATATAAGTATTACCAATAAGTATATGTAAATTATGCCTACCGTTTCTTATTAGTAAATAACGTTTTGTCACCAAATCATTTACTATAAATTGGTTTATTAACTATTAAACTAACCTATCTTGTGATGAAAAACAACAGTAAATTACTATCTTATGGTTTTAATCTTTTGATAACATTGCATATTCTGGTTTTTATTTACTACCGTTCGGAGTGCTTGATTATACAATGTTGCATGATGTGGTATCGCAGTTATTAGTATTCACAGAAATGTCATCATTACATATTCCATTATTGACTACAGTTGACATGATGATGTAAACCTTTACAGTTCACCAACCCATGGGATTTAATAGTTTTGGTGGACCAATGTGATATTATTTCAATATTTCTATCTCGGCCCTGGCACGGCCAAGAATGGGGAGTTCGCTCTCCCTCTCTATATGCTCTCACATGGCCACGCGTATATAGCCTCTGCCAGGGAAGTCCCACTCATTGCCTTCTCGTGGTGGGGGTGTTCACGAAATTGAGAGGACGAAAAGCGAATGTCCGGCGCTTTAACCGAGTTGGTGAACATACAGAGTCCACCTAGGGGAGTTGGGAAATTCTGATTCCAAACCAATGGTGTACATGGGCTCCAGTATCCTGAGGGAACAAATGGCATATGAACCAATCGTTTGTCGCTGGCTACCATGAGACTGCATCTCCTTACGATGCTCCACTGCCTTGTGGATCAGACCTTTAGGTCAAAGGCTCGAGGTGTAGCCCTCTAAGAAAACCACCTGCTTCGGTCTGGGCACCCGGTCAGTATCACAGCCCTCACACAAGTCGAATGATTTATGTGGCTCATATCTATTTGGTGCCTCCTTGTACCAATATATATGTGTTAAAATAAATAAAAATAAATAAAAAAATAATTTCAATGTTTCTATCAGTCAGTGATAGTTTAAATTAGCTGAATGACTTTATGCATGTTGCGAAACTGATTCTAATCTAACAAATAGTATGAGTTTCGTTTTACGACTGATTTGGTCACAGAAAAATGGATAATTTAACGTTCCAGCTCATTATTTGTCTCAAATATAGTCTCTAAAAACTGACGATTATCGCTACATAACCTTGTGCTCTTGTGAAAAACAGGGGTACTTCCTCCATCGATCCCAAGTTACATAAATTTTATTCGTTGAGATTTTTTGATCTTTACTGGCTCGAGTCGCAAATGTCACATTTTATAAGGTGGACTCACTTCTCATGGAATGGGAATAATTTTTCCTAAGTATGTCAGTCTGCCTTTCCAATCAATGTCACTCTAAACAAAACTCTAATTTTATAAATTCATACAAATCGACTCCATCTATGGTAATCTGGAATTTATTTCTATGAATGCTTATATAGTAAATTTTATAAAAGCCAATCTATATATCGGTTGGAACGTTATGATGTACCATTGTTTTCAATGATGACCAATTGAAGTGTGTTTTATCGAACATAGATGAGATTTCCTTATTATCTTTCTCAGTTTACATCGTAGGTTAGTACTCGGTTTCCTGAAACAAATGCTGTGAAGCCTTGGAAGAAACGAAAACAAAATAATTTAAATTCATATTATTTAACTAGGTTAATATATAGCTGTTTACATTACATAATATTTCAACATTAAAATTACAGTGTGTCGAAAATATTTAGGTGAATTTGTTTGAGAGTTGTTACAATCAAACATCAGCATAGTGTAGCAAAGGTATCTATAAATTTAAAGAGACTAAATAAAACTACAAATATGTCGCAACAACATTATTATTAATAAAAATAAAAACTGTGATGCTAGAATTAAGCGGTTACGTAATGAGCAAACGCTAATGATAAGTAAGAATAAAATGGATGGAGCTCAGTTAATTAAAGAATTTTAAAATTTTGTTTCTGTAGGTATTTTCAACTCACTTTTTGACTTTAATATTTAAATATTACAGGATTTAAGCAGTTGACAAGATCCCAATAAAATATAATAAATTTATTCATTTACAGACCTAAACGTCAGTTGGAGGATTCAAACAACCAATACAAAAATGAATTAAACTTCATCCCATTGCACAATCTAGTGGCTATCTGAGCTCAGTAGCTAAGTGGATAACGCGATAGTGTTTAGAGCGAATGGTACTGGATCCGAGTTCCTGAGTGAACATCAACTTTGGGATATAGGTACATCCAGCTGACAAGTCCCAAATAGGACGAAACACATGTCCTGGATTCCACTGTCAGCCATCATCCATCTCTTAAAATGAATTTACGTTGTTCTGTTCAAATCTTTGTTACTGCAAACCCTGTTCTCTTCCTGAAATGTCTGAAAATAAAATAAATTAGCAGTTTTACGGTTTCGTAAAATTGTAGATGCGTTTGCTTCAAACTAGAATCTTCGAATTGTGTGATCTTGGCGAGGTTTTTTATGTACACGTATTTCAAAAATGAAAATAGGAAGTCTCATGATAAAGCAGGTTGTTCTGAGTTCTAGTATAGTTGAAAATATTACTTCCTGTGATATTTGTGATACCTCTAAGTGAACTAACGTATGCGTTAAATTTTTAGTTAAATATACTAAATAGTGTTTGTTTACGCAAATTATATTTTCTTGTTTGTCAAAAAAATCAGATTTCAAGAGGAATTAGATAAAGTCATAGCAACATTTCAATCTACATGGTCTTCCGCTATTTTGGATGCCCTTTCAATGTCTATCACGTCTACTGCATCGACAACAGCTGATCTCGTCCCAATTCTTTATTGGCCACCTCGTCGTCGTAGACGTGATCCTTCAATTGTACGGATTGTTGAAATGATTGGAGAAGGACAAGTCTTGTATGATAAAGTAACTGAATATCCTATCTGGTGTTCTAGTATTCTTAAATGAACCTAATATAAATTAATATTAATAATACTACCAATTATAGTGACAGTTATATCGTAAGACGTATATACTAAAATACTTCGTTACGAAAACTCTACCTCTTGTGAAGATGATATACACTGTTGTTTCAGTTAGCGTCTTTCTCTTAAATTTCTAGATTAAACCGATCAATCGATACTTCGATTAAGGTTTTTTTTACTTAATGAACGAAGATTTAAGTATTGTTAAATTGATCGTTGGATTACTGATCGATTGTAATATGCAATGATATGAAGGGGTCAATTGATCGAGTTGCTCGCGAGACGAGACAGTTTTCCGGTAAAATAGGCTTTTCCAACAAAATAACATATTTACGCACAAAACACAACAAATAAACGATCAGAGGATATGTCTGCTATGGGTCATTCACTCTTCAGTGAAGTGAATAATCAGTCGCTAGACTTAGTTCTTGCCTCATCATTATCGATCAATTGTACTGAAACATTATTTTCTCTTAGTTCATGAATATGATAAAAATTAGTCTATTAAATAATATATTTTCCTACATTTGCAGTATGAATATTCGCTTAAATTCTTCTAAGAATATATAAATTCCTACACTACCGTTTTTTGGATCTAGCTACCAGTTTTCTGATCGGTATAAAATATACAATGCAATACTATTTACACAGTGACGATTTATTATTCATCAAATGACTGTTTTGTTGTTTCGTTTATAATATCGGAACTTTTCATCCAGGTTTAACTTTCTTACATACTTGTTAGTAAAATTATCAGTGAGAATATAATTAGTTTTCGAATAATTGTATTCAAACAAATCGACCAGTAAATTCAAAATATGTTTCTAACTTTAGAATTATATTTAAATAAAGAATTTTACTAACATTGGTTCAGTAGCTAATATGTTCAACGTTTAGCCATTAAGTTGTAGGTTTAAACCAGGCTTCCCCCATTTTGATTTGAACAATGGGATTGTGTTATTACTCCTCAAGGTCAAATGTATGAATCTTTACCTGGTAATAAGAAATTTCTTTTCTATTACCATTACTATTGCTATTACATTGATTATTCTGCAATTTACCTTGATAAATTTATCTCACTATGCAAATAATGGGCTGTGGCAAATTGAACCGATGTACGCATGTACATGGTTCTGTGTTGTGTTTGACTGACTTACTGACTGAGTTAATAATAATAATAATAATAATGTACTAACAGTGTATTGTTTCATCAGTGTTATGTTTAGTTATTTTTAGTATTGTAGTGGTAGTGTTGCGAAGGAAGACTTGGTAGGGATATCCGATTTGTTGTTTAGTACAAGTTACAAAATGTCCTCATAACATATGGAAACCATATATTAAATACTTCATTTGCACATCTATCTATTGTCTCTTACAAAATTCATCATTTCTTCGTTCCTGTTGTTATTACAATTACTCTCTGTTTACATTTCTGTTCTCTTCAATTCGATCTTCTCAACCCTTTGCTGCCAGACATTCCACTTCTGATTGTTGTCACATGCTACTCATGCCCGTCGATATAAATAGCATATACCACAATAGTAGTGATGACGTTTATTGTTTATTTATTAATTCTTCTTCACTATAGACTATAAGCATACTTCGTGATCAATGTATAAAATGTGAAAAAGCGGCTTATTCACTTATGGAACAGCAAATCAAATCGACAATTGGAAATAATAATTCATCTGAGGAAATAGATGAACAGCCACCACCAGCTAAACGAAGTAGACAACGCTTATCAAGTAAAGAAAAATCTTCAGATATAACACAACGTTTAGCTAATCAACCTATTCCATATATCCCATTAGCTTTTATGCCTAATCAACCTTCAGTTGCTTCAGCCACTTTATGCACACTACGTTTTGATTTATTGATGAGTTTAAACGAAGCGAAAATTGATCGACTGTGTGTTCCTGATAGAATTCATCGTTTTGTCTGGTGCTTAGATGCATGTGTTCGCAATCGTCGAATTGATCAAAGGCATGCTAGTGAATTAGCCTATCATTTACAGTTACAACGTCGTCGTTGGGCTAAAGAAACAGCTGATGAATGTCATGAATTATATGGAGAATCTAATGAGAATATCAGTGGAGAAATGTCTAAACGTGGACATTCTAGTTCTTCTCGCGGTAAAAATTCTAAAAGTGGTAAAACCAATCAAAAACAATCTCCTTCAAGTACAGAAAAACAGTGCGATTTAGAGGATGTAGAAAAGACAGCTGATGTAAACTTTTTAGAAAAGTAGGTGGAATTTAATTTAAAGAGATGTTAACGGTTTTTGATATAATTGTCTTTTTCCAAGCTGAATTCTATGACTAATTTTTTAATAGTCATCAGTAATCGAATGACATTTGTGAAGAAGCTACTGCCAGCATAGCTATTGAAAAAACCAGTGACATCGTCAATGAACAAAAAAAGAAATTGTATGAAGAAATCCCATCAGCTCTGCTTTTACAATCCCTACGTATACGTTTTGGTTTATATCAGTCAGTCAGTCACAACGTAGAACTTCGTACGTACGTACATCAGTTCGAGTTGCCACACCACATTAGCACAGAGATGCAGTTGTCGATTCAAATCCAGTAGTGGTAGAGGTGGTAAGAGTATAAGCAGTAATCGGGAAGATTAGGGTTTGAAGATGTTATTTAAAGAGTATAATCCAGTGAAATAAATTTGGAAAGAGAAAAAATAAGGGACATGAAGAATTCAGAAGATTAGAATTTGGGAGAGCACAAAGAGTGAATGCACCTGCGCCATTGCAAACGATTTTGAGCCATGTCATTCAAGGTCTCTAACCACCGGTTGCTATCATCTCGCGGTCCCCAACCAGGTAGTCTACACCTACCAACATGGCTCAGTTCACTTGTCAGTGACTTCATGGACTTGTGCCATGTTTTGGTTTGGCCGCCCCTATCTTTCTTCTAACCTACTCCTATACCACTGAACATAGCACGTTGAGGCAGTTGGTCGTTGGGCATACGTAATACGTGTCCCAGCCATCTCAACTGATGGAGTTTCGCCACTTCATCAATCGATTTGCTATCCTTACCTAGTACCCGTTTCCTAACAACTGCGTTACTTACTCGATGGTCCCATGATATACGAGCAATGTTCCGAAGACACCTATGATCAAATACTAGTAACCTACGAATATTCTTTACTCTTACCGGCCATGTTTCACTGCCATAAAGTAGGACGGAACGAACTGCTGCGCAGTGAACTCGTCCTTTGGTTGATAGACGGATATCTCACCTACACCATAAATGACGCAAGTTGGCAAAAGCTAGTCGAGCCTTCTGTATCCGTGCTAAGATTTCGTCACACACCAGACCACAAGGGCTGGTGAGACTCCCAAGATAAGTGAAGCGGTCGACACACTCAACCACTTCACTCCCTATCATCAGATCGGGTGTCGATGGAGCTCAATCCTGAAGCAACATTTTGCATTTCGAGGGAGAGAATCGCATCCCGAACATGCTTGCATTGTTGCTTATAGTAGTCAAAAGACTCTGCATTTTGTCATCGTCTTCACCAAATAAAACTATGTCACCAGCATATTCTAAGTCAACAAGTGGATCTCCTGGTAGAAGTTCAACCCTTGGAAATCTAGACGAGGAAAGTGTTATCTCTAAAAGTACGTTGACGACAAAGTTGAACAAGAATGGAGAGAGTGGACAGCCCTGACGAACACCACTTGAGGTAATCAATTATGATGACAGTTCACCATAAGCCCTCACTCTACCAGTTGTGTTCGAGTAGAGGGCCTTTATAAGGTTAATGTACTTCCTCGGTACTCCTTTCAGTGGCAAACATTGCCATAGAACCTCACGATCAACAGAGTCGAATGCCGCCTTAAGGTCGAGAAATACTACCATTGTGGGGCGTCTGAACGTGTGTCTGTGTTCTAGAACCTGACGTAGTGTGAATATCTGATCTATACAACCACGTCCAGGTCGAAAACCAGCCTGATTTTCTCTAGTCTGTTCTTCACGAGCTTTGTTTGGGCGTCGAAGTATTATTGAGGCTAATATTTTAGACACTATATTGGTCAAACTGATTCCTCTGTGATTGTCACAAAGGGACTTTTGTTCTTTCTTAAAAACTGGAACAATCAGTGATTGAGACCAGTCAGATGGGATCACGTCCAGTTCCCGAATTCTACCTAAGACCTCGGTTAATCTCACTGCTAATACTAAACTATCATCCTTAAAAATCTCAGGAGTAAACCTGTCAGGGCCTGCTGCTCTCCCTCGCTTCAGATTTCCTATAGCTTTTTCAACTTCGTAAAGAGACGGAGGGCCTACATTAACTTGCCATTCAGGTTGGCTGGAGATCATGGGAAACCAAAGTGTGGCTGAAGGCTGAAGTACATCGAAATTTTTGTTTACTGCAATATTAACCGTTATGGCTAGTGGTCTGTTAATATATCGCGAGATAATATCGCCGATTAGAGTCACCGACTTATACGATCAGACCAGTGACACATAAACCTGTACGAGCAGCCTAGAGTTCTTATTGGTTCTTTTGAGGTAGTAGCTTCTCTCCTAACCCAACCGCTTCAGTCCAGAACGCAATTATCAGCCTCCGTTATATGAATCATATATTCCAGACATACTTTACATCAGCATAGTGTAATAAGAAATGAATTAGATAATAAACTAAAAAGGTTGAAATGTTAGTAATTTAGGTTTAATCATAATCTACAAAATATAGCGATTATAATTCGAAGGATGCTTAATATGATATCATGATGTGCAGTAGTGAAAGTGAAATATTTTGAAATAGTGGAGATTTGTAGCTCAGGTGAAGTTTGCACTGATGATGTTCAGAAGAACGATGAAAGCTCCACGACAAAACCATCCAGTTCAGAGAATTAAACTCTATCAAAAAGTGAAATATTTTAACACTTGAATTCATTAGTCGATCTAGGCTAGACCACCACTCGTGAATTCAACTATTAAAATTACTACAATCTCCACAAACCCTCATTCTGATAATAATCATCATGCGCTCACTAGTAACTGGCTTCAAGGTGGATTTCCCGGAACTCTAATGAGAAGCCGTGACCAATGGAGTCCAATCCATGTTGGATAGAGACAGGTATCTACCTCAGACAATTGGATAAATAGTTGCGCAAGATTATCGATCGATTGAAGTTAGACATTAACACGGTTGGATGTCGGCTCAGTGGTCTTGAGATTAGGCATTCACGTGCGAGACCGAAAGTCCTGGGTTCAAGTGTTGTATGTAGGGTCATGGGTGCGCACTGTTGATGAGTCCCATACTAGGTAGGAACGACCGTCCGATGCTTCCAGGTTTTCAGTGATGGTTTAGCTTAAATCGACTCATGAATGCAATTGTGGAAATATTATAATCTCCACAAATCCCCATACTGATAAACTGAAATATGGTTTGTCACTGAGCGTGCTCAAACATGCACTTAACCTACAGTCTATTAAGTATGTGATTCCCTAGCCGATATTATTGTGATACATGAACCCTAGTGATGAAATTTTTCGTGGTGTAATTAACAAAATAAGTGATTGGTTAACTTGTTTCCGAGTGTATGTACTTATGTGTTAAGGAACAAACATTTTATTGTCTGTAATAATTTTTAAATCGGTTAGAAATTGTTCTTCTTTCTAATCTGATTAGTTAAAATCAAGGTAGCAAACAGTGTTTTGATTGGATGTCAAAATTTGCATTTTTACATTCGAATGTCTTTTCACTTCCGAAAGAACGGCATCAGTTATTGTGTTTGGAAAGTATACGGTTTAGCTTATTTTCTAAGTAATGTCAATAGCGAATTGCTTGTAAGTATACAGCTAGACGAAATCATTATCTTAATTTTTCAATGTTTATTAGATGATATCGAGGTTTGATGAAACATAAAAAATATTACTATCATCACAGTATGATTGTTATTCTCAAATTACGTACATGTAGCATATTGACTACGGCTTGATGAGAATTGATTTGAGTGTTTATTGAAACAAGATCTTCATGAATTAGCGTTTCATCCAAATCCACGTTCGTTCGATAGTCGGTATCACTTGTCTGTTGGATCTCTGGCATGACGGTACGGCAATCCGTTTTCCGTATAAAAGCTTCAGGAACAATTGACGGGATTTCCGTAGGATCCTGTAAATGCCTGTAGCGTCAACAGTCATGACCATGTCGACTGGTGTTATAACATATGTGAAAGGTGACGTTTCAATAACTGACATACAAAAAGTGTCAGTTTATCTTGAAGACGACGTATTTAGGGCTCCCGATCAACAATTGTCTTGTAACATCTTTATATGTATTTTTGTACTCATGCTTCCATCCAATATCCAGTCCTAAGCATCACACTAAAGGTGGATCTAAGCACGGATGTTTTTCTTGTAAGTTTGTGGGACTTCAAAATTTTATGTCTTGCCTCAACGAAGTTAATATTATTTTGTTCAGGAAGTTTTACAGCCATTCGGAATGCATTAGACCATTTGTGTTTCTTAGACAACAACTGATGTCATATGTATCGACTAAAAGTCCCGGCTGATACGAAAACAAATTTTCGTTATTGGTTTTGTAGGTCCTGTCAAAACCAATAACATTAAGGAAACGACATGCCAAATTGATCTGATCGGCAGTTGAGAAGAAAAAAGCACTGTAGATTATTTTCAGTTGAGTATAATCACCTGTCATTCAAAATATTAATAGGCACATTTCTTACCTGGAAAATTGGCCCGCGAGAACACTTTATAACGTATGTTAAAAACATCTTGCGGATTCAGGTGCTTCATGTAGGATTGGTAAACAAACTGTACAATACTGAATTCTTTTCACTTACCGACTATTCTGTGTTGTGTTGGTAAATTCAGTTGGATTATATGAAATATGATTTAAGGTCATAAATATTTGTTTCTCCATTATAACAAAAGTATTGGATTGATTAAGATAGACTTATATTTAAATGAATTATTTGTTTAATTTTTCATGTTTGTATACAGAGATATGCATATGGCTTGTCGAGATCCGTGGGTTGTTTACACCATTTGTACATCATTAATTCGTTACGTACTTAATGGACTTTATGAAGACAAATTACCTCGGGTAAGTTAGTTGGTTGATATATATATAGGCCTACATTTTTTCTTAAGGAATAGATAGGATGTGGTTATCGTTGAGCTCTCAGACACGTTTCCTTATATTCTGGACATGTCAGTAGCCTATCATTTTGACGTCAATTAGATACGACAATCATTTGTCTGATGTAATCGGAATCAGATATAGGGCTACTAAAGTGATGAACCCATCTTTAACATCATCGTCATATCTAATTGACGTCAAAATGACAGGCCATTAAACTATTACCCATTGCAGAATAAACAGACTTTTTTGAGTTTGCAAAGATGCTTTGTTGAGAGATTTATATATCGCTTAAACTTGGTTTATTTTGCAAACTGTTTTAAATGAGGAAGCAAATAAAAATCAAGAAGTGTTAGATATAATTTCTTTTCTTAATCCACATTGATTTCAATACGTGATTCTGTCTTTTCTATGAATAGATCTCTTCATCGTCGTCTCATTGCTTCTACATGTAAATAAAACATCTGCAAACTTACTTTAAATCTCGACCCTAAGTTTCTTAAGCCTGTAAATAGAAGGGTGACAAAGTATTGGATGATCATTGATGTCCGTTTGATTCAAAACCCTTAGTTTTAATTTCTAAATCAAACTCAAAAATTGAGCTAATCTTTTAATGTTTAGCCCTATCCTTTTTGCATTATCACGGATGCCATTTGGTAGCAAAAGCTTTGTGGGGTGGTAACCTCTAACTCATAACAATGACTCGACTCTTAATATGTAAACTTAACCTTTTCCTTCTAATAAAAAGAATAATTCGACATATGGGTGTTGACTATTCAAATTATAGGTATTATTGCACTGTTATATTATTGCTTTTTACTGTTAGATGTTTTATAACCAGGTAGTGTTTTCCGATTGGCTGATAGGCCTCTCATCAGTATCTTATTTTGTACCAATAAATGGAGCATAAATTATTGGTTTCACAATAGGTTTTTAGCTCTGACAGACCGGAGCTCGCTGCTATAGGAGTGCCTATGTTCTTACTCCAAATTGATCGAACTTTCAATGGTGCATTTAGACGAAATAAGGATTCTACTTACATCTCATATGTTCTGTCGGGAAATCCCCTTCATAACAACGCGGATAATAAAATGTCGAATACAAGAGTTTTGGATGTTTGTATTTCATACATTCAATTCGACAGACAGATGAAGCGAAAAAAGCAAATAAGGCAGATGTCCTTTCTCAATGTGATTAAAGCATGAGTCAACATTTATAAGCATGACACAAACTAGCCAGCATATGGACACAGACATACTATCGTGCATACATGGCAAGATCCCATGTATAAATGACATAATAAGTGGAAAGATCAGTATAATGCATTTGTTTGAAGGTTAGGGTAAGTCGCGTAGGTGTATCATAAAATAGAGGCTGCTACAGGTTAAACGAGTTCTTGATAATCTAACGTCAATATCTTTTCTCTTATGTTACAAAAAATTGATAACGTCTTCAAACCAGTAACAGTAAATAATACGAAATACACAAATTGTTCCATCATGTATGAGATGTGTTTAAACGATTGAAGCCATTGTTCTAACTAAGGCAATTTTCTTAGTTGACTAACAGTTATCAATATGACTGATTTGGCATAATTGAACTTCAAATTTGTTACACCTAATTTTACGAAACATTGAAGTCACTAGCTCGTATAGCTTAGATTTCATGAATATGCAGTATAGAACTAACACTAATGAAGCATTGTCTACTAGACCTTTACAATAAGATCGTCGTCACTGTGGTACCAGAAACAACTTTGATTAATCCCGATGAGTTTCACTACACAAAAACTGATCTCACCGTATCATTGCACCCCTTAGTACTCATCCAACTATACCCAAATTTTTCAACTATTTTCATCTATTCATGACTAAATAATGTCAAAAACAGACTGCTTTCAGTCTTTTAAAAGTACTTCGTGAATAAATAAATAATTCAATACACAGAAATGATAACAATATTGAAAGGAAACAGAGAGATAGCTCAGATTATAGTTGGTAGTGTTACATAAAAGTTATAGGAATGCTTTGTTTCAAATATGCCTATTCAATTGATCTATAAAATTATGGATTATTGATTTTCACTCTGTAGTCGAATGTAGGGTCCGTTGTAATAGGTAGTGATATCTACAAGACATTAAGTATTAGTGATTTAAGAAATTATATAATAGATCTTTAAAAGTTGAATATTTTCGTATTATATAGATTTATTTCATTCACTTATCTGTGAATGATTCATTTTATTTATACTCCTATAGATCTACTTCTGTAATGCTAAATGATGTAAAGAGGAAATTCTATGCATAAATTTCAAGTTTTTCCCGTTTATCTGATAAACCTTCTAATTGAACGCTAGATTCGGTTTTCTATGCTCTTCTAGTAACCCTTAGGCTAATCTCCACGACAACTTGAACACACAAAAAAGGCGCGAAATATGAAAAGAACACTTTACTCCTAGGTTCATTTATATAAAGAAAATTTGGGGTATTTATAACGTTTCTAATAACTTTGGGCTTCTGGAAGATCTAATCAGAAACATGACATGTGACTTCGCTTTCTAGATGTTTCTGGTAAAACCTTTGTTGAATACTGATTAGATAAGATGTTTCTCTGCGTTTTCAGAACCTCTTTTGGGTTTTTTTCGAGGAATTTTCTGGGTCTCCCCAACATATCAAACCTTGAATGTATTACAATTATTCATATTTATAGTAAAACCAATTTTCCTTTCTATTTCATCGTATTTTTTATTTCAAAAAATCTACAGGATATACCTGAAGTACACTTACTTGTTCATTTATTAGTACTTGGCTTAGGAGACGATTTAATCCCGTATTCTTGTTTACAATTAAAAACTAAAGAAAGTTCTATGAGTAAACGTAATAGTACTACCGATATTGATGATCCTACATTGAATTGTCCATCGAAAGCACTAATTAGTTATATTTTACCAGCTGTTGCACAATTACAAGTATTAACATGGAGAGCACAAGTGGCTGAAGAGATTTTAACATTAAGCAATAATTTATGGCCTACTACTAGTTTGGAAAATACTACTGGCAGTAGTAATAGTAGTAGTGGTGGCGGGTTAACGCCATCTAATAATAATAATAATACAAATCAACGACCAACATCTCATGAATCAAGAGAATCATCTAACCCATCATCGTCATCATCATCACCATCATCATTGCCAACAACATCACCACCATTGGTTTGGCAAAAACGTATTAAAGGTAAATAAAACTTATAAATTAGTTCATTATGTTTCTTTCTTTCATTATTTTTTACCTGAAATATTTTAGTCTAACTGACTCACTGTGCTTAAGATATTCAACATTCAATCACTAAATTACAGGTTGGAAGCAGGCATTCCATCTATTTTGGTTTATGCACTTGAATAGTTTCACTGTAGTGAACGAAGAAGTCAAGTGGGGAAGATCAGTTTATTGTATAATGAACAATTACACAGTGGTTTAGTAAGACGTGAAAGTCATGCATCAAATACATTATTTGCACATCTTTGAATTGTCTCTTACAAGCTTCACTGTTCCTTCATTACTGCTGTTATCTTGATTGCTTTCAACTACCTTCTCTCTTCTCTTCAATTCTATCTTCTCAACCTTCTGCTCGCAGACATTCCGCTTCCGACTGATGTTAAATACTACTTGTGTCTGCAAGCATAAGTAGAATACACCACATCTCTAATTTTCATATTTAAATTGTGTTCGGAATCCAATTGTACACGAATCTTTATCCAGTATTTAATAAATATTATAGTATGAAGAACAATAATAAACCAATAATTTTTATGTGGAATTTCAACTTTTGCATGACGGCAAGTTAAAAACTCCAGCTTGAATTCAGCATTATGAATTCACACGAAAGATATGACATAAAACAAAGTATATAAATGCGCATACATACATATACTTGCTAAACAAGTTTTCCTCTATATATATTTCAACTACCAATAATTAAGTGTTAAATAATATCATGTATAATTCTCATTGTCATTCATCAAGGAAGGATACGTGCCATATCACACTGAAATTATTTTTTGAAGTTGGGATGATAGCTAGCAGTGGAATCCAGGATGCGCTTTTCGTCTTATTTGGGACTCGTCAGCTTGATCTATCTGCGTCCCGGAGTTGATGTTCACTCCGCGACTCGGACCCAGTACCGTTCGCTTCTAACGCCATCACATTATCCACTTAGCTACTGAGTTCAGATAGCCACTAGCTTGTACAAACGCACGTCCTGGATTCCACTGCTAGCCACCATCATCTCAGCTTACAATACTTTTTCTGAAGGCAATATCGAGGCAATCCGCACAGGATGCACATATGCCAATTAAAGACTAGTCAATTGCAGTCCTAAACATCAATGGGATGATTCAACAACCAATACAAAAATGAATTATTTTTTGGTGTTAAATATCAGTCAGTGATAATATGGATTAGTTTTTGGTGGAGTTTTGTTCTCTGAGCTGGATGGTTTGGTCGTGGAGCTTTCATCGTTCTTCTTAACGACATCATTAGCACAAACTTCAGATAGAAGTGAAGTGTTCGAATTTCTCCATATGTGTTTCACAGCTTGTTCTGTGCACCTCGATGTTGATTGGTTCTTATTGACCTTAAATTTATCATTGTTTACTTCTTTGTTTTGGTTGTGTCTCCCATTGGTTTGATTTTTGTTCTTATATTTATGCATGATTTTCCTGACTGGTTGATAAATTGGATTGATTTCAATATGTTTGTTGATTGCTGATTGACCTGAGTGCCAGGCTTCTAAAAATTCTCTGGTGTTTTTGGAGTTTCCTCTGTCTAAGATTTCTACATTTTCCCAATCAAATGAGTGTCCGTAGTTATCCACGTGTATTGATATAAGTGAAGAGATATCATGGCGTTTGACTGCTAATTGATGTTCATGTAGGCGTAGGTGGAGGGGGCGTCCGCTTTGTCCGATGTAGTGTTTGTCGCAGTTGGTACAATTTATTTTGTAGATGATGTTTGATTTGTTTTCCTTTGTTATTTCATCCTTTGGTTTGCATAGGATTGATTGTAGTGATTTTTTTGGTTTGTGTGCCACACCTATCCCGAAGGTTTTTCAACAGTCTCGTTGCGGTTTCTGATATTCCTTGTATGTACGGTAGGGTGATCCTTTTGTTGATTTTTGTGCTTGACTTAGGTTCTGATGCTGTGTGTCGTTGATGCTTTTTGATGAATTTGATTGGGTAGCCGTTCTTTTGAAATATATCCTTCAGGTATTTCTCTTCATTCTTTCGTGCTGCAGTGTGTCATCGCCCTCTTGAACAATGTGTGTACGCAGTTGATTTTGTGAGCTCTTGGGTTGTTGCTGTTGTAGTTGAGAATTTGATCTGTATGGGTCGGTTTCTTATATACTTGAGTTTCCAGTTTTCCTGTATCAGTTCTAGTGATCAATATATCCAAGAATGCTAGTTGGTTGTTTGACTCCTGTTTCATTGTGAACTTGATGTCATTGAAAACGTTGTTGATCAGTTTGTATGTGTTTTCCAGTTCATACTTTTTGACGATGACAAAGGTGTCGTCTACGTAGCGAATCCAAATTTTTGGCTTGATCACTGGTAATATCGTGGCTTCTAGTCTTTGCATCACTGCCTCTGCGATCAGTCCTGATATTGGTGATCCCATTGGTGTCCCTTTTGTTTGTTCGTATATTTTGTTGTTGAATTGAAAATATGTTGTTAGGCATAAATCGATGAGTTCCAGTAGACTTTGAATTTGAAGCTTCGTGTATTTGATGAGATTTGTGTGGTTGTTGAGTAGCAGGGATATAGTTTCTTTTGCTAACTGTGGTTTAATTGAGGTGAACAGTTCTGTTACGTCGAAGGATATCATGAGTTCGTCGTTGTTGATTTGAATATCCTTGATTTGGTCCAGGAATTATGTTGGGGATTCGATGGAGTGTTTGGCTGAATCTACTAGATGTCTCAGTATTCGTGAAATTTCTTTTGACAAATTGTACGTTGGCGTACAATTCGTTAAACGAAAAACTGGTCTAAAACAAGACAAAATTCATTATTAGCTCAGAATAGTTGAACCCCCCATCATTTGAAGTGAACGCTCTTTTTCTAAACAAAAAAAGAAGATTCATCCCTCTTATGTTCGATGCGATTTTCATTTCTCATCCGGCTGACAATGAATTCGCTGAACTGTTCTTTTATTGGTCTTTAAATGATACGAAATGTTCTTTAGGTGTCAAACAAGATGTGTGATGATTTTCCATTCGAGATTTGCGCGGTTGTTGTAACCAAAGTGATTAGAGATTTTGAGTGACAAGGATCAGAATCATTTACAATGGGACAGGTGCATTCATTCATTGTTTTACTTCAGAATCTAAGTTTCTTGAGTGTTTCACGATCCTTTTTACTTCAATGTTCTCTATTTCCTTTTCCATTCATATCTTTTATTCTTAATCTTTTCTACTACCACTAATACTGTTACTAATTACGGTACTCTGATATCTCTCCGTTCTAATGTATTGTATCAACATGAACCGATACACATACGTGCCAGGTTCTATGTTACTGACAAAAGCAATTTCTCATTTGTAATGATAAATATACGGTAATTAAGAAAGTAAAAGTTAATTCAAGTGATTTTTAATTCATTGATTGTTTTCTCATCTCGATCTCATTTTTGTTGTGTATACATGTACATTAAGTTGCTCAGTGGTAATTTATCTGACATTTTAAACATTCTGATAGTCAGTAAATCTCAGTATGGAGTTGTAGAGATTGTTGATTTTCGTTGGAATCATGAGTCGAACTAAGTTAGATCATCATTGAAAACCAGGAAGCATTGAACGACTGTTTCGTCTCTAGTATCCCTCTGCAGTGCGCATCCACGATGCCCCGCCACAGAGAATAGAACCCAGGGCCTTCGCTCTTCCGCGCGAGCACCTAACCTGTAGACCACTTAGATGGCATCCAGCGGTGTTAATCTCTAATTTCAGTCAATCCACTACATTACGCAACCGTGTTCTTTTTTCTTCGGTGGGTAACTACCTCACAGCCGACATGTTTGAACTCCATTAGTCACTGCTTTTTATCAGTACTCCGGAAATTTCCTCTTGAAGCTAGCTACTAGTGACGATTGTTGAATTTCATTAAAATCATAAACCGATCTAAGTTCGGCCACAATTGACGAGTTCCTTACCAGGACGAAAAGACTATTCAATGCTTTCCGGCTTTTAATGATAGTCTAACTTAGATCGGTTTGTGATTTAATGAAGTTAGTAAATCAATCATTAGGTAAAATATCATATGAGACAAGCCAAGATTTATATTGTATACAAGCAATTACATGATTCAATCAGGATGATTCCCATCATGAATTAATGTCAGCTAAAGTTGATGAGTGAAATTGAAAGATCACTGAACAATTGTTTTTTTCCCATCAGAGGTGCATACCTACACCCACTTACTTGTTCAAACTTAGACCCTTCAGTAATCTAGGTAATCCTATTTTCTTATGCTAATCAGATTAAAATTATGGTTGTTCATTATACAACATCATTCACTGTATTGTATACTACCTAACGTTCTCATCCATTAAATGACTTTTACCATTCATTTCATTTCTTCAGTAGTTATCATCGTAAATATTTTTATAATTTACTATTTAATGAATCGTTAATTATTATTATTATTGCTTTCGATTTTTTTCATAGATGCTACTCAATGTGTCAATATAACTGTACCATCAGGTTATTTAGCACATCCAATTGGTTATTTAATTTTACAATATCATTGTTTATTTTGTTTAGAACGTAATGAATTAGCTACATTACGTGCTTTATTAAAATTAGCTGTAACACTTGCACAATCACGTGTAAATCGTTCTAACCATAATAAATCTACAACACAATCTCAACCAATTACACCAACAAAAGTGTTATGTTCTGATTCATTAAGTTATAATAATAAATTTGGCCTATCTGTTATTTTTCGTTGGCGCCCAGAAGTTTTACAAGTAAGTTTTAGAATAATCATAAAGACTCATAAAATTTGTATTACTTAACTACATTACAGTTTGTTTGCTAATATATATATATATAATGCCTACATGTATGTATAAAATCTTAGCTTGGGAAACAATGTAATGTGTAACTGTAACCATTTGTCAATTCATATAGTTTGAATTTGAGACAGTTTTGTTTTAATGAGGGTGTGGTGTAGATCACTTATATCCACACGAGTAGTGTATAACGGTGGTCAGGCATAGAGTGTATTTCAGCAGAAGATCGATAAGGAAATAATCGGAACGGAACGCAATTGGTATGGAAATGCATAAACAATGAAATCTGAGACGATTGACTGATATTTGCAAAACGAACAGCGAAGTTTGAGATGATGGATTGATATTTTGCAAATTAATTATTTACTATATGATTCTCAGATTTTATTGAAATCCTCTGTAATTTTGTGTCAAATACATTCGATTGTCCCCACTTGTGTTTTAGTTCACTACAGGGGTAGTAATTCTATTCGGCTATTCAAATTAGAATAAATGTATAGTAGGTCAATTCAGATCAACGATGTATTAGATAATGATTATGTATTGAAATCATTAAACTATAAATTCTTTCTATTTGTATATTTATAGTGAATAAAACCAATCTCTGTATCGTAAAGATAACGCATTTTATTTTGTTTAAGCTATTTTCTTATCATAATACATGTTTTACTGTAGAAAGTTAGATTTATAATGTGTTTTTTGTACATAATTTTGTATAAATCAGTATTTCCTATTTTTCTTATCTTCTTAGAATCTAATGAATTTATACATGAAATAGACACTAATAAAGAATGGTTGAATGATTGTAGTATTATAGGTTTTTAATGTGAAGGTTTGAATTTCGCCTATTTCAGTTTGGGCAACCGGAGAAATGAATATAGCCCATATGTGATTATCGTAATCAATGATTAGAAGCTTTGAATTATATGACTCAAAATCATCCGCAATAGCGCAGGTTCGTTCACTCTGTCTTCCTTTAAAATGTGAGTCTTAGAGTCTTTATAACTTTAGCCTGAGACATAAATAGCACCTAACCACCATGTTGGAATCCCATGAAGCTTGTATCATTGGAGATTTATGGTTAACACTGTTTCATTTATCTTGTTGTAAGTTTTTCCTCTATTCTCTCTTGAATATCTCATGTTTTATTGTTATCGAAGAAAGTCTTCTGTTTGACTTATCACATAGAGAGTCTGAATGCTTAGTTAATTTTTTTGGGTCATTAATATGGTTGTGGATAGACATCTAAGTCTTGTTGACTCCTGGAAGGTGTTATTTTATCAGATACTAACCATCCAATTCATTCATAACTGGTATAACTCTAGCGAACGGTTTGTTAGAGCTGACTTGGTCAATAACTTGTATTCCTAAACATGTTTGTAATTATAAAAGTTGTACAGATTCAAATCTTTTTAAAAACAAACATTTCATTTGATTGCAGGCAGGTTTATCCATTTAACTTTAGTATATATGTATGCAGTTATCAGTTTCGTTCTCTTTTTTCCTTTTTTGAAAAGAAACTTATTGAAATACTTTGAGAACTTTACATTGTTTCAAAAATATAATATTGAATAAAGCCACTAATAATAATTATTATTATTACTATTATTGTCTAGGAATGTTAAATGGGTGAGACTATAATTTATGGATGAACCAATAAGGTTTAGGATAACAGATCTTGGATTTTGGTGCGAAATTCATCCACCCATTTGGCTAAATACCATTTTGGCATTATAACTGATGTCAGTTTGTGATGTAAACATTAAATTTAATTCCTAATCCTAACAATTCACTATAAATTTTAATTGTAATTCCTCACACTCATGTATAGCCCTCATTTAACCGTAGTAAATGGGTGGACATTCCAAAGTCATTTCGGCGTTGCTCGAAGGTCGTCCATAACTTATAGTCTTACCGTTAAATGTTATTTATTTTAATTGTAATCATGAGCTAGTGTGAATTGTGTTTTATTTTCTTTCTAGGCTTTAGTTTTAGGGATTTCACGTTTACCTCAATCTGCGCCTGCTTTTGTGGATATTGATCGAAATACACACATTACTGAAGGTTCTGTTGAATCTTCTTTAAATGATAATACTGGTCAATCAGATTCTGATAATAATTCATCTAATATATCATCTCTAGTTCGTACAAATTCAATGATGTCAAATATAATTTCTAACAATGAATTAGGAAATAATATTATTGGTTTTACTAATGTCCTAAATTCTACTTGTCAAAATACTAATCCAGAATCTTACTCTACCATAACAGGATCAATTGTTACGCGTGCGAATTTAGCTGGTCTACTCAGATCTAGTTTACCATTAATTAATGATGTACAATTATTAGCTCTTGCTCAAGTTGCCTTACTTGTTCCTGGACCAACGAGTACTAATTTAGGAACTGGTGGTATGTCTAGTAGTAGTGGTACCAATGTATCCTCCATTCATCCTTTATCTTCTGGAACTACTACTACTGTCACTACAACTACTACGGATGTTAGTAGTATCAATGAATCTGTCTCAACTGCACCTAGTTTAAGTGAACGTGAAAGACTTGTCAATACATTAGCAAGACATTGTAACATTACATCTGTTGGTAGTACTGGTACATTGTCAACTACTGATTCGAATTTATTATTTGAATCCGGTACACAACAATCTGGTACAGCAGCAGGTACAACTGGAAGCTATAAGTCATCAAATCCACGCGTTTTAGCTGCTTTGGATGTTCTGCGTAAAGATATTGAAAAATCCCATGTGAGTTCTGCCATTTTGTTTACTATTTGTTATACATACGTACAATCATGAATATTTTGTGTTTTTATTCAGGTAATTAATAAAGATGATAGCTTAATTAGTGATACTGTCCACTTTTATGATTGAGCTAAGACATGGTAATCTTGTCTAAACATCACTTACTCTGACATACTATACTAGATAATATAGAAGGGTATGTTTAAAATTGTCTAAAGGTGATGAGATTAAAATGGTATCCGTCCATGAAGTTATTGACTGTTGGACTAAACTGAAAGATAACTGTATTTTGCAATTGAATACCTTTAGTGACATTTTCTTTATGTCTCTCTTAATCATTTGAATGCATTCATCCTTAAATTTGAATCTAAATTTTATTTTTATTCTATATTCTTCATTTCTTTCGAACTACACTTCCACAGCTTAATTCACTACTCAAAATAATAGTGATTATTTCAACTTCATTGTTATTTATCTTGTAAGTTTCCTGTTATTTTGTGTGCGTATAAAATATGACAACCTGGAGCGTTGCATACTTATTATCTGTCCTACATTACTTATAACTGATCGATACTTGGTAAGATCTCGTTATAGATTCAAAATACGTACTCAGCTTCTTACCAATATGCGTCACGTGTATAGTAGACGGAATTTTTCATCTGCCAACCAAGTAGAGTAGTGAGGATACTGCACATCAGTCCACCTTGTTTTACCGTATAGGTGCGAAAGTGATCATTAGAAGTATTTGAAATTTACAGTTCACTAGTGTTTAACCATAGGTATTTTCAAAGGATTACTCGCGTTTGGTATAAGAACCGAGTAAATAACTTTAAGGTTAGACGTTGAGGATTAGAAAAATGTAAGGAGTCAGTTGATAAAACTATTAATGTTTATTGACTAAGGTGGCTAAGATGTGCATTAGGTGTGGTCAACAACTGATTATCTCGATCCTAGATATTGTCTGCAGTAAAGTAGGTTGGGAGGAAGTTAAGGTCAAACCAAATTGTTATATTCGGTTATAAAATCTTTAACTGATGATCTTGGCCATATTTTTACGTCCAAGCTACGTGGTCGTAGTACGCACGATTACTATGACAAATAGTTTTAGGCTATGGGGGATGTGACTCTCAGTGGCGCAGACGCATTTATCCTTTGTCTACTTCTATATCGTGGTTTTTTAAAACTATCCTCATTTTGATCTCTGGTGTGATTGACAGCAAGGACTGTTGTGGAGTCTCATAATAGGACAAAGAAGCTTTCCAGTGCTCCCCGGTTCTCAGTGCTACTGTATACGAGATCAATGTGTAGGGCATATGATTTACAAATCAAACTCATCTCCACAAAACCCATTCAACTAGAACTAAGGTTAATTTGTAAGACTATACTAACCAATGTCATTTTGTTTAGTCTTAAGTGCTAATTAAGGCGTATTGAAACTTTGAAATACTTTACACATGGGTTTATTAACTGAAAAATAATTTTTCCTCATATTTGGGTGGCATACCTTGCGTAGGACTAATACTTGAAGTCTTTAAAAATGACACTAAATTAAAACTAATGTTATAGCGAACAAAGCTGAGGTTATCCGTCACGTTTTTAATGTTCAAGTCATATTATACCTGGCACTTTCAACCGTTTTTCTCTTCACTCTTGGGCGAGTGTTGCACGTTGAAGCGTAATTCTCACCAAAAATTTCATCACACAAGTCTGGAATTATCCGCAACTATGTGCTATGAATATATCACCATATCGCAGCCGAAGATACAGGATAAAATTCACAAACATATTGAAAGTTAGTGCTTGAAGTTAAGTCTCTAATGAAAATTACACCTTATTGTTCATGACTTACTAAATGAACCGAAAGGTGACTGGAAATGTTAGGTACAACACATTACTTGAACACTGAAAGTATAACTGATAACCTTAACCACAAACAATCATCACAGTCAGAAAATAGAAATGATACTGAATGGGAGTCACACCGAGTTAGTGTTGTATCTCGTCATTTGAGGTTTTACTACGAGCCTATGATTATTTATTAAAGAGTGATTGAGCTGTGCTAGTATGAATGGCTTATATTGTAGACTCAATTATAAAAGTTGGAACACAACACTTTTAATTGACCACTAACAAAAAAATTGGAAGTATGAGAAATGCTTGATATTCAAGTAAAGTAGCTCGGAACAACACACCTCAGTGTATAAAGTAACGAAAGGATGACCTTGAGACACACTGAATATTGGCGAATTAAGATTAATGACAACCAATTAGAAAAGGGCAAAGTTCATACAAAACCCCGTTACTAGTAAGTCTTTAGCATTATTGACAAAAATGGAATGATCCCGTGATCTCATGTTCTTATCCTAACATCATGTATATATTTATGTGATGGAAATAGTCATTCTTTTCCAAAATTGTTCATTCTCTCTCTTCTGTTCCTAGAATTCGCTTGCATCACCGTTAACACCGACAAATTTAGTTGGAATTAAGACTGGACCTGGTGGTTATAGTTCATCAGCGTCATCATTAAATGCATCAGCAAATCTCTTAACAAACTTTACTGGTTTCCAAATGCCAGATGCATGGATTGCTCCATCGCCTCGTAGTCCTTTATCGACTAATAAATATTCACGTTTTGGTGCAGACTCACTACAGTCATCGAATAATAGCAGTACATCATTAACTGGTACCAGCTTATCATCGTGTTACTCATCATCATCAACATCATCTTATGGTTTACATTTGCCTATTGGAACACCTCTTACTAATCCAGGTCTAATGGGAGCTACACCTCACCTAAGTAATCTACATATTGGACAAGGTCAAATGCCAAGTCTACGTAAACTACCAAAGCTTACTCCCTCACCTGATCTATTATCATCGTTATCATCATCTTCTTCAAGGGAATTCCGTACTCCTCTTTCGCCTAATCCCATTCATCAGCAAAGAAATAAGTTTGCCACTGATACATTGTATGCTTCATGCCCATCTCCGGCTGTACATCGACCAGATGCCTCTCATGATAATAGTAATATTGCTATTCCTAGATCTCCTTCACCACCACCTTCGTAATATATTATATGAATAATTTTTCTCCTCCTACTGTATTTCGTATGTGTGTGTAAAGTTTTTGTAATCTTATCTGACTTATTAACTCACCAATCAACTACTGTTAATTGGGAATAAAAACAACTTATGACATGTATTTATAAACTTTGAACAGTTTCATTCTAGTTAAAATTCTAATCTTGCCATTTGGTAAATAAAGAAGGAACGAATTGAGCGAAGAAATTTCTTTTCAATTAGTTTTTCATCATGGCTCTACACTAATATATATACGTTTTACAATAATAATATAATACTCATCGAGTAGATACGTTACGTAATAATTACATAATGACATTTAAATTAACATTGATTAATTGGAAGAAAGAGGATTATTAATATTCAAAGTGATCAAGAAGTTGCTACGTTGCGTAATGTAAGAAACAAAGAAGGAATAGAATTTTACCGGATGGTCAATAAGATAGTAGTTACGTAAGAATCAAGAGATGAATGTTGAGAAGTTATTAAGTTCAAAAGCAACAGAAACAAAATTACAAAAGTTAAAAAAAAACAAGTGGAAGAAGTATGAAAAATAGTTCTTTTGAAGGAAATCTTAAACTGATGGCCAGGGCAGAGAAAGTGGTTGTACGAATCTCTTTTGAATGCAAAGGTCAGGTTTGTGAACATGGATTGCGATGGCCTCCGCAATATGCAAGAGGCGCACTCGTAAACCATGTGGCAAATTAGATGGTATATTGTAGATAACCTTAAGAGCTTTATTCAATTCGACTTGACCTGTGTCGACCAAGTGAGAGAGAATAGAACTTTTAATCATTTTATTATTATCTAGTTTCTTTTTTTGTTTTTCGAAACAAAAAGAAATAGTATTCAATTTGAATATCTTGTTAAAAAGAATAATCAAATCTTAACTGTTTGACATGGTTTTTCTAAACATTTATATAGTGTATACTCACTGACTCCTTCAGCATTTTTATTTTTTATTTCTTTCATTTACCGATGAAAATTAAATGGTAATGTTCTAACAGTATGGAATCATTGTTTTCACCTAGATGTTCAGACTAGATAGAGAATTCCCCCCCCTAGAATAATAATTATAGGTTAGTGAAATAAACATGTGAATTTTAAGTGACTGAAATGGATAAAACCTACTATACTACTACGTATATTTAATCATTAAATTTTTGATGAAGTGAATTAGCTTGCTGGTTTAGGTTTAGTGGTGAAACTTTACTAAACTGACAAATTAATCAGATTTTGAAATGGTAGCTGTTGGATTCTTGCGAGAAATCAAATATTTAGTGACTGATATTTATTTATTTTTATTTAAACACTGAAACATTGGTACAAGGAGGCACCAAATAGATATACGCCACATAAAGCATTCGATTTGTGTGAGGACTAGGATACTGCCCGGGTACCCAAACCAAAGCAGGTGGTTTACTTAGGCGGCCACACCCCTAGCATTTGAATTAAAGGTCTGACACACAAGGCAGTGCAGCAACGTAAGGAGATGCAGTCCCATGGTAGTCGGTGCCCAATAATTGGTTTATACGCCATTTGTTCCATGTGCATGATTGAGTTGTAATCAGGGTTTTCCAACTGCTCTGGGTGGACTCTCCGTGTCCATCAACCTAGTTAGAGTGCCGGACATTCGCTTTTTGTCCTTTCAATTTCGTGAACAACAACAATGCGAGAAGGCAGTGAATGGGACTTATGTGGCAGTGGTTGTATGCACGTGGCCATGTGAGAGCACTTCGAGAGGGGAGCTGATTCTCCCCACTCTCGGCCGTACCAGGACATTTGAGAGCTAGTGACTGATAGCTTGTACTTTATTAAAAAGTTGAAAATTGTCAAGTATATCAATTATGCAATGACATAGCAAATGTAATGTGAAAGTTAATATACAAGAAGCACCTTACTTTAAAGAAGATTCCGAACATAGTCAAGGGTGTTTATGGGGTCTTTTAGGCCACCACACCTATTATGACTCAACTAAAACAGATAAATCATTCATTTGTGTATGGTTTATGCAATCGGGGACTAACACGTAGATGGACGACTAAAGAGCGTTTATTTGTTTACTAAGGTACATTTATAATTATCAGACTGTCATTCATACACCCCAATTTATCGATCCTATAGGTCGTGTTCGCTCTAATAGTATCGAAGTACTTTGGCAAAGATTAGGGTACTATCTTCATTTTTATATAGAGCCTCTACAGTTAAAATAATTTCGAGTTATATGGACAACTATTTGTGTTGAACTTGCTTTGATTTTAATACTAGGCCTTAATAAGTTTATTAATAATGTAAAACTAGTGTATACCTTTAGTGTTTTTTATTTTGTGACAAGTTATTGATTTGTAACACTTGCATTCAGACTGACTAATAGCTGGATGAAATTTGGAAGGATCACTTTTGGGGTCTCTAAAGGTTGTCAATATAGCATTGTTTCACCGGTTTAAATTTGAAAAGCGACCACTGCTGGGAAAGAAATCAAGAAACCAATCTATGTTGGATGGAATATCCGTTTCGATTAGTGTATGAAAGTGGGCGCTTTCTCGTTGATCTAGTAGCAAGAAAGATTGAATTACTGGGTTTTCGGTTCGTTTACGGCAAATTTTACTTACGAACAATTAATGATTCTTCTAAAACGACTCAATCAATGGGAACTCGAATAGAACGAACGTTTGTCATACAACCAATCATATCAAAGCATATGTTATTGCGGTAATAGGGACTAGGGAAATGTCATCGAGGTTATCCTGTGTAAAGGTAACTTAGGGACGAGCCAATCATAATCGAGGACGCGATATTTATTTCTTTGTGTGAAATTCAAATGTGCATGGTATGCAGAAAAATTGCTTTTGTATGCTGCTGAAGACGCTTCGAATGATACCATATTAATTCCTATTTCTATTACCACAGTAAAAGTGTCAAATGTATGAAATGTTTAATTCCGTCTTTTCAGATTATCTATAACAGCTACATCTTAATTCTGAGACAAACATTGACCTGATGGCACTAAATTTTGTATATGGACTAACCGGATAGCACTTGTATTTTTGAGTGTTCATTCATTCTTTTGGCTACAGAGCAATTCGATATTATAGGTAATATCAACTTGTGATTAGAACCCCTAACCCTAAATAGCAACTCTTGAAAATCTACGTCCTACAAGGGTTCGATAATATTTAAATCGATTGGTTACATTTCAAATATTCATGTAACACATGCTTATCTTTATTGAATGATAATACACTACTAACTAATAATAAGTAGTGTCGTTTAAAAACTACTATTTCTTGGAAAGCACTCAATCTTGGGAACAGTAATCATAAAAGAAATTTATCTAAATTATATTTCAGGTCATTTTACATTACTGAATTCTTCCTTCAACTTTAATGTAAAAAATACTGTATGAAATGAATTTCGTCCTATTACTTCTAATATTTATAGATATCACTGTCTACGTTCTCATACATTCAGCATATCACTATTTGTTATTCATTTAAACATATATTATCTCTGATGTCACTTTCTAATCATCTAATTGACATAAAGCAGCTACACCACGATTAATCCAATGCTCTTGTGGTTGATTTGTTTTCAAATCAATATATAATACAAAATTTGTTGAATGTCCTGTAGTTGATAGAACACCACGTCGAGCAGATGTTTTGTAGACTGGGCAAGTATAAGTTGATTCACGATTGATTTCACTTAACTTTTTTGGAATAAGCCAGATCTAATGTGTACAGAAAAAAGTGAAAAAAAGGTTATATGTTATAATGTTTAGTTTCAAAAGTAGATTATTAGAACTTGTTCATTTATTTAGAATGATAGCCTTTATTATAGACTGAATTTGATTATTAAAGTTTGTGATATAATAGACATACTAACAGATTTGATATCACAGTATACTTTGATTGTCATTCAAATATTAAACTCAATCAACACGATGTTTTGGACACAAGTTGTGTACTTTTTGGTACTTATATATTTAATGCATCAATGAAATTAATATTTACTTGAAGAGATTAGACTATTCTTCTTAAAATATCATTTATTTTGTTATTTATAAAGCGGTCAGTTAATAATAAGTGAATTAAGTAATGAGGCGAATTGACATTTATTAGTCCTATTGATGACTACTTTACTTATAGGCTGGCCGATTCATTTTGAAATCTTTTTCTGACATCATCTTCAGGACTTACGTCTACTTCAAAGCAACTGTATAAGTAATACAATTTCTCTTTCACTTCTAAACTATACGGATCAATCAAATTATTTGACGTTAGGTGATTTCAAGCTATTGAAACTAAGCCACAGTTGTACGTTACTTATTAGATGCTGCTTATCACTACAATGTATCTACTATTTTGAAGTGAATTGATATTCTTTATAGGGTTCGTACCCATGTAACATCCAGTAAAGTTACCAATAATTTGTTGTGATGAGATGTTAACATTAATCGGTCGTCGAGAAGTAATTAATATCATATTGTTTTACTCCTTAGTTTTAAACAATTTCACATTTCAATAATTGATTGAAAAGGTCATATACAACATTGAATACGAATTTCCTTTATAATTTCTTACCTTTTCTAGCTTTTAGACTATCATGAAACGTACCTTTTTCTCTTATACACTATTGAATATTTATTTTCACACTTTTACCGCTGTACGAAAAGTATAACCTTAAACACTGTAATTATTTTATTTATATGATAACATCGGAAAGGAAATGTCGTTTAATTGAAAGTATTATCAGAATGGGGTTTGTGGAGATTGTAGCAATTTTAATAGTTGAATTCATGGGTCGATTTAAGCTAAACCATCACTGAAAACCTGGAAGCATCGGACGGTCGTTCCTACCTAGTATGGGACTCATCAACAGTGCGCACCCATGACCCTACATACAACACTTGAACCCAGGACTTTCGGTCTCGCACGTGAATGCCTAATCTCAAGACCACTGAGCCGACATCCAACAGTGTTAATGTCTAACTTCAATCGATCGATAATCTTGCGCAACTATTTATCCAATTGTCTGAGGTAGATACCTGTCTCTATCCAACATGGATTGGACTCCATTGGTCACGGCTTCTCATTAGAGTTCCGGGAAATCCACCTTGAAGCCAGTTACTAGTGAGCGCATGATGATTATTATCAGAATGAGGGTTTATGGAGCTTGTAGTAATTTAATAGATGGATTCGTGAGTCAATTAAAGCTAGTTTTTTTTTAAAAAAATTCTATTCACTTATTGTTAAGTTTGTCTTACATTGTTCCTAATCACTCCCATTCCACTCCTTTGTATATTGTTTTATACTACTTATTTACATTCAGTAAGCAGTTGTATTCCCAACAATTTTCACACTCATGTTGTAATGCAAGTTGTACTGTAATATTCTGAAATGTTCACATATACTCATAACGTTTATTGTACTTATCATTGTATTCATCATTTTAATTACTGTAGCGGTTATCCACAGTTTTGTGCATTTGTTTAAACGCAACAGTTTCCATATTGTTTTACTTTTGGTTCGGGTTTCGGTTGTTCCTAAACTGTTATCAAACGTAGACACAGCTATCAGCTGTCCTTTGTACTATCGTATTTCGTAATCATTCTTTGTGTTACTGTAACAGGAAGCCTTTTTATTTCATACTTGAAAGACGCGTTTAAGTGCCTTAGACACCTCACAGGTTGAGGTTTGTAACTAAATTTTGTGTATTATTCAATAAAGAACCGCTATTGTAGACTTCGGTTTCGCGCGTACCTCGATCGGATGACTTAGACGCTTCGATAGATTTAAAACTTATTATAAAAAAAAGTAATTGATTGAGATCATGAACCGACTGATGTTAGATCACTTTTGGCTCTTGATCTCAATAAAAAAAACAAAAACAAACTTAATAATCTCCATAACCTTTATACTGATAAAATTAATTATTTTACTTACAACTGGCATTATATCAAATAATATTTTTGATTTTGATTCATTTAAACAATTACTCATTAAATCCCAACGTGCACCTTCTAAATATAATCCTGTTATATAAGCACCATCATTTGGTTTGATAAAATCACCAAATTGTTCATTTGATCTTTGTAATTTAACATCATTATTCATAATTAATGATGTACGTCTATTTTCATTGAATGATTGTTTTGGATATTTTGGTATAGTTGATATATTGTCTAATATATTAATTATATTTAAATAATTTGATGTGACATCAAATGTAAAACCAACTGTATCTATTGGTATTGTATATTTTCTTGCATAATTTTGTAATATACCAGTTAAAAATGATTGAGTAAAATAAAAACCTGATATCCAATATACCGGTGGTGTATCATAAGTTAACCAATCAGCGAAAAATTTCAATCTATATTATTTATAATAAAGTATAAATTAAAAAAAAACAAAAACAAAATATTATTGTCATTATCATAGGGAAGATTAAATTATGGGTAACTTTTGTGAACTATTAATGGACTAAAGTTATTGAGATTAGATGGTGGGTGGGGGTAGTCGACAGGAAATCCTGATCCTGGGTTCCATGCTACTTGGCATTCGTCAGCAAGGTGTACCTGTAATCTTGAGGGAACTGGTGCTCCCTGGCGGATTCGGTCCCGTGTCACCCAGCTTCACAGTCAGAGACGTTACCACTGAGCTATCCGAGACGCGACTGACCTCCATCTAACCTCAATAATATAGTGGACTCAGTGTCAAGTCACCTAGACTGGTGGCCATATTGCAACATGGTCGATAGCATTCGATCTACACTAAATAAGGACTTGAAACACATGACATTGACCACAACCCAGTGATCAATCAATTGTGAGGACTAATATTATATATATATTGTTATGGTATAACTATTCAGTAATTAGATTGTGTATATTTACATTCATCTTATTATAAGCTTCATTTTGATCTATAGATTACTAATATAAGATTTACGGTTGTTAAGTTATGTTCAGTTTATTGATTACTGTCTCCTACGTTCATAGCCACATTTTAGCTTGATCTTGTACAAATGCTATTTATTATTTGATCCGGTGATTTGGTCTGTTTGGCTGGTATATAAACCAAGTATGTCTGAAATAAATGATTCGCATTGTGGAACTTGTTGTCGGCGTTCTGGACTCAACTGGCAAGGCTAGGATGAAAAAGGACCAATAAGGACGCTAGTCTCCCCATACTGGTCAAACGTCATTGGTTTGGCACAGTGCTAAGATTGTATGAGTTGTAATCTGATCTGCGATTATATCACGTGATACTAGCCGGACTTAAAGTCATAACAATTATCAGAAAGGGCTTTTGTGAAGAATCTAGTAGTTTTAATAGGTGAATTAATAAGTCAATTAAAGCTAGACTACTATGGATAACCTGGAAGCATGGGACGGCCTTTTCATTCTAGTATGAGACTCTTTAGCAGTGAGGGATTCGAACTCATGACCTTCTGTCTCATATCAGCACTTTATTGATAGCCATCCACGATCTTGCTTGTGGGATTCGAACCTACGAGCTATCGGTCTCTCACGCGAACGTATGCGCACTGAGAAGCTGTTCTATACTAGGACGAAACGGTTATCCAGTGTTTCCAGGTTTTCCATAGTAGTCTAGCTTTAATTGACTCATGAATTCAACTATTTAAAAAATAATCCGAAAACTTAAAAGATAGTAGTAAATTATCTTGTTAGTCGAATTATGATTGTTAATGGTTAATGTATGACAAAGATAAACTTTATTGATAGCCATGAATGTGAAATGTCTATAGTACACTAGTTTTACTTAAGAAGTAATTCCACATTTATTTCTGACATTATTAATGTCTAATTTTAACTAGTTTCAAATGTATTTTGCCTAATGATTCTGAGATTTTGTGGATTACTTGAATAATCTGTCTATCAATTGCATATTTATCTTTTTAATAGTTCAGATGGACTTTCTTAGAATATCTTGCCCATCTCTGCAAGATTAGTTTTAGATTTTTACTGGAGAAGTTTGAAATATTTTTTATCAACATTTTAAACAAAAAGAAACACGTTACCTGTGTAATGCAAATGATGTGAACAGAGAAAGAAGAAGCCTTGACAAACTACGGAAGCTATTTCATCGGAATGTTATTTCATTTTATGCAAAGCTTGTAAAACATAAACATTTATTTTTTTTCTCTAGTCTATTCTACAGATCATAAGCTTTCGTTTGATGTATGATTCACTACCATAGCCCTTTTTGTTCCAAAGCTATTGTAATTTAAACGTATTATTTTGTACTCGATTTTTCTACGCTAATCTCCAGTATTGGGCATAATTGTATTTTCCTAATTATTGTACGATATGGTCGGGTTGGTCATCTATCTATTCACGTACCTTTTCACACTAATCTGAAAGTCGGGAAATCGGGATCCAGATCGGAATTGAAAATGAATCGAGTTGTGTTACAGTTGACTTGTCTTCTCTTACTCGTGTGCTTGTCAGCCAATCAGGTAATAGAATAGTTTTCTTCTCTCTACCCCAATTCGAACTCACGCGTACTAGCCTCAAGGTTAAGCCGGTCAGCCTATCACGTCAAGGTCTTAATCTAGATTCGACAAGTTATCCTCAGCACCAAATGTGGGTAGACAGATCAGGGACGTAACAGTAAAGTGGTTAAAAGATCAATGAGTTAGAGATAAATTTTACATGAGTCTAAAAGTAAGCAGTTACTTAGTGATCATTTTAGTGAAAAAGGTTGCCAACAGTTTACTTAATCATTCTGAACAATCCAAGAAAGATTCTCATATTAAACTACAAAAATAATATAACAATAAAAACTGTCTCTCCTGAGGATTGTTGAAAGAAATCATGTGTCAAGTCATTAATCTGAATTCTACTTTTAATTTGGTCATTTATTTATTCTCTAAATCACTGTATTCGACTCGTCCATCCATCACTACTGACCTTGAGCCGGCAGACTGATTCCTATTAGTTCACTATTCATTAACTCCTCTCTATCCCCTGCCTTGAGTTCGGCGGTAGCCGTTAACCTCTTCTACATCTAATATTATTATTGAAAAAAATACTAACATATATTAGAGCCAACATGATTCGCTTCATAGTTTTATTTCCAATTAATCTGCCTCGAAAACAATATTCTCCGGTAGATTACTATTTCAGTAATTCATAAAAAGTAAAATCCAACCCTCAACAACTTCATATACGTCTTTGAAATAGGATATTCCCTCAATAGCTGGACTTATGATTATGCTCATTAGAAGTATTTTAAAACAAATTCCAACCTGAATAATAAGTGAAAAAAGAAAAGGATAAATAATGCCTAATTCCTTGAATATCTCTTCTTTTTACAATACCAATCTCAATTTGAAATCTTTGTTCATAATGATAACAAAATGAATTCAATTATATTGATTTTAGGAACCTTGTTTATGGGTTTACTAAATCACTGAAACATTTTGTTAACTAATCTATTCTAATTGTTGATAAGAGAGGGTATATTAGCTCAAAAGTTCAAATACTATTAGTTTTTAATACTCTCTTTCTTTCAATAGTTGAAATCATGAGTCAATTGAAGCTAGACCACCACCTCAGTGTACTGCTGCGGAATACTCTACTAGGGCGAAACGGCCGTTCAATGCTTCCAGGTTTTCCATGGTGGTCTAGCTTCAATTGACTCATGATTTCAACTATTGAAACTCTCTTTCTTATCAAATTACTGATTATCACATTTTTATTGTTTAAAGATAAATAAACAAACTGATTACCTATATAGTAAATCTTGTATATAACTTCCTAAAGGTTTAAGTGATGGATATGACTTCGCTGCCCAAACACTTGGTAATTTTCCAATTAATATTGAATTAAATACATCTTCTAAGTCAGCTGACATAACAACTAATCCTTTGATAGCTTTTTGTAAGTCTATTAATGTTGTACGTACAATGCTAGTTAAGCGATTAAATCGTATCAATTCTTGTCTAAGTACGGTATTCATCGATTCTTCATACTTGACAGGATAATGATTAATTACCTGTTAACAAAAATATGCACATAAAAGAAGTGAAAATGTGTAACTGATGAAGAAAAACTATTTCGCCAGGTATTTATGTTTATTACATGTATTTGTAAGCGACATTCACCATGGAGTGATATCCATTCAGGTTCTATTAAATACTAGAGAGTACTAGATATCTATTTCATTTTTGAGTGAAACTCCGCTTCAGCATGCATATGCAACTCCTCAATCGATAGTGTTTACGACTTACAGGCCTTCCAACCTAATTAGAATCTATGAGTGTGAATTCGACCAGCACTTTGACCAACAGGCCTGGTGATTATGGTTCCAACCCTTGGTGGGGACACATTAGAAACGAATCTCAGACTAAGATGAATTAAATATCCTCTGGTACCTATTAGTACACCGAGTAAGACCAATCCATGGAAAATATCACTCAAAAATCAAAGCGATATCCGAAAAACTGTTAATCCAGGTACATATAGATAGTTAAATGTGTATCCCACATTGCAGGTTCATTTCCTCCTTACGTAATCTTTGTAATCACACTACTTAATAATATCAAGTATTTTGGGTATGTTTGATAATTTTTATTGTTCAAGCATTGTGTTTGTTTGTCATAGCAAACCAATTTCTAATTACTCGTAGTCCGTTACTCATTTTGTTCACTTGTCTAATTTCGAAACAGTGTGTCGTGTACTTCCTTGAGGCTCTATATTCTTTTTTGACACAGATGTGTTCTGTTTTTTGATTGAAAGCACATGTAGTAACTCTTTTACATGTTTGAAGGTAAAATTTAATCTTCGAGCCCTACATTTTTGGCATCACTGGCGTTTGAAAATCCCAACATTCAAAGTTTAACAGTTTATAGATGCATTGGAAACCTGGAAGCACTGTACAGTCATCTCGTCCTAGTACGGACTTCTTCATCAGTGCTCATCCACGATCTCGCTTGCGGGACTCGAACCAAGGCCCCTCAGCCCCGCGCACGTACTCTCAACAACTAGATCACTGAGCTGGGCATCCAGTGGTACTAATGTTTAATTTCAAATAATCCACGATATTGCACGACCATTTTCCATTATCTTCGGTGGGTAGCTGTCTCACATTATTTCTAGACATGGTATGAGTATAATGGAATGCAACTGACTTATAACTGTCACACTTCCAAAATACTACAACAAATGACTTCCGTTTGTACTGGAAATCGGTTTTAACATCTAATGCCAGTCTGCAAAAGCCGCCTAAATCAATATAGTATATGATCATCAAGTAAATGAAAAGTTGTTTAGTCACCGATTTATCAAGAACAATGCATACTTAGCTTCTGATCAACACCACGCTTTACAGAAATTAATTGCTAAGGTAAAACCATATCTGTCTGTGACTAGAGAAGCTTTATTAATGTAGTTCAGTCAAAGAGAGTCAAAATCATACTCAATAGTTCATTCTGAATAGTGGTTCATCAGTAAGTGTGGTGATTATGTTTAAAATAAGGACATGACAAATATGCTATCCAATGAAACGAATGTGTTATAAATCTCATTGAAGTGTTATATCTGTTGCTTATCCAATAGAAGTTTTAACTCTCTTTTCTCGTTCAGTCTACTTTTCCTCATATTTAAAGCAAATTACTATGCAATTAGGATTTTAATTAATTTCTAAAAGTCATTTAGATCTTCCCGTTTTTGCTGTTTTCGGGTGCGATTAATCTATCCTTTTTGGTAACTGTGCATCATAAATGGATTACTTTAATACTGATTTCAATTCACAAGCATTTTAAAGTGTCGGATAGTGGTTAGTAGTAAAATTGAGAACTCGCGTTTCACACTATTCGGGACTCGTCAGTTAGATGTACCTACACTCCAGTGCTCATATTGATGATATTTGAGGCGGAAGCCAATGGGTTTAAGTCCCAGTGTGAATACCAACACAGGTGTAAATACATATAGCTGACAAGTCCCAGATAGGATATCATACAAATTCTGGATTCTACTGCTAGCCACTATTAAATACAAATAAGTAACAAATGGGTAACACTTAGTTGAACTCACTTCTTTCAAATCAAAATCTGGTGGAAGTTTCGATAAAATATCTGCAGCTAATTCTTGTACAATTGATTCTGGTGATTTACCAGCTGTATCTTTTTGTCTTGGTAATGTTAATAAAATTCCAGAAAATAACTTCATATAATGAAAGTAAAGAGAAAATGTAGGTAAACACATTTAATTATGTGATCAAAAGTAATAACAGTTTTTCAATATAATAAAAGTTGAAATTGTGGTAGAGCAAACTAGTGGGAGGGCATATGCTCCTCCACGAAGAGTAACAAGCGTAAGTAAGTAAACTAGTAAACTGATGATAGTTGTTACCTATCCAGTCGGTAGTAAAATTCAAAACCTGTGTACCACTTAAACGAATACCCCCCGCCTACTAGCTTGAAGATCAATATGTCATTGATTATCTCACATTAGCTGATGAACCTGATAAGAGATATATAAATGGTCATAAACTTATAATAACCTTGAACAGTTAATAAGCATAAGGATAAAGTAATTTATTGGCCCAATGTCTGATTGTATATCAGAAAGCTGCGTGTTCGAATCACATCGGGCTCACTAATTTGGTGGACCTATATCTGACTCCAGTTAGATCGCATGAATGGTTGTTATCGAAATATATATGTCGTCAGCCATCGTATGTGATTATCGACTTAATTCGCGTTAAAGAATAACGGAATTAAATAAGTCAAATACATATATATTTCATATACTTATTGATCCAGACTGACAACCAGAGAAACAAAGTGGGAAAGCGAAGCCGATCGGGGGAGGCCTAACTCAATATTTATAATCAGACCAAAAATAAGTTACAGACACTTGATGAATAGGATAAGTAATTAACACACATACGATCATGTAAAAGCAGTTGGGGTTAATATGCGAATAATCAACAAAGTCAAAATATAGCTAGAGAAGAATGAATAAATTGATCTGTCCAGAAGCTAGAATAGCTTTCCGGGCTCGGTATAGTGTCAGAAACTACAGTCATAACAATAGTTTATTTTCAAAATCAAATAAAAACTTGAAATACACAGTGATTAGACGAGATTTATGTAACTTTTTGTGGTTCACACATAGTTAACCAATCCTAATAATTGAATTCACGAGTTGGTCTAATCTAGACCATCATTGGAAACATGGAAGCATTGGATGGTCGTTTCGTCCTAGTATGGGACTCCTCAACAGCACACTCCCATGATCCCGCACGTGGGATTCGAATCCAGGATCTTCGGTCTTACACGTGAACGCTTAACCTCTAGACCACTGAACCGGCATTTAACACTGTTAATATTTAACTTCAATCCATAAATAAAAGCAGTCTTGGCAAATAAATCTATTTCGTCTTTTTAAAACCTTTATAATATCATAATTAGTCTTTTAAATGGTTTCATCTACAGTTTGACTTCTCTTGTAACAGAAACAACATTAGGGAATTTGAAAACTTCAGAGCTATTATTCAGATTGGTATTATATACATATGTATACTAATAATGTATAGATAATAGATAATTGTATAGTTCAATTTTTATAATATCTTTACTGTAAGCTTTTACTGAACCTATTGACTGCTATTATGCATTCTACTTTTCCCAAATTACTGCAAATTTATTGTATACTTTTCGCTCTTCCCTCTACCAATAGTGATATGATTCTGCATAAAGTGTAATTTCTCATTTGTTCTGTGTCGCCAGTCATTTCACGTATATTATTATATGCGTTTTAAGTTATGACTGAGTTGGGCACTATAGAAAACTAATATACTTCTTGTCCGCATTTTCTGTTCGGCTACTCGGTGGGAAGTGGATCGTTAAGGCCTTGATTGTGATTCATTGGTTGGTGTGTATATTTGTGACATAGGTCATTGATCCTACTTGTAGTATGGTCCATGATATGGATTAGAATCTCTATCCCTAAAAATATAACCATTTCTCTAAACACAACACTTTCCTTTTGTGTAAATGATACAATGGGTTAACCAGAAATTACCAAATGTTAAGTCCAGATGGTCAACAGAGAAATTGCTCTCACTTGGAATCTATAAACCTTTGACAGACATAATTTCCCAAGGGACAAAAACAAACATGTAAACGAGTGTGCGTGTCACAAGCGTCAATTAACCAGTAAATTACTAAAATCGCGATTTGCTTACGAGTTTGCATAAGATTAATCAAAAGTAAAACAGTTTTAATCGGTTTACGCTGCAATAACCATTCGTAATAGAGTGAGTAAACATTTCACAGTACTTGGTATTCATGTAGTATCATTTCCATTCCAAGTTGATGCATTGACCTCGTCTTCATTAATTCAAAATATTAAGAACCCTTTATAAAGGTACATTCTTCAAATTTATTCATGATAGAAATTATATTTTACATTAATTTTTGAATTCCGCTGTAGAACTCTGAAATATTTCAAGTTTTTCTCACTTCACATTACTCAAACTTTTTCCGGTTGATCAATCCTGCAATTACTACTGGGATACAGAGTAGTTTAAATAATCGTAACACAGTTAGTGAGTAACTTTGATATTTATATTTCAGTTTGTTGATTTGTATATCAAGAGTTTGTTTACTTCAAATTTTGATTCATTCTATTGTTTTATTTCAAGAATTCTATTGGTTGGTTGAATCTACTGTTAAACCAATCAGCGTAAAGTATTTAATCATTTTTCTATTATGACTTTAGATTGGTTAAAAATATGTAAAAATGTGTTGTTATTATTATTATTATTAATCCCGCCTCGCGAGATTCCAACCAAGGACCTGTGAGTCTCGCGCGCAAGCGCTTAACCACTAGACCACTGAGCAGGTCAGCATCCAACAGTGTTAATATCTAACTTCAACTAATCCACGCAATTGAGCGATATATCTACCATTATCTTCAGTGAGTTTCTATCTCACAACAGACCTGGGTGAACTCTACTGGTCACTGCTTTAAACTAAAACTCTAAGAAATACCTCTTGATTATATTATATCAAATGAGGATTTTTAAACAAATTCTTATTGATTTATTTTTAAAAAATGAAATAAACATTGATTAATTAATTACTTGGAAAGTTTCTTGATTGTCTTTAGTGATATCGGCATTATCATGAAGACCATAAACTTCTGGCATTGGATTTAATGGCAATGAACGTATATAATCAATAAAATGTTGGGCTGTACCATCATCAGGACAGTAATATATACCAGATGGTGAAAATCTATAATATATTCAAAAGAATAAGACATACACATGTATAAAATGGTCATTCTACATATCTCTTTTGGATATATAAGGCTTATTGATATAAATCATTCCTCTAGAACAAGCTCAATGGATTAGGATTCCAGCCTAGAAATTGGCTACTTTACTAAATCCCTAATTTATATGTTAACAAAAAAAGAAAAAAGAATATCATTTTAGAAAACTGTAAAATTTAAGGAGGATGAAGATGTTTGTAAAATCTCGGCGAAAGAAAATTTACTTTTTTTTCAAATTATTCGGCACTACATTTGATTGAACATTATACACAGAACTAGAAGTTGGTTGAGAATTCAAAGCTATTTAGCGGATATTTAATTATATTTTGAAATTACATATCACTACTTGTTTTTTATCTACCATCCAATTAAGTAGTAAGCTACAGTTCAGTTGAGCAAACGTCCACAGAAATTCTAACAATGACAGATTATAAATAGTGTTTTCAGAGTGTAATTTAAGGTTAAGCTACTTATTACTGATGACATTTCATGATTCAACTTCCTAATGTTATGAAATACATTCACAACTGGTTATATCACATTGTGATAAGGGACTCATGAACAGTTAGTTCGATTCAAATAAACGTTTATATATCTCAAATTTGTTAGAGTTAAAATATGAACCATTGAGTTCCAATTTTGTGGCTGCGATACTTGTGTTTAATCCATAGCCGGTTCTTGAATGTACACTAATGTGGAATTCTATTGTAGCACAAAACAACTGTCAATTACTTCCAAATTTTCATTTATACCCCAACTATTTTCAATGCATGTTAAATAACTTTCTGTGTAGTAATTAAATTATTTAATTAAAAAGACTTGTTTTGTAGTCGCGCTTCTTAAATAGTTTAATATGTCAACGAGTTATCAAGTTCCACTATAATGAAAAAGCAATTGTATAACTTACTTGTAATTTTCTTCTTCAATAATTCTTTTATTATAAAATATACCCAATAATGAAATAAGTAATCGTCTATCTTTATCATCAGTTACACGTCCACCATAATTACATTCACCAGTAAGATAAGTCAATGCTTCAAATGGAATTTCATCATATTGGTCTAAAAACATCTAAATTATTAAATGTTTTTTTTAAAAATAAGACAAAAAATCAATAATATGGTAAAAGAAGTTTGTGGAGATTGTTGCGTTTCCTAGTCTAAAACATGAACTGACCATAGAAGAACATTGAGACCTAGGAAGTTAGAAATGTAAACTATACGGTGTCAATTAACTGGTCTGAAGGTTAAGTACTCTCTGAGAGACCTGAAGATACTGGATTCGATTACTAGTAGAGTTTTGGATTCGAAATATTTAAGAGTCCTTTTTTAGGATGGAACCTTCTCCTGTGCATCCTAGTTTACAAAGGTTGTCCAGCTTAGGTCACTTCATGATGTAGACTAAGAAATTAAGAATTAATTTAAATATACATTTTTATAACTATGAATTGATTAGATAAAATTACAGCAAAACTGTCAACTTGATTTTAAACGATCAATATATTTATACCAAATGATCATTGAATAGTGACAGATTTCGTGTTTGTCAACACCTTAGTGGTAGTGGTTGTGTACTCAATAGTTTTAGTGACCAACTATTGCATGTAGATTGTGTTTGGATGTAACATGATCAGAGATAAAGTACAAGAAACTTAAATGAACCTAAATTTTAGAATGAGATGTACTCAAAGTCGAGGTAACTGATGCTCCTCAAGGTATTTGAATTCTAAAAAAATATGAAGGAAAACGGCGTAAATGATTTTTTAAATGTACGAATATTATTTTGTCAAGTCAGTATGGTCTTTTGAACTTGATCTTTCAAAGTTTAAATGTGATCATTAAATTCAGTAAGTTATATTTAGATACACTTACTTTGATGTTAGATGGTTGAAAATTATTGACATTGGAGTCTTACGCTTATATATCACAACTTTTGATGCTTAAAAGCAACAGCATATCTCCATTGTCGAAGTAATTTCATTACGGGTATCACCATCATGCACGTTATTGTTAAACTATTTCTTATAGCAAACGGATTTATACTGAATACCTGTAGCTATACAGTGTACTCTTAACATGTAATAGGACATGCATTTTTCTACTGCTAGACACATTCCATCGGTTATATATTAATTTGCGCCATAGTTATTATATCGAAACAATCAGCACAGAATACACATATGCTAACCAAGACTGATCAAATCTCAGTCAAAATATTAACAACGGAATAATCTAAATCTTTTTAAATTGAACTAAAACCCATACCCGTTGCAAAGGTGAGTAGTTATGTGGACTCAGTAGTTAAGTTGATAACGCGGTGGTGTTTGAAACGAATGGTTCTGTGTTCGAGTACCAAAGTGAACACCAACTACTGGATGCAGGTACACCCACCCTCAAATAGAATCAAAGGCATGTCCTGAATTTCTGTGCTAACCACATTACATCTATTCTATATTAACATATTTTTCTGTTTGAAATGTAACAATGCAACATTTTTAATAGTTTTGTTCAACGTATATTAGTCCGTGAGGAAAATCATCTTTTAGAAAGGGACATGAAAAGTGTGCTAATGTGATCTACTCTTTAGTCTAACCTTCATTTGTCGTACACTGATACGTAGATCGGATTCATTAAATTCATAAGGAACATTCCAACCAAGTGGACCAAAGTTACGTCGTTCTTGAACCAGTGCATGGAAAAAGCATAATCCAAATAACATCTTATGCCATATAGGATTCTAAAACAAATAAGAAGTAAGAAGAAAGTAAAAATTTTATTGAAATATCCTTAGAACATTCGATAATTAAACAAAGTATTGATAAAGAATATTCGCAACTAATGACGAGTTCACTTAATCTGAGAACGGAACGAAGACTGTGACAATAGATTTTTATTATCCACCCGGCAATTTTTGAAATTTTTAAAAAAAATCCCCCCACACTGAAAAATTTTTTCCAGCCCCAAATTACAATATTTTTCATCCCTTGTTTCGTCCAATGAAATGGCTAGTTTTAAAGTTCGTTTTAATTGGTTAGTTATGGCTTGAAAATTGTTATAAAATATCAGTACTTGTCGACGAAGTATATTTAAATCGTCATAATGGAGGAGAGTAACTTGCTGGAGTTTCTGACGTCACAGAAACGGAGGAAGTGTTTTTGGCAACATTGTTTTTCGTTGCGTTCTCATCAGTTGAAGCGTTAAAGGCCGCTATCGCAACTTTCGAAAGATCGACTTACAGTCATTATGTAGTGAGAGATTCGCATACGGGCAGAGATCAGAATTCGTATATTTAATTTGTGTGTTGGAGAAATGGGCGTATAAGGTCTAGCGGTTCGTCACGGAGGATTAGACGGAGGAGGTAATTTGGTTAATGTAATTATAATTTTTTTCACGAAGGGCTTCCATCAACACGCAATGTCCGGCATTCATGTTGTGTAAGATTATAGACGGGTACTGGACTGTTGTGTGTAGGAATGTGCATCGCAATCACGAGTGCAATTCCCTGAGGTACCAAACTAATTCATGGATGCGCAGGTTAACGGATGCTGATTTTGAAACTGTGCGGCCACAGCCGAGCATGAAGAATGCAGTGATAGCGTTAGTCAGGCGAATGTCTGAGGAACAATGCAGTTCACTTCATGGCTTCATAGTTGACGGTAGACTACCGACAACGCCGTTGAACTTGCATGGAGAACAGCATTCGTACACCCATTCAACAACCTCGACTAACGTTGCACTGCCCTTTATGCAACGAGGAACTGTTGATTTGGATGAAACGCTCAGTAACGATGAGGAGGAAGTAATTTCTATTAACTCCGAAGAGTTAACTGAACGGGACATCCAAAATGAAGAAGGGGATGACGAGAACCGATTATGCGACATCTGTAATCTTGCCCAGCCGCCGTGTGAAATCGGTGATGCGGTTGCTTGGGTTTTCTGTACATGTGAAGCATTGTGTTCATACCTTCTGTGCCTACGACCCATCACCGAACGTACGAGCAGTGCACTGTCCTATGTGTGGCGCCATTAGAAACTAAAACGGGAAAATTATATATATATATATATATATATATATATATATATATATATATATACAAATTTTAATATTTGCAATTTTAAAAGGTCATTAAATAAAGGTCTAGATGATTTGCAGTAAAGTGTTCAGTCACAATAAGTGGAATAGTATTATAGCAAAATTAAAAATGCAAAAATAATAATAACCATTATAAAGGTTTATTGATGCAGTAGACCTTGTTCATATTTATACGTTTAATGTCGATAGACATTTATTGAGTCAGACGACGTAGGCTTGTTCATTTACACTTCATGAAACGAATACTTCAAATGTTTGTCAAAATTGGTTACATTCGTAATATCTAGATATAGTTCAGGTTTCATATTACGGTTAACAATATTCACACATGACTGATTAAACACACTAGTATTTATTACGACCAAAAAATTAATTTTAAAATACAGAACTACAAATAATTTACAAGTGAAAATAATGAACCGTTTCAATGGATTTCCAAATTAACCACATTTAAATCTAACGTTTTCTAATTCTCATTAGGAATGAACATTTACAAAATAAACGTTCACTAAATATTAAGTGCCTATTTCGGAAAATTTATTACTACTTTCATATACTGTCAAAGTCAGTTCATTAAATGATGGTCTATGATTGCTTCACCTGAATTATACATATTTTGCAACCAGTAAGTTATCATGATGATTTATTGATTAACAGACCGATTAACAGACCATGTGTTACTAAAAAACTTATGCACACACTTCGGTGATATTTTGTTTATTAATTGGGTATTCCACATTAGACAACCGACCTAATTCAGTAATCACTATTATCAAATATTCAAATCGATTTTCAGTTCCTTTTTCATTAAACTTTCTTTTAATGTGATACATATAAGTACTCGTGACATTAAATCACTTGATCGGAAATCAAAAATTTATCCAAACACACATTCACTAACAGTAGGATTGCACTTAAGTTGGTGTTTTTTTCTTAAAATGTGACAATTTCTTACAAGACTATAAAATGACAGATAAACGAACTATTCCGATGCGTCCCAGCCCAGCTAAGTAGAAAGAGAATTCCAAGTTCTGAAAAGGGAAATGTATTCCATAAGCAGCAAGAAGCACGGACAACAACAACAAGCACAAATCAAGCTTATATATACAGCATAAAAATGTCCTTGGGGAGCGTAAGGATATAGCATACTAAAAGATAAAACGAATCAGAATAGTGTTTAAGATCCTCCAAAATGGGAAATACGACATGAAGGTAAAAATAAGTGCTTTTGGTGCAAAAACAAGAAACTAAAATTTTTAACTTGGAATAAATCATTTAACAAGTGAGTTCTGGGGATCTAACATTCCCAACAAAGATACCAAGAGATGTACATCTTTACTCGCCTTACAGTGCACAAGTTTCAACTATCTATAATTTAAAACTTGAGTTATGCGTATAAAAACCATTTGTTAGATCTGTTTTTTTTTCTACAAAAGTCTCAGTTTTCAGTATTATTTTGTGTACTTAGCTGTTACCCCTCTTCTTTATTTTATTATATTTATAAAATAATTCTAATTTTCTATTATTATTGTTATATCCTAGAGAAGATTAAATTACGAGTAACTCCCAAGAACTAATAATGGACTAATATTATATATATATATATATTCCTATTGTGACTAGATTCTGAACATCTATATTCCTTTTATTATAAGCTTCATTTTGACCTGTAGATTATTATTATACCATTTACTGTTCTTGAGTTATGTTCAGTTTATTGATTACAGTCTCTCATGTTCACAGCCATTTTTTGGCTGGATCTTGTATAAACGTTATTTCCTATCCCAACCGTAGCTGCTACCTTGACGTGGTGGTCAGGCTTGCCTATGGTGATGACCCAATCGAGCTATATTGGCGGGAACATACGTTCCTGCAGATTCTACCATGCAAGGCAGGTTGATTAGAGAACGGTAAGACTAAAAGCAGCAGCTCAAGGTTTGAAGGCAAAGTTATACTGCTGACTGTAGAGGGGTGTGACAGCAGTAAGGTGTTTCCCTCGGACAACCGCATCTGCAGCGATGCTGCCTTCTCACAAGGAGAGAAGGGGTTCGAAAAGGTCGACCCTAAAAATGTCACGCCGCACCTTACCTCACGGATTTTCGTCTAAGACGATAAGGCCATTTGAAGAACGGAGCTAACACGTTAAAAACCTCCCACAGAAGGCCGCGTGACACCGTCCTCAAGTAGTTGTCCCTCGGGCTCTGCAGTTACGTTCCCAGGTCGTTAAGACCAACACCAATGCAACTTCCTTTTCGGGTTCCTCAAGAAATACCCTTCCACAATGTGGGCAGCCGTGAAGTGATATCATCCCTCATACACGTAGCAACACACTAACTGACTGTTTTTTCCTATTTTATGGTGCGACGCGGTCTGTTTGACTGATATCTAAACCAAGTATGTCGGGAATAAATCATCCGCATAGTGGAAGCTGGTATTAGTGTTCTGGATTCAACTAGACGGGCTAGGCGAGTAAAGGACTAATAAGGACGCTAGGCTGATCAGACCGGTCGAATGTCATTGGTTTAGTACAGCAAAAGAGTTAATAAGTCGTATTTCGATTGGCGAATAAATTACTTGATAAAAAGCGGGCCATAAAGTCACAACAATAATTATGTTTATTTATTAAAGATTGTTTCAAATAAAATATCTTGGCCATCATCCTCACATTTTTATTTCAATGTGACAATACTCACCGTCTCACTTTTCACCCTATCGATTACACATTTCTCATATTTCGTATATCTTCTCCTTTACTAACTATTTTTTACACATTAATAATAGTTAATCAAATTTTAACTGACATATAATTATCCTAACAATTGGATTCATGAGTCAATCTAAGTTAAACCACCATTGAAAACCTGAGAGCACTAAACAACCGTCTCATCCTAGTTTGGGACTCCTCAGCAGTGCGCAGCTACGATCCCTCACGTAGGATTCGAATCCAGGACCGTATGTCTCACACGCGAACTCTTAACCTCTAGATCACTGAGCCGGTTGATGGGTTGCACAAGATCATGGATCGATTGAAGTTAGACATAATACATCGGAACGGTTATTCAATGCTTTCAGGTTTTCAATCGTGGTCTAGCTTAGATCGACTGTTAAAGTCCCTACAATCTCCACAAATCCCCATTTTGATATAACTATTCATTGATCGATAGTTTATCATATATAAATAGAATTGTACATCTTTTGAAAATAAACTTGTTGAAAAGGATCTGTTTATTAAAGAAACAAACTATTTCCTGATTTAATGATTATATTTAAATTGATATAATGTAAAACTAATTTTGAAGGTATTTAAATATGCTTCATTTGATTTACATAGGAATGTTAAAGAATGATTTTAATCGAGAAATTGTCTAATTCTATAAGACTCATGAAATGATAAGAGTTTCTAGAAATACTACAGGTAAGTCAGTTACAACGTAGGACTAGGCATATATATGGATCAGTCCAAGTTGACATACCTGATTAGTACAGCAAGATGAACACCGGATTCATAGGAGTAGTTAATTCAATGGTGGTAATATATAAAAGAAAGATTGCATATTAGGATATAGTACAGGAAGGAAGAATTAATTCATAGTAAGAAAGATATGAAGTGATTTTAATCTCATCGTTTAAAGGAAGACAGACAGTGTATACATCTACGCCATTGTGATCGATTCTGAGCCATGTCACAATATCTATTATGAACAAAGTGATGAAGAATATTTTTTTGTTTTAACTGTCTATCCAAATATTAAGATTTATTCAGTAATTGAAATCATTTTAAGATCAGGTAGATCTACAAAGTGCTATACGATAGTTTCACAAAGGCACTGAGCTCATTCATGAAGTAAATGTGGCTGACGGCCTATATACAAGAAAACTAAGGAATACCTGAAATGTTTTCTGGGATATTTATAGTCAAACATTTATCCGATTGGATATTCAGTGGTCGAAAATTTCTAGTAATAGTTGATAATTATCACTTCGTCTTTTAATTGTTAGCAGTGAGGATAAATTTATTGTAAGTTTAGTTTACCAGTATTTTATCACATTGTATTTTGTGACGGCTTGACATTAATACCTGGTTATTCATAACAAATTAGGTGGAGTAAAGTTTTAACTTTTGATCCATTTACTGAAATCTCAAAGCTTAACTACAAGGTCACCATGTTATATTCAGGGGATAAGAAAGAATGGGATTTCTGTCAATAAATAATATTCATTTACTAATTACTACTCATTGTAGAGTACTGAGAAGATGTTATATTTTATTCATCTTGTTTTTATAAATGTCTTTTGTTCACTTACTTTTGTACAGCCATCATAGAATATTGGATCTGATATAGGATCATTTAAATAAGAACGTAATAAATTTGATCGCAAACCTTTTGGTGGTTCATTTGTCATTTTAACACCTATGATATATGTGAAAAGAAAAATAGTGAATACAGATGATAGTGTATAATTATTCCTTTTTACACAATCTTTATAATTCAACAAATAATTAATTTAATTATTTTTTACTTGTATCTTCTGATTGTTATTTAGGACTGCAATTGATCAGTCTCTTGTTGGTATATGTGCATACTATGCAGATTGCCTTGATATTGCCTTAAGTCATAAGCTGTTTATGCAAAGATGGATAGTAGCTAGCAGTGAAATCCAGTTTGACACACGTTTCATCCTATTCGGGACTCGTCAGTTGGATGTACCTACATCTCAGAGTTTATGTTCACTCTGGGACTCGAGCTCAGTACCGTTCGCTTCAAATGCTATCGAGTTATCTACTTAGCTACTGAGTGCTGATAGCCACCTACTTGTACAATGGGGTCAGGTTTAAATTTACCTGGTGTTGTTTTACTTATAGATATGTTCTGTACTCTGATTAAGCAGGTCTAGAAGACTGATTACTTGTTTCGTAAACAAAAATCAGTGGTCATACTAACATTGCAAATTGAACAGGAAGAATGAAACAATAATATATATTCAAAATTAATGCAAATGTATGAGTATATAGTATTTCAATCAAATCACTGGATGTATCCCACTACTGACTCTAATCAAGTAGTCTGAATATACATAAACCATTCAGATTTCGTGGATTGGTTGAGGTTAGACATTAACGTTGCTGGATGCCGGCTCAGTGGTCCAGTAGGTCAAGCGTTTGCGCGCAAGACTTAAGGCCCTGCGTTGGAATCTCGCGAGCGGGATCGTGGATGCGCACTGCTGAGGAGTCCCACAATAGGACAAAACGGCCATCCAGCATTTCCAGATCTTCACTGGTGGTCTAGCATCAATCGGTTCATGATCTCAATCATTTTTCTCTCCATATTATTTACAGTAATGAGTTATTAAATTAGATTTAATAAGTGATAAACACCAAATGCAAAATTTCTATGTTGTAATAACAAGCATTCATATATTTTGATTTCACTTAAGATTTACCGCGAGAAATCTGACTTTCTCACTAATGACCTTGATGGTCATTATTAAAACAAAGTTACACTTACCATTTTCTAATATTGTAACAGGAAAATCAGGTGATGGATAACTAGTTAACCATAGACGAAATTTATCGTTTACATTATTTGGTATAATTGTTTCTTCACATATTTTCTCTAATGATTTCATCCAACTAACAGCTAAATGACAATTTTGTAATACAACCCATGTACCATTTTTAATAGCTTGATAAATCATATTCGCTGCTATTGGTCCTTGACCTTGACCAAGTGATATTGTTTGTATACGATCCCTGGTATATCCTATATCAATACCGAATTTAATTAAAGCATTCATTGGATCAGCTCCAGGTGATAATATAAATATTAATGGTGAACAACAATTGGAATCAGCGAATGAACTGGGTAAATCAAATGTTGGTGGTTCAATAAATTGTTGACCAAGATTTTGTACAATAAAATCCTATTTATTTTTTGAGAAGAAAAGACGATAATGATTTCAATAATTCACTTATTATGAAATTGTAAGGTGTAAATTATTATGAACTTAAACATCAGAGACTAATTAAATTCAACAGTGTTCTTTTTACAGAACTATCACAAATATGAACATAAAATTATGTAATTTAGTAGTTGAATTCATGAGTCAATTGAAGCTTAAACACCATGGAAAACCTGGAATCACCGGACGGTCGTTTCGTCCTAGTATAAGACACCTTAGCATTGCGCACCCACAATCCCACCTCACGAGACTCGAACCCTGGACCTATCAGTCTCGCGTGTGAGCGCTTAACCTCTAGACCACTGAGCCAGTATTCAGTGGAGTTAATCTCTAGCTTCGACTAATCCACGAAGTTGCGACACCGTCTTCCATTGTCATCATCTATACAATTATGTGCTTCACTAATTACAGGGTCTAATCTTATCTGCTGTCTCTGTGATGCAATTTTATCGTAGATGTTAAGAGATGTGGAGCTTTCAGAGTGGTACACATGTGCAGCTGAGGAGTCACAAGTTTGGTTGAAAAAAATTGTTCAGTGTACTTTGGGTTTTTAATGTTTATCAAACTTTAATCGAACTGTGATAAAAAAAGCTTCGAAATGAATAGTTTTTTTTACAATTCTTGCTATTAATGACATTGATGGCATTGAACTCAGTAACAGTTTTCGACTAAAGCTTACATTTCAATTTGATTATCTCTTTCGTATAGATAAAAGAGCTTTCAAAAGAAGCCTTTTTCTAGCTATTTTGTTTAGTTTTATATTCGCTGAATAGAACTGTACAAAATTCATTGTTTACTTTAAGAGAAAAGGTTTTAAACAACCTATAAATTATGTAAGTCTTGGTCAGGCACGGATTTTGAAAGAAGGAGAGGGTTTCTCAATCGCTGAAGCTAAACTTAAAAAAAGATTTTATTTTCTGTAATCAGTACAGAAACATCAAGTTCACTGATAATGAATAATAATATTTGGCATGGTTAATAACGGTTTGTTAACCAAACCATTATTCCAACGCCTATATCATTTTTGCATATTTGTCTCTGTTTATACAATAAATTAAGTAATATAATAATGATTGGACTGAATTATTTAAATGATGAAAATTCCTAGAATAAGAAAGTTTTCACCAGGAGAATGTTATGAATGGCATTTAAAACAGTTGTCAGTGTACAGAACGAGAAAAGAAGTGAGGAAAACGAAATGTATTTCAACACAAAGTTATAGAATCTCTTAGTAAAGTCTGAAAAACCATACAGTAACGTTTTAATTTACAAACTGCCAAACAACCGTCTCAGACTTCACTGTTTCTTCGTTTCCACAGTATTCATTCTGTTCTCGCTCTCTTTTCCTCGATCTTCTTAACCTTCTGCTGCCAGGTATTTCACTTTCGATTGATGATACATACTACTGATATCTGTCGAAATCAGTAGCACAAACAACCACAGGAGCTAATAAGAAGCTTTTCATAACTCTTGGTGTTTGGAATTAAAAAAAAACATTAACTGCAATAGACTTTATTATTTAATAAAAAATAATCGAGTTTTGTTTCTGCTTGATTTGAGATTTGAAATCTTTAGAGAACTATGTTTGTAACTTAAAAGTAGCAAACATGCACATTCTGAAACTTGAAGCATTTGTCATCTATGTAGGCGTTCGTTTCATATATTTTAGGGTTTTTAATCAAATTTATAACTTCATCTGCTAAATTGTTCTCCTTATTTTCCATTTATGTGAGGCTCTTAAGCTGGATGTACCTGCATTACAGATTAGATGATCTCACTCCGAGACACGAACTCAGTACCGTCCGCTATAAACGCCATTGTATTATCCATTTAGCTACTGAGTCCTGATAGTCAGTACCTTGTACAATAAGGTTAAGCTTAGTTTACCTTCTGTTGATTTTTTGAATCTTTCTTTTGACGTTTAAAACTTCAACTGATAAGTTTCTTTTGGCGTATATGAGTCGTGTGTGGATTGAGTTACAAGCATTTTAAGCAGAGATGGATGTTGGCTAGCAATGAACTATATATCTAATTCTTTGTTTAACATTTGAATAACCCTACAGTTTCATGAATCATGGAAATTAGAATACACTAAAATGTTAAATTAATTAGGTTTACAGTTACATTTAGAAGTGATCGAAATAATCCTACCAGTAATAATATATGATGTACACGATGCCAATGAAAAATAGTTAAGTAAACCTTTTCTTCAGGATCTAGTTTCTAATTTTCCTATAATCATAGAAGTAGTTTTAAATAGGAATTCATAATGTATTCACTTGAAATACTGTTCTGTATATCTTATATCTTTTCAGCCAAAAGTATTTCTTTTAAAGCTTGAAGTAATCTGTATAATAAATATCTAAGTTACTTTCATACATTTTAGTCGTTTAATCATGGCATGAAATCAACTCTGTTTTACCAGTATAGGGGTTGTGGAGATTATTAAGTTTTTGATTAAGATCATTAACTAATTGATGTTAGATCACAGTTGGAAACCTGGAAGTACTGGACGGCCGTTTCGTCCTATTATGGAACTCCTCAGCAGTACACAATCACGATCCCGCTCGCGGGGTTTTATTAAGTAGTAGTGTTTTTGCATATATAATAAATTTGATCTACTTTTGGAAATATAAATGATTTGTAACAAAGTTTGATTCACTATTAATGTTAATATTATTACAAACAGTCAAAACCTACTTGAACTCCAGGGATCACTTTATCTGGACATATACATCGTAGTACAACCAATTTTTCAAGACCATCTAATTTTGAAAATTCTCCAGGAATAGGAAATCTATGAGGTGTTAAATCATCATACATAGCTTTCCATTCATTTGAAGCAGATTGTACACCTTTAAGAAATGCAGTGAATATATGTAAATAAATATCCGATCCATATGAAACATTTTTAGTATTTACTAACTAGTAATGGTAAGCTAAGAGTACTTGTGACGTTTAGCTGATTTTATGTCACTTGAGCTATATAGATTTGCTAAGATTACTCACACACTAGATGAAGTTACAATTGAGAAATTTTGTGATATTTGTGACCTTGTAGTTGGCTAGTTGAAGTAAATGAATTGATTTACGGACAGTAATTAAATCTAAGCCATGAAATTGATCTAGACCTTCAGGATGGTATCAAGTTCTTTTCCTAATGAAATTCGGACTGTTGATGTACCGAGCCTAGAACTGTAGTTAGAACTCCAACAAGATACTAGATAACAACAATCGCTATGCTAAAAGAAAGAGAATGCTCCTTCACATTAGTGTCTTTTCGGGTTTTTTCTTCGTGATAACAAATATTATTCATTGTATATATCCGTTTATACACGGTTGATAAAAGATTGTGGACAATTTAACCAAGTATCTTGAAACAAATAGTTTTATTAATTAGGTATAAATGTTTAATGTTAAGTACCGGTTACGCAATCAAAAATTTATTCAAATAAGTAGAGAAAAAATATGTTGACATACTCTTCGTATAACTATAATATATGTAGAAACGAAACTATGGTTTACGATTTTGGGCAAAAGTAAAAAAGGAATGACCTTAATTCATAGTAATTAAAGAGCATGTCGGAAATACCTCTGTATTTACTACATATAGTTGACATAACTACTTATATTAAAACTAAAGTACTTGTGGTGTTTGAATGAACTAATGATTCCTTTGTACTTATTGAATGTTTGATTTCTAATTCCAAATACAGTATATTCGGTCGTGCTTATCTAGTACTTCTTGATCCGATTACGTTATTTATGGGATTCTTAGTTTATACTATAATTCAAATACTTCTAATTATCATAGTGGGTTAAACTTTATGAAACACTGTAATCTGGGTGTTGCTATATGGTCGAGAGATCGTTTTATTTGAAATTCCTTTTAGTCATGATTGTGAACCATTGAATTCTGGTCTATTAGATCAATAGTAAAGTGTTAGAAAATAATTTAGATTGGAAACCATGTGAGAATACACATGTACACCGCTAAGGTGTTTTTTTCAATTCAGGTATAAGAGATGCCTTCAGAGCTTACTGTAATATATATACTTACTTACGTTTGTTATCCCCCGTTGAGGAGTATAGGCCATCCACCTGCATTCCCCATCCAACTCTATCCTGAACAGTCTTTTCCAGTTGCTGTTAATTCTTTTCATGTTTGCAAACAATTCTCGACTCATTGTGTTCTTTGGTCTTCCTCGTTTCCGTTTCCCTTCAGGATCCCAGGTAAGCGATTGTTTTGTGATGTAGTATGATGTTTTCCTCAATATGTGTCCTATCCACTTCCAACGTCTTTTCCCAATTTCCTTTTCATTTGGAAGTTGGTTTGTTCTCTCCCACAATAGGTTGTTACTGATGGTGTCCAGACAACGGACACTCACTATCTTACGTAGATAATTGTTATGAATACTTGTGCCTTCTTGATGATGGTTGTGGTAGTTCTCCAAGTTTTCGCTCCGTATAATAGGACTGTATTGACGTTCGTATTGAAGATTTTGACTTTGATGTTGGCTGACAGTTGTTTTGAGTTCTAACTCTGATATATATAGGAAAATGTTCTGTTTTCTGAATGAAATAATCTAGCTGCCATATATTCTTAATTCTTGTGTTCGCGTTTGTCACAATATTAACATATGAAAAATTACTTATATATTTATATAATATTTGATATAATTGTACTACTTACTATCCATAAATCCTTCTAATCCTGGTAATTCTGTTGTACGTACAATTTCTGACCAACATTTATCTGATAACCAATCAGGACATGGATTTGGATAAGGATTATCAAGTGCAACACCACCGGTTAGTAGAAAACGCCAAACTGTTTCATTTACTTTCCCTCTAATTTGAAATTTTTTTATATTAAATCAAGTGATTAATTAAAGTAAATAAGTAGTAATGGTAATTAAATTGATTATAATTTGGATAGTGCTTATTAGTAAGGTTCTTGAAGGTCATACGTTTTAAGCTTGCTGGAGTCGCGGCTTTGCTCTGCTGTGGAATACTGTACTAGGATGAAGCAGCGTACAGTGCTTGCTGGTTCACAGTGTTTATTCGTAAGAAGTAAGTCTGTGTCTACCTTCACAATGTCTCGTTCTAAAAAAATCGAATTCAGTAATTCATTTTTTGCCGTTGATGTTTGTTAAGACTGAATTAACCAGTCCCTGTTTGTACTTCTTGAACGGATGCTTCAATATTCTTCACATGAACATGAAAATTAAGAGTAACTGAGAGTACAACCCAAGAAGCAATCATTGCATTATTTAGGGTTTATCAGTAAGATGTAACTAAGTCACAGTGCTGTAAGGAATAATCAGTCGTATCAATCATTTACGAAGTGGTATTTGGGCAATATATTAAAAATATTGCACAATGGTGAATCTATAACGTTAACAAAACACAATTTGGGAAGGGTATTGCAATCACAAGTTGATTGAAACTTAGAGAAATGTTTTATGGAATCCTATACTGTTACTAATAACCATCAGTCATAGATTTGATTTTGAATTTTAAAGTCCTCAAATAAACACCTTTGTGCAGAAATAAGAAGTAGTGTAACTGCGATTCATTTGAAGTGTTTACACTTTACATAACCACATAATAAAGAGGAATCTGATTAAAATTTCAACAACAAAAGGACAACTCATTAGAAACGAAAATATAAACAGAAACTGAAGGCTTATCTCGTCAGTCCTTATACGACATTTCCGCAGTTAACAGATGCAAAGACATAGGTCAGAGTCAAGAACACGTTGTTGAAGGTATTAGACAAGAGAACCTGTCTTATCTAGGTTTCATCACGATCTTGATGAAACTAACGCTTGCCGTAGGATTCGAACCCATATTACCAAGTTTCAAAGCCATATGCTTCGCTATTGATCTATCCAGGCAGCGAATAAATTGGTGTAATACCAATATTTTTTAAGAATTGCGAATTGGTCGATAGAATTCTAGTGCCACTAAACAATCAGACATATCAAATTGATCAATAATCAGTGATCAATAAGTTCTATGATCTATTTGTGCTTCATTAAGTTTTAATATAACATAATAAAGATTGACTCTGCACTAAAATAATCAGAAGTCTATTCTGATTTTATCCATTATAAATTATCCTATATAACCTTATTTTCTCATAATTAGTGACCTACTCATAAGTAGTCAAATTGGAAACTAATAAATATATTCACTTGGTATTGTTTGTTTGAATGTTCCCATTGATGTTTAGAACTACAACTGATCAGTCAAAAATTCAAATAAACAATACCAAGTGAAATTAAACTTCACCCCATTGCACAATCTATTGGCTATCAGGACTCAGTAGCTAAGTGGATAACGCGATAGCATTTGAAGCGAACGGTACTGAGCTCGAGTCCCGGAGTGAACATCAACTCTGAGATGTAGGTACATCCAACTGGCGAGTCCCGAATAGGATGAAACGTGTGTCAAACTGGATTTCACTGCTAGCCACTATCCATCTTTGCATATTAAATACATCATCTACTCAATGGTCTTCAAATAATTAATAATGATGATGATCATTATGATTTCATATTGATAAAGAAACTTACTTATTTTTCATAAGTGAATAACACATGATTAAAGAAAATAATAATTTATGATTTTCAAATAATGATCGACATATATTTCGATAAACACTAAGTGTAAAATGATTATTCAATAATTCAATTCGTTCTTCCAAAATAGGCGATTTTTCACTATTAGAAATAGACTAAAGTTTTATAAGGAAACAAACAAACAAACAAATCATCATCTTAAGCATAATATCTGTTGTTTATTAAGTAAAAAGAATAATTAGATTATTAAAGATCTAGCTAGGTGTATTTGTATCTTCCTCTGTCTTCTATAATAATATGTTATTAATAATAATAAATGTGAAGTCCATTGAAACAGTACATTTAGACGTATCTATGATAGGTGTTTGAAGATGGTAATATTTAACCAAATGGTCATATCCGAATCTACGTGTTACATCCTTGATCTGTCTACCCACTAATATATAAAAGATAAAGGCCTTCACATGATAGGCTGACTAATTTAACATTGAGGCTAGGACAGCGTGAGTTCGAAGTGAGACTAACTGAATTGAGTAGCGAGACGAGAACTATTCTATCACCTGATTGCTTCACAAGCGCGCGCGAGAAAAAAGATGAGTCAACGGGAGCACTATTCGATATACTCCTGGTTCCTATTCGGTTACAAATCAGTCAGTCAGTTACAACGTAGTCATACATGACCTTTTTGTGAGTAATTTTCGTGTTCGTTCCGTACTTATTGGGACCTTACCGCCAGAGACAGATATCCGTGGGATAAGGCTAGATGTACATTTTTAGTGTCGACATTTTCTAACCCTACCCTTCCTTGTGGGAAGGCAGTACCGCTGTTATGCTGGTTGTCTGAAAGAAACACGATACTGCCGTCACAACTCTGTACAGTCAGCAGTACAATTTAGCCCTCGGACCTTGAGTTTGCTGCTTTTAGTCTTACCGCTCTTCAACCAACCTCTCTGGTATAGTAGGAATTTGAGGAACGATTGTTTCAACCAGTATAGGTCGACTGGTTCACTACATAGGCAAAGCCGACCACCACATCAATGTAGCAGCAACGATTCCGAATCAGATTAGTGAAAAAAAGATACATGACCAACATGACCAAAACATACAAACAATTAGGAAAATACGTTTATATCCAAAACTGGGGATTAAGGTAAAAAAATAGAGTACAAAAAGTTACGTTTAAATTACTATAGCATTGGAACGGATAGACGTATGGCAATGTATCATATATCAAACGAAACCTTATAGCTTGTAGAATAAACTAGGGACAAAACATAAATACCAGTGTTTCACAAGCTTTGAATTAAATGAAATAACGTTCCGAAAAAAATAGTATTCATAGTTTGTCATAGCTTTTTTGTGTTTTTCTGTTCACATCACTACATTACCTTATATCCAGCGTAATAATATACTGTGTGTATACATAAGTGATTTGAGAAGAAACTTCATTCAACTATATATTGTCTTCGGTCTGTGTATATTAAGAAAAACATTTCATACACTCGAATGAATCGGGTCATACAGTTGATTTCAGTGGCGCAAGAATCACTCAAAAGGATTTAATTCTTACAAAGAACGACTAACAGCCGAAGCCCTAAATATGTGGGCTAATTCAAACAGTATTAATAGGAGAGATGGAATACAACTAGCTGTCCCATGGCAACTAATAATTAATAAGTAAAGCTGAACTCCTTATTCTATTTGATCAGTCTATATCATATTAACTAATCAACGGTTTCAAATCAGTTAGCTTATCTGAATATGTTAAACAATTGACTGGAACATTAAAATAACACAATCTTTCAATTACAAATACATTCATCTTTGAATTCAGTCTTTTATCTTGTTTACTTATCTTATTTATTTATCTTCATTTAATACATGCTGTGACATTTTGATTCATTTCATATATAAAATGATGTTTTTCCTAATATACACAGACCGAAGACAATATATAGTTGAATGAAGTTTCTTCTCAAATCACTTATGTATACACACAATCTGTTATCTTAACACTTTCCGTTTCACACCACATATCTCTTACATACTTTAATCATTGTTCACTTTGATTGGATGACTTATTCAGTATACAGTAAACCAGAGAATCATGTACCTATTTATATTCGATAATTTTGTTGTTTGATTATATTTTCCTTGAAAAATCTTTGACCAGATTGCCAGGCGAAACGTTGGATTTACTTAAAAATTCATTCGCTGAGATTTTGCAGATACAACATTCTTCCTCTTTAATGTCTGACATTAACTCGGCCCCCAAATATTGTGAAACTATTCGTTCAAATTTAGACGAAAGTTCTTATTTAATATAATTGTTTCAATACAATACAATACAATGTTACAATCAATGTAAGAAAGACTTTTAAAAAAAGCAAAAAAAAACAAAATTTCACAGATTGAAATCATGAGTCAGTTGAAGCTAAACCATCATAGAAAACCTGGAAGCACTGGACGGCCGTTTCGTCCTAGTATGGGACTCCTCAGCAGTGCTCAACCAGGTCTGTTGTGAGATCTCAGCTCACTGAAGACAATGGTATACGGTGGCGCAACTTCGTGGATTGGTTGAAGTTAGACATTAACACCGTTGGATGCCGGCTCAGTGGTCTAATGGTTAAGCAGTCTCGCGCGAGACTGATAGGTCCTGGGTTCGAATGTCTTGGGAGGCGGGATCGTGGATGCGCACTGCTGAGCAGTCCCATACCAGAACGAAACGGCCGTCCAGTGCTTCCAGGTTTTCTATGGTGGTCTAGCTTCAACTGACTCATGATTTCAATCTGTGAAATTTCTAAAAATCTCCACAAACCCTTTCTGATAAAACAAAACAAAAACCAAAACAACTTACTGATATAAATAAATTAATAAACCATGTTAATGAATATTGATACATCGGATCAATATTTGATAGATCTGATATACAAAAAAATAATAATGAACCATGTTCAGATACTGGACGATATACATTACGTGTTGAATCAATTTCTAATTGTGTATTATCTGATATAGATTGTTTTTCGATTATTTCTTTACTTAATTGTTTTGATGAACTTAATATATGAATAGCATTTTCATTTTCTAATATATTCCCTTGTGATGTATTTAATACTTCTAATATTTGATCTTCTAATTCTTTTAATTGACGTTTATTATTAGCTGTATCAATAATTAATTGATTTTTAATCATTTCTAATTTTGGTTTCTCTTTCGCTGTAACAATACCCAATAATTGATCTTGTAAACCAATTGGTGTAATCATAAAATTAATTAAACATACTTTGACAGCAATTTCAGGTAAATAATTTGGATTACGTAATCGTGTAGTGATATAAAAACGAAAATTTGAATTATATTCAACAATATTATCACCAAGGCGTATACACCAACTTCCTTGTGTTTTAAATAATAAACGTTGTAATATTGGTTCTAATATTGGATCTAATTCTTCACCAATATTTTCCATTAATACAGGCATACCAAACTGTATAGCATTTTCTAATGTACGTAAATAATGTGTATCAGTTAATTTAATAATTTGTAATTTATTATCTTTTTCCATATTTTTAATCCATTTATTAGCTTGACCTTTATTCATCATGTTTTTTTTGAAGTTGGGAGAAAAGTAAAGTGAAAAGAGAAAACTTTAGAAGAAATTAAATAATAATTGAATTTATAAAACGTGGTCTATTGGTCAAGCGCTCGAGCGCGGGGCTGCTAGGTTCTGGGCTCGATTCCCACGAGGTGGGGTCGTGGATGCGCAGTATTGAGGAGTCCCGGAAGAAGACGAAACGGTCGTCTAGTGCTTTCGGATTTTCTATGGTTGTCTAGCTTCAATTAACTCATGATCTGAACTATTGAAATTACTACAATCTCCATAAAACCCCCTTTTGGTATCTTTTATAGATGACAAATGTTCTATCAACTTAATGTTGAAGTTCAATAACATTTGGAAAACCATTGATAGACCGGTATTTTGACTAAGCGTAAGATATCTTAATAACCTCTATTCTCCAACCAAATAACTATCTTTTAGATTTCATGGTGAATGAACTAACTGTATATAGGTGATTTGAAATTCAGTGTTCTACATTATCATTTTCAATTAATCAATTTATAATATAGCATAAAATAATCTAATATCACTGATGAGTAAGTGACTCATTTGTGACATATTTGAAAGCCTACTGTAATAGGAAATAACAACTTAATAGTTCATTTATAACTTTCCGATCGGTATGGATCTGTGACAGGAAAAGACAAACTAAACTCTATAGAACTTCCGGCTAAAAATTTACAATAAGTTAAACATTGAATGAAATTCATTGTTGGAAATTTTCCAAACAAGTCAGAAGTGTGTTCATGAGTCGATCATTAAATGATAAATAATATTGTTGTGATGAAGAACACAGGCTGGGACAGCCAAATGTATCTTAATACATGGTTACAGAATCTTTTAGTAAAATCAGAGAACCATGAAGTAAATACTTCATTTGCAAAATGTCAATCAATTGTTTCATACTTCATTGTTCCATCATTTCCACATTAATCACTATCTATTCTCGTTCTCTTCGATCTTCTTAACCTTCTACCACTGCATATTTCACTCTCGATTACTAATACATAGTACGTATAGCTGTCGACATTAGTAGCACACACCACAATACCGATGTTATTCACAAAGTACTAAGGATCAAATGTTAACTCGATCAATGAAGTTGTAAAGTTTCATTAATGAAAACAATTATTTAGTCTTATTATGATATGAACAAAAGGGTATCCCTTATGTTAATACTACTTCTAGTCTATCATTTACTAATATTACACCACTGAAATATAACTCGTTAGATAGGAGATGGTTATCAGTAGAAAGTTGTGAAGTAATGAGTTATTTTAATTGGTACCTATCGATAAAGTTTGTCTGATAAGTTCCAAAAATTACAACTGAAGTAATAATCTAAACATCGATTTTAACACATATCAATATTCCATGCTCAGCCAGTTGTTGGGATCAGGCTTATATTTACACATTAAATTTGATCTTTCTTTTATGAAACATTATTTATGCAAAAAAAACCAAACAAATCTCATATAGACTGATAATATACCTTGTGGATCTATGCATAATGCCCATCTATTAGAATTTGTAACAATTATACCGTTATCAGTAGAAAAGCTATCCACTGGTAGTCCAGCAATATTCCATGAACGAATTTTTACAGGATCACCTAATGTATCAGAGATACGAAACACTTCAGAACAAGGAATTTCCAATTTTTGACATAATTCATGCCATTCATTTTGTATTCGAGAACGAAAATCAATAGTATATGGTCCAAGATAGGCAACAACACCAGCACTTAATAGAACATCTCCAATTATATTTTCATATCGTTCCTAGAAAAATAAATCAATGTGAAGACGAGTGTATGGTTTTAAAATTTATCAACATATAATCTTATGGATGAATTATTGATGTTAAATATGTTTCAGTAGTAATATTAAAAACAAATTTTGAACATAATCTTTTTCCTTCAAATGATTCATCAGTTCACAGTAAACGGAATGTTAAAAATTGATTGTTTCGCGCGCGCACGCTTAACATCTAGTCTATTGGTCCGGCATTGAACTGTGTTAATGTCTAACGTCAACTGTTGAGAAGTGCCATACTAGGACAAAAAAGGCTGTCCAGGCTCCTGATAGTGGTCCAGCCTTAGATCGACTCATGAATTCAACTATTAAAATTATTTAAATTTACCAAAGGATCAGGATGTATGAAATAATATTTAAAGACTTGATTTAATTGAATAAATAAGGACATAAGGAAAAAGTTTCAGCGTTATTTCATTCACGTTGAATATAGAGAACATACACCAACAAACACAATTTTAATAACGCAGTACATCTATTGCCTTTATAAACAGTATCCAAACAAAACACACACACACATACATGATGAAAGTGAATAACTTACAAGGGCAAATATAAAAAATAACCTATAATGGTAAACTGACTTGTCTGTACAGAAGTTAGAATGAGCCCATGTAGACATTAGAAAGATCGCAACATATTTGACTTAACATGACTGATTTAAAGAGAAGTAAAAGGGTAGAATGTAAGACAATTAAGTATTGTGACATTACATACTTACTATTCCGTGTCAGTCTTACATTTAAGCATACAATTAACTGATTAATTCGAGTTTATCTGATTCACTTGGTGTTATGGCTGAAAGCGAAGTGAGGCAAACATATTTGATCAGTTTGCCAGTAGTCTTATCTCTCGGTATCAGTTGAGATATCAAAAATGAATTCGGTAAATACAAGATTAATTCAGTTATCTTAATTATATGAATGTTTTATTAAAACTAAAAAAACTAAAATTTAAAAAAAATACATTTTTGAATGAATATAATCTCATTATTAATTCTTACTTTTAATAATGCAGCAGCTTCAGTCCATCGTGTTTTCTCCCCACCTAATCCACTAATCAGTTTTTCTGCACGATCCAACTTTTTACTACACAAATCAATATTATCTTCTAAATCTTGTTTCTTCTTTTGCATTTCTTCTAATTGATCTTGTAAACCTTGAAATTTCGCTTGAATTTCATCTAACGCAGCTTTCTTTTCAGCTAATTTAGCCAGCTATATATATTAATATGAAAATATTAATAAGTGGAACAATTCTGAAGTTTTATTACAGTGGTTTTATGAACATTATCAAATGTTATTGAGATTATGAATCGAACAAAGTTAAACAACCAATGAAAACTAGAAAGTATTGAACAATTGTTTTGTCCTAATATGGAACTCCTCATCAGTGCGTATCCATCAGCTTATCGAGGTTGAGTTTTCAAACTACTCGAGTACTAAAATGATGATATTTTAGATTGTTCTAGTGATCATGATCTGTTATTTGATTTTTGAACTAAGATATTTTGACAATTAACATTTTAGTCTTTATAATTACTGGTTATTATTAATATGGAGTAGTTTCTCTTTTGAAAAAAGGAAGGCAATGGTTATTTTTCCATTTGGATCGTTTATTTTTATTAGGATTTGGTAACAGATGACTTACTGGATCTTGTGGATTGAGGTGCACTAATTTATGCAATTCAAAATATGGTGAGAAAAGTGAAATTGCGGCTTTGGTGAAAATGTGATCAATACAGTCGAACTTTTGAACAAGTTCTACTAAAAACTTCGTTCCAGGTTCAGATAAAAGACGTCAAACCAATTTTTTCTGCCAAATTGGGTGCCCCCAAATGCCCTGGTACGGCCGAGAGTGAGGAGAGTCAGCTCTCTCTCTCGAAATGCTCTCATATGGCCACACGTATATAGCCTCTGCCAGGGAAGTCCTACTCACTGCCTTCTCGTGGCGGGGGTATTGTTTACGAAATCGAGAAGAAGAAAAGCGAACGTCCGGCGCTTTAACTTGGTTGGTGGACACAGAGAGTCCACCTAGGGGAGTTATGAAACCCTGATTACAAACCAATCGTGCACAAGGGCTCCAGGATCCTAAGGAAATAAATGGCGTACAAACCAATTGTTGGTCATCGGCTACCATGGGACTGCATCTCCTTACGTTGCTGCACTGCCTTGTGGATCAGACCTTTAAGTCAAAGGCTAGTGGTGTGACTCCCTAAGTAAACCACCTGCTTCGGTTTTGGCACCCGGGCAGCAGCTCAGCCCTCACACAAATCAGATGCTTTATGTGGCACATATCTATTTGGTGCCTCCTTGTACCAATGTTTATGTGTTTAAATAAATAAATAAATAAATAAATAAATAAATAAATAAATAAAAGCAAGTTGGGTAATTTTCCTTCGAAAAAATGATGGCAGGATGATAGGAATGATCGAGAAAACTTCAAAGAGAAATATAAGTAGCATCTTATCACCTTTGACGAGAATATATATCTATATCTTTGAGTATCAACAAGCTAAATCAGCATTAGACAGACATTTTTTTGAAATATAAGGTATTTAGTATTGGAAAGTGTATTAATGTAACGTAACACAAGAAATTGTGTAAAGCAAGCTTTATTATTATTATTATTATTATTATTATTATTATTATTATTATTATTATTATTATTATTATTATTATTATTAATATTATTACTATTATATAACGTACTTGGACTTTTAATTCAGATTCAGCAATAGTTAATTTTTCTTTTTTCGGTGCAACAATTTTAGCCACTTTGTCATATTTATCTAATGCAATAATCCATTTACATAAACCTTCACATGCTGTACTTGCATTTCGTACAATTTTTGGATCAAAATCTGTATTTGGTATATAATTATCACGAATTTTTTTCATAATATTTATAGAAATATTATCAATTGGATAATTTTTTAAACGATCTAAAAATTTCAAATCACTTAATAATTTTAATGATGGACCCCAATAATCTTCAATCATTCGACCTGTACCATCTGGTTTACGATCAGCTTTTTCATTTAACATTATACAAACAGCTTCCATAACTAATTTTACAACATTTGGTGGATTTTTCATTGATTTAACTAATGTAATATCCTGTAGTGTGAATAGATAGGAAAAAGCAAATATCAATATAAAGACATGATAGAAGAATTTTAGTAGATCATATTGATAAACAAAGGAAAAGAATACTGTGTAACAGTGAGTTCAGCTCAATTCTATTGCTGTGGAAAGTGACTGGTAAAAATAGAGGATATTTATGAATTAAGCATATTTGTAGGATTATTTGGGTATGCTTGAATTATCAAGTGGTAAATGTTGACGCTAAGCATAAGGTACTCAAGGATGATGAATCAACTGATAAGATAGTGAGTCTTCCTTGACTGAGGTGATTAGGATATATACTAGTGTGCACAACCACCCTCACATTCAACAGGTTATGATGATTGGTGATGGAGTAGATCAAAAGAAAAGAGTGGTGAAACCACTAGTTGACATCATTGTATAGTCACTGATTTTTTAACTGAGCTGAGTAGATAGATGCACGCTTGATTGGGGTCCCGCAATTATCATAATCAAATGTTGGAGACGAAGAGTGATATCACTTAGAATCGGTGACATTGACCCAGATGCACGTAATATATGTCATAAAATACTTATGTATTTCAGTTCATACATCTAATGACATTTAGTACTTCTGATACTGTTGCCGCATCTACTACTCCGGAGTTCGTCTCGATAATTCCATCTCTCCGTTCCGACATGGGTTGTGGTAACCTGAATCCATGACGATTTGTACCAGATCCCATACTGCTCTTGATTGATTATCTGCCATCCATTTAAAAAACATTAATCTTTTCAAGAATTCTTTATCCTAATTTTTGCATGCAAACTTTATCCTAATTGTACTCTTACTGTCAAGTCTCATTTGATTGTAGTTATGTATTTTCGCTTACTAGTAATTGTGTTTGTTGAAATTGCTCTACGAGTTTGGTTTTAGTACGCTTGAATAATTTCATGGATTGCTGACAGATTGTTTATCCTCATCTTATCTCTAACTGATCATGGATTGAGTATAGTTAGAATTATTGATCATTGGATGCCAACTTAGTGATCTAGAGTTTAAGACGTCACTCGCGAGACCGAAGGTTCTGGGTTTGATTTTTTGAGGAGGAGTCGTGCATACGCACTTATGAAGAGCATCAATGATTGCCTAATTTAAATCGGCTCGTGATTCGAAAAAAATTGATTAGTACTGGGAATTAAGCAAAATATTGTTCAGTCACTAATTGCTGTCAAAATCTCCATTATACTGGAGATCAGTCGCAGCTTGACCTTTCCAATCGTCAAATTTAATGATGTAGCTCTGAATTTCACATAAAACTCTCAGTTTTCACTACAATATACAGGTTCTGTACTCATGAGTATCATCTTATGTGGAATCTATTTCTAGAGATTCTTGGATGCTATTCAAATGATTGTGACTTTTAATGAATAACAGATGACTGCACACATCACTATTCGATATTTCTAGTTTTAAGAACATTAAATACAATTATTGTCTAAGTCATTTTACCTCTACAGAATTCTTGAACTTAATTAATAACTTATCTGTCGAGTTAAAGTTTTCATAGCAAATCTCTGTTCAATATTATGCATACAGAATCTAACATCCCTCCCTTTTAGTGATTATCAATGAAAGTAATATTAACTCAGCTAAAATAAGATTGATTTTGATAATTAAAAAAGGCTGAAACTGTTCCTTCATCACATACGTCATCACTCCGTCTTACACTCATTGTCACTGAATAGTTTTAAAACTAAGGTTACTTTCTAGAGAAAAAAATACATTAATAGTCAAATAAAGCGAAATGAGATTTACCGTTAAGGAAAACTGTTAAATAGTTTTCAATTATAAAGTATGGATACAAACTATGCCTATAAAAATGATATAATAAGCTTACACTTTGTTTTAATGTATCTAAAGATGATAATGCATCGTTTAATATTGGCATAGCTTCAGCTAAATCCGATTCACATTCATCTTTAATTGCTTTCGATATAGATGCAGATTGATTAGCAATCATTTCATCGGATGCAACAATTTCACGTTGTGCTTCAACTTCAACAGATTCTTGTGCAATTTTATGTAATAATTTATCAGTTTCTGCACTTGTCTCAATAAGTAATGGTTGTAAATTACGTAATTCAATTTGCATTTTACCAACTTCATTTGCAGCAAATTCTAATTTTTCTAAACCAGTTAAATATCGATTACGCATTGTAGTTAATTCAGTCCGTTTCTGATGTAATAATTTTTTAAATGTAAGTATCATTTCTAAATATGATGTTGGTGTTACATAACTATGTCGACGTAATACCTCTAAAAATCTATTTTGGAAATAGTAAAAAAGAGAAAAATGGATGAACAAGTATTTTCAAAGTTGGATTCATGAGTCAATCTAAGCTAGACCGCCATTGAGAACCTGGAAGTACTGGACGGACGTCTCATCCTAGTGTAGGACTCCATAACAGTACGCTTAACATCTAGCCTACTTATCCGGTATCGTACGGTTTTAATGTAAAACTTCAATCCATTCATGGACAAATATTATTTCTGATAACATTTTCGATGGGAGGCTAACAGCGAAATCCACGTAGTAACTTTAATCTTTTTGCGACTTATCCCAAGTTGAACCAAATGTGTATAAAAGATTTGAAATTCTTTACAAATCTTATGTTGACTATGAAGGATTTACTGATTAAAATTGTAAATTTACTTGTAAATTCTAGGGTTGTTAAGATGTCTATGCAGGAAACTAATTTCGCTAGAAAGATAGGACACTTACAGTCATGAATAGTAATGGTAGGAAAATGTAAACCCATAAAATTTATGATCAAGTATCATTTCTGACATTTAATAAGTTCTCAGTCTAATTGATGGAATATCTTTACAATTTTGTGTTGTATTGAACGCTGCTAAACGTAATAATGATAAATTTTCTGATTGAACGTTTGAATCGGTTTCCTAAGCTCTTCTAATAACTCCAGGCTAAATCTAAACGAAAACTTGAACATGAGAGGAAAAGCGCAAAATATAGAAATAAAGCTTCACAAAAAGAGGGTATTTATAGCATTACAGGTAACCTTGAGCTTCTAGAAGGTTCTGGAGCCCTACTAGACATAGTATCAGTTTAGATATTCATCATCAATCAGAAATGTGATGTGTGACTCTTCACTTTTTCGATGTTTCTGAGAAACCTCTATTTAATGATGATTGGACAAAATGTTTCTCAGCGTTTTCAGGACCCCTCTAGGCTTTTTTCGAGCAATATTCTGGGTTAGAGGAAAAACTGTTAACTGTAATGTAAATAATTTAGAAAAAGCATATTAAATTACACTGCATATTAAGTTTCCAAAAAAAATTCGGCATTTTTAGTGCTTTGTTTTATTTAACAAACAATCGTATTTTATGGGCAAGATCTCATACTTATCAGTACTTTTATAAATCATACAGAATTTATCACCAGTTCGCTGTATTCAGGTAATATGACTGCATAAACTGATCCATGTTGAGATCAAGTAAGATGTACAAACTTAAAGTTATAGAATGAAGCATCATTGATTAACGGGGTCAAATTGTGCATACAAAAATGACGATGAGATACACATACAAATAATAAATGTAATAAATATTTCAGTAGTCAGTAAAATCAGTAAAAGTGAAAACTCCTAACATTAAGTAGAATGAAAATTCACTTGGTATTGTTTACTTGAATCTTTCCATTGAGGTTTAAGACTGCAATTGATCAGTCTATTATTGGCATATGTACATATTGTGCGTATTGCCTCGTTATTGCCTTAACCCACAAGCTTCGTAAGCAAAGATGGATAGTGGCTAGCAGTGGAAACCAAGACTTATTTTTATTTTAGTATTTTTCTGATTATCTGAATGATCAGGCTTATTCTTTAAATGAATATATAATGTAATTTAAAGAAAACACTTACTTTTCAGCTAATTTTCTTACACTTTCATGAAAGTATTTACATAAAGTAACAGATGATTCACGTATATTTTCTGCGAATTCAATACCTTCAAAACATTTATTTGCAACCATTTCTAATGCATCTTCAGGCCAAACCTTAATTGTAGTGATAAGATTAAAATGAATAAATTATTATCAGAAGGGGTCTTTGTGGATATTATAGTAATTTCAATGGTTGAGATCATGAGTGAATTGAAGCTACACCACCATGGGAAACCTGGAAGCCGTGGACGGCCGTTTCGTTTTAGTGTGAGACTCCTCATCAGTGCGCATCACGGGATGAGAACCCAGGAGCTTCAACCAATCCACGAAATTGAGTGACACATCCACCATTGTTTTGAGTGAGTTACTATCTCACAACAGACCCGGTTTTTATTATTATTATTATTATCAGCTTTATTTAATATTATATTTTTGGCACAATATAGAATTCTCAGCGTAAAGTATTTCAACAAGTTTCCGTTTCTTTCTTCTTGGTAGGTCCTGGCGATAAATATTGACTGATCTCCAGTTAGATGTTAGCAGTTCACTAAATGAACATCTGAATAATGTACATTCTTTTCGTTGTATATTATCTCTTATTGAGTTTTTTGTAACTTTGACAACGAAAGGTTGTACACTTTTCAGAAACGCAGCAAAATAGGTCATGCGATTAATAAACATAATAATACATTAAAACAAACAAAAATAGATAACTTGTTGAAATATCTAGATGGCAGGAACAGGTAGCCCAGAAGCTCAAGCACTGGTCACTGCCTCTCAATAGAACTCCAGAAAATACCTCTTGAAGCTAGTCACTAGTGAGCATATGTTGATTATCATCAGAAAAGACCGATAGGTCCTGCATTCTAATCTCGCGAGGCGGGATCTTGGATACACACTGCTGAAGAGTCCCACAATAGGACAAAATAACCGTTTAGTGCTTTCAGGTTTTCAATAGTGGTCTAACATTGATCGGTTCATGATCTCAGTTAGAACCTCAACAATCACCACAATCCTGTACTTAAACATATATATATATATAAACTAATAAAATTATGATAATAACTTACATGAAACCAGTCAATTGTACAACAATTAATCAAAGATGGGAACATACGTAGCCGTGATCGAAAAGCATCTCCAATCGGACTCATAACTAACACAATATGTAAATGCTTTTTAACTCTTTGTGTAAAATATGTATACATTGCTAATGGATCTGGTTCAATTTTAACACCCTTTTAAGAAAATAAAAGTAATTCAATCAATGTAGTTTTTTGATGATAAAAAAAGGACAGAACTAAGTAAGAAATCACAGATATGGAGTAAATTCTCATTAATGATTAAAGAGTTTTTCATGAATAATTGTGTATTCGTGTTTAAAAATATATAACACTTAAAAATCTCCCCCAAAATACATGTGGCGGCCTGCTTAAACATCTGAGTTACCTGTCCCTGCCATCTAGATATTTCAACAAATTATCTGATTTTGTTTGTTTTAATGCATAATTATGACTAATAATCGCATAACCTATTCAGGTGCGTTTCTGAATATTATACAACCTTCCGTTGTACAAATAACAAAAGGTCCAATCACAGATATCGTGGTTGCTGACATTATGCAGCGAAAAGAATGTAAATTATTTAGATGTCGATTGAGTGGACTGTTAACTTATAACTGGTGACCATTTACAATATTTATCATCAAGATCGACCAAGAAGTAAGAAATGGGTAACTTGTTGAAAAAGAACCAATCAATACTGCTAGATATTGATTGTTTCTAAGTGTTTTCGGTGATGAATAATCCAAACCTGAAGATTTCATCGTCTTTTTAGACAATATTAATAGTAAATACTTCAAAAAATTGTTTCCGATTCCTTGACAGTTTGCTTTGTCAACATAAATTATGAAATATGTACATATGTTATTAACTAGCAATACAATGGAAGCATCACGATTTAGCTAGACGGTTCAAGGAAAACAAAATATCTTTAGTACTTCTCTGTTGAGCTATAAATCTTGTTCATTGTATGGAAATTAAATTTCTAATGAAAATCATCTTTAAACTATAGAAAAGCTTATAAATCAAATATCAAATTAACTAGTGAATTCTGATTGCAAGGGCAACATTTTAAAACTATCTTATAAAGAAGTAGATAATAACTTGTATTTTAAATATCATCTAATATGCAATGATACTGTTTGATTAGATGATAAATTTTACAAATAAACTCATTGGCGAGTTTATTTTGCGTGATGTGAATATTGGAAGTTATTCATCGGTATATTACCGATAGTGAACGATAATGTTTGCTGTTTTGATCGAAGAAATCAGGATGTCCATCAGAAAAATCAAGAGCGGGAAAGAAAAAGGACCTAACAATATATCAGCTGAAGCACTAATGTCAGACACAAAAGCAACTGCAAGCATGCTCAACGTTTTGTTCATGAAGACTCGCGAGGAAGAACAAGTGCCTATGGACTGGAAAGAAGGATACCTAATCAAGATACCAAAGAAAGGAGATCCGAGCAAATGTGAGAACTATAGAAGCATCGAGCAACTATCGGTACGAGGAAAGGTTTTCAATAGAGTGTTGCTGAACCGGATGAGAGATTCAATAGAAGCTCAAATTCGAGATCAGCAGGCTGGATTCGTAAGGATTGGACGTGCACAAACAGAATCGCGACACTACAGATCATCGTTGAACAATCACTTGAGTGGAACTCGTCATAATTCATCATCTTCATTGACTATTGAAAAGCATTTCACAGTATGGATAGGAGAACATTATGGAAACTTTTTCGGCACTATGGTGTACCTGATAAAATTGTCAACATCATCCGGAATTCGTACGACGGACTACAGTGCAAATTCGTGCATGGAGGACAGCTAACAGATGCATTCCAAGTAGGGACCGGAGGCAGACAAGGCTTCCTGCCCTCCCTCTTTCTCTTTCTTCTGGTGGTTGACTTGGTTATAGTAACCTCCATATTTGAGGGAAAGCACGGAATAAAATGGACAGGTTGAATGCAACCAGACAATTTGGAATTTGCAGATGACATGTACCCTTCTATTCCATACACATCAACAAATGCAGGTCAAAACAAACACTGTAACAGATGCGTCTGTAGCAGTAGGCCTCAACATACACAATGGTGTATGTTGAACTTGAAACTTGGAGAACTACTACAATCATCATCTAGAAGATGCAAGTATTTATAAACAATTGTCTGTGTAAGATACTCAACGTTCTTTGGTCGGATACTATCAGCAACAGCCTAGTGTGTAACAGAACAAGTCAACTTCAAGCTGAGTAGAGAATTAGAAAAAGACGCCGGAAGTGGATAGGACAAACACTGAGGAAACCATCAAGCTGTATCACGAGGCAAGCGCTAACTTACAATCATGAAGGGAAGGGAAAACCAGGAAGGCTAAAGAACACGCTACGTCGGGAACTGGAAGCAGATATGAAAAAGGTGGAAAGAACTTGGAAGCATTGCCCAGGATAGAGTTGGATGGAGAATGTTAGTGAGCGGCCTATGCTCCTCCACGAGGGTTAATAGGCGTAAGTAAATAAGTAATCTTACCAAATGTAGTCTCAGTTGAAGAACGCTCAGAATATTATAAGTTTACGACTAAGAGAATACACCAACAAACTGTTCATGCAGTTTATAAATACACTATCATGTTTGGTAAAAAGTCATGGAGTTTATGTTACAGTTTTATAATTGAATAATGAGTATCTCTATATACATATATATTTATTACATAGTTATATTTAATTCACTTCTTATATATGTACTAATCCCTGCAGCAAAGTGCAGCTAATAAAATCTTTGACTGAATTGGTATAAGGAGGCACCAAATATATATGCGCAACACAAATCAAATGGTTCGTTTCAGGGTTCAGATACTGTTCGGGTTTCCCAACCGACGCAGGTGGTTTTCTTATAGAGCAACTCCCGAAACCTTGACTTAAAGGTCTAATCCACAAGGCAGTGGAGCAACGTCAGGAAATACAGTCCCATGGTAGCTGGTGACCAACAATAGGTTCATACACCATTTGTTACCTCAGGATCGTGGAAACCATGTACAGAATTGGTTGGAATCAGGGTTTTCCATCTTCCCAAGATGGACCATCCGTGTCGGTCAACCCGGTTAAATTTTCAAACATTCACTTTTCGTAAACAATATTTCCTTCGTGAGAATGTAGTGAGTAGGGCTTCCCTGGTAGTGTCGGTATATACGTGGCCTTGTGAGGGCATTTGGAGATGGAGAGCTGACACTCTCCACTCTCGGCCGTACTAGGGCATTTGGGAGCTATATATATCATTTACAAGATTCAAACTATGTTATATTAACAAAGCTATTAAAATAGAACATGACACTTACATGTAATCAGTACACATGCAATTATATAATTAAAAAAAGCAAACTAATATGAGAAAAAACAGGATCTTGTGAAGGTGAAGTTACCAGTGTTTGTTTAATTTCTTTATAAAAAGATTCATGAATAAACTGATTAGATGTAATATTGAATAAGAAAGGGATGCTCTTTTAATATTTAAATAATGAATAAAAAGTAAGTTAGAATAAAACTTGAGGTAAATCAAACGAAAAGATAATAATATATTGCATTAAATTTTTTACTGATATGTGACTCTCATGAAAGAGTTTTAGTGGGAAGGATTATCGTCTAGTGGATTATTTTTGATGAAAGAGTTTAAAGTGATCTGATCATGTTGAATAATTTACAGTTTATATTTAACATTAATATTTGTTTGCGTTGTAAGATGATTTGTAATTCTGTTTTTTTCTCTCACATTGGAAATTACGTAATAATAGTTAAACTCACGAGTTGATATAATCTAGACCATCAATGAAAACCCGAAAGCACTGAACATCCGTCTCGTCTCAGTACTGAACTCCTCAGTGGTTTACATCCACGATCCTCCACGTGGTACTCGGACCTGAGAACTTCGATCTGGCACGCGAACACTAAACCTGTAGACCACTAAGCCTTCATCCAACGATGTTAATATTTGAATTCAATCGATCAGTGACCGTCCAGTGGTTCCAGGTTTTCAGTGGTGGTCTTGCTTATATTGACTCGTGCTTCCAACTTTGAAAATTCTACAATCTCCACAAATCCTCATACTGATAAGTAATAATGCTAGAAAAAGTATGACTTCAGCGTACCCCTACCTGTAGATATAAATATAATCATTTTAAGATAATTATTCATGGTAATAAATACGTAGCACCGTCTAAATACTAACTTTTTTTCAGAGTTTTTTCAACTATTTAAACCGGGTTATTTCTCTGATGAAATCCTATGGGGCTTTAAGAAAGCAATATAGTAAGCACAAGTTCAAACTATTACATAACTGATCAGTTTTAGTGACTTTCAATCTTCCGAAGAACTTAACGTCATCTAGTTTAATAGGATATTGCTTGGCCATTCCATGTTGTCTGATCGTTTTAATCTGCTAATGATATATATGCTTTCTGTATGGTTGTCCTAACAAGTCACTGGAGTGAGAAAACCAAAATCGACTAGAAAGCTTTAATTGGTTAATTGAATTAAAAATATTTGTTCAGCTTATTTTTAAATGTATATCTGTACTCCTGCAAAAAATTAAGTCATGTTTTCAACCGATAGCGTATATCTGTTTCCTTAGAGAGTCAAATCAAATCTTGATCAATAATGTTTCTTTGTCAACCTCTCTCATCTATCATTCAGTTTAAATCCACATGGTTCAGCGCATCACACACTTTCTATTTTCCCAAGATTTATCTGAATTGTGATTAAATAATATGAACAACAAGATGACAACTATAACATCATAAGAATGATCTTTGAATATTTTTATGCTAGTGGTAGAGTTAATTATGATTGAAAGTACTACTTACATGCTTCTTATTTTTTCATACTTTTCGGTAAGTAAATAGACAAGTAACCTTTCTGATGATATTTCAATCCGTTTCCCTAAGAGATGCTACCATCAGGCTTTTGAGTAGGAATTTATAGACTGGAGAGTTGAAATTTTCACATTAATCGATCACTAAATAGTGGTTTACACACTTCAGAAGCTTATTTCTTCTTTCAATTCTCACCTTTATTGATATGCGCTCATTTCAACTAGTCCTTTTTTCAATCAACCTTTTGCTTGCACCCTTATGAATAACTGGCTTTATCAGTTAAGTTTGAATAAATTTATGAAAAAGTAGTTTTATTTTAACTTAAAAGGTGAAAGAGAGCACAATTGTAGAGAGAGAGAGACAGAAATGATCCTGAGGAATTTTCACGTTTATTCATTTGTAGATAAAATAACATAAAACTGAGCCAAACTTACTTGTGCAAATTGAACACTTATATCTTCATATAAACAAATAATTTATAATTGAATTATAAAAGAATAATTTACTTACGGCTTTTTTTGCCTAAATTAATTGCAAGTAGTATACTATGATTAGTAGTATTAAAAGTTATAATTCAATGTTTATAAAATAAATGAAAATAAAACAAGATCAATAATTCACAATTGATTGATCACTTGATGATGATCAATGTTATGTGTGTCAGATCCTTTTCAGAGCAGGTAGAAAGATATCGACCAAGTTGCAATGTTGCTACTAGTCTAGGTTACTCGATATTGAGTGTGCACTACGTTGAGATAGGATGGTGGTTGGAGGTAATCAACAGGAAACCCTGAACCTAGGTTTCCTGCTACTTGGCACTTATCAACAAGATGTACCTGTAATCTTAAAGGAACTGATCCTCCCTGATGAATTCGATCCCGTTTCATCTAGTTCCACACTCAGAGATGTTACCAATAAGCTATCCGGGCCACGACTGACCTCCTGTAGGACTGAGATGTATTCGCAATTGATTGATCACTGGGTGATGATCAATATCATGTGTGTCAGGTACCTCAGATCAGTAATTCTTTTTTTTAAGTTGTTCGCTTTTAAATGTTCAAATATCAATTTTATTTTACTCTAAATTAGTTTTTAATTTGTTATATATTTTATTCGAACACACAACCATTGGTACAAGCAGGCAACAAGCAAATATGCGCAACAAAAATCTAATGGTTTGTGTTAGAGTTGAAATACTGTCCAGGCGTCCAATCCGAAGCAGGTGGTTTTCGTAGAGGGCCACACCCCGAGCCTTTGATTTAAAGGACTGATCCATAAGGCAGTGGAGCAACGTAAAGAGATACGGTTCCATGGTAGCTGGTGACAAACGATTGGTTCATACGCCATTTATTTCCTTAGGATCCTGGAGCTCATGTTCACCATTGGTATGGAATCAGAGTTTTGCTACTCCTCTAGGTGGATCCTCCGTGTCCACCAACTAAGTTAAAGCGCCAGATATTCGCTTTTCGTCCTCTCAAATCCGTAAACAATATTCCCTCCATGAGAATGCAATGAGTAGGACTTCCCTACTTGTGTCTGTATTTTTGTGTTCATGTGAGAGCATCTCGAGGGGGTTGTAATAATTACAATTTAGTAATAAAAGATCGTTTTTGTAAAATTTGCTGTTACGAAAATTATTCACATTCGTATTGAATCTTGATATATTCAATATGCTTCTAATTCTCAGGAATGAATGTGATTTTACCGAGTACAAACAAACCAACAGAGCAGATGATTAACTGAGAGTATTTGAATTTGCTTATCCTAACGAAGAACAAATGAATGGTAACTTCTAGAAACTAGTTATGCTGTTATATATATATAAAGTTTTGTGGGAAGTGTCTAACTACTTATATTGGCTAGTAGTATATCATCGTACGACCAAAACAATAGTGTACATTTTTCAAAAACACTAATATTAGACTTACTTCTAAACGTACAATATTTTGTACTTTATCTATTAATTCAGCTTTTTCATCTGGTGGGAATAAATTTGGTACATCACCTGAATTTAATAACATTGATATATCTTCCATAAATGATTCATGCTTTAATTGATTATCGGTAATTAAGAATACAGTGGATTTAGCTTCTAAACCAGTTTTAAGTAATAAACGTTTAATATCATCACGCCATTCATTTACACCGTATGTACGTGTTATTTCAATGACAAATAATTCATGATCAGCAATATGACTAGCTAAACGTGTAGCACTTTGACGACCACTACCTCCGACACCTGAATAGAAAATAAAGTGGAATTTAGAAAGTACCTTGTAATTAACTATATATTTCTATAAAAAAAGTTTAAAATAATAAATATCAAAGCATTTAGATCAATTGCGATGATGGAGATTTTTTTACTGCAATGAGTAACTGTTGTGCAGTATCATTAATTCGTTAAAGTCAAGGATTATCAACCATAGAAGTCTTTTTATTTAATTTGGATTTTACTCGATGAAATATAAAAGCGCTGCGTTTGATAATTCTTGTGACATAAACCATTTGAATATTTGGATGAAACAGAAGTAAATAGCTGTTGTGAACATGATGATTTAGCCAACAGTAGAACCTATAGTAAATCTTTATCATCACATGCTTACATAATTTATTCTAACCTTTGAATAGACAAATTGTTCTAATCTTTTTATTTGTCCTATCATTCATATGTTTGTCTTTTCCAGTTACTCATGTGTCACCCTAAGCATACTTTGTACATCTGTGTATCCTTGTACAGATGTATTTGTATACTTACTTGTATCTCTTTCCTACTTAGAAAGAGTACTCACTAAGTTGACGCGTCGTTCAACTTAATTCGTATTTGGTTTATATTACCACCGTCGCACCAACGAGGTTAGCCAAAGTAGATATTTATGAAATCAAAATTTATGCTTATGGCTCATTTATCGTTAGCACGCAATGGAGTTGGATCATGTGACAATAAACCCATTTTCATATTAATTATAACACACGGATTTTACTGGCTAAAGTTATTGGGTACATGCAAAATTAACTTCATATGTCTACATTTAATTACATTATTGGAGTTCATTTTTGATTAATACTAATTAACTGTCAATATTTTTAGTCTATACATCATTTAATCATATGGATTCTAATGAGAATTCGTGACTAGTGAAGCAGACCATGTCAGGCGTGGTGCAGCGGAAGATGGTCAAGAAGTGTCGTGGTTTGATTACGGATTAGCACCGTTGGGAGCCAACTCAGTGTTCTAAAGGTTGAGCGCTTGTGTGTAAAACTTAGGGTCCTGTGTTAGACTTTCTCCCGAAGGACCACGGGTGTGCACTGAAAAGGGATGGTTTACTAGGACGAAGCGGTTTTCCAGTGCTGGAGGGTTTCCAATAGTGATCTAAAATTGATTGGTTCATGATTTTAATGTAACCCCAATCCCACTTTATGTTCAAACGTAATCATGGTGATAATAATCGAGTTTTATCAGTCAAAATATTAACTTGAAATAATGTTGAAGCAGTTTTAAACTAAATGCAGAAATTCATTCAGTCAGCTACAATGTAGGAACCAGGCACATATGTGCATCGTTCCAAGATGCAATATCTCATTAGCACAACAAGACGAACACTGAATTCATAGAAGTAGTTAATTCAATGGTGGTAATTTATAAAAGAAAGGATGTGTATAAGGATATAGTACAGGAAGAAAGAATTAGCTCGTAGAAAGAAAGATATGAAACAATTTCAATCTCATAGTTTAAAGGAAGACAGACAGTGTATACACCTACTCCATCGTGATCGATTCTGAGTCATGTCACCCACAGTCTCCAACCATTGGTTACGACAGTCACGCGGACACCAACCAAGTAGTCCGCATCTAATAACATGGCCCAAACTAGAAGTTAGTGGCTTCAAGCACTGATGCCACATTTTGGTTTGACTGCCTCCAACTTTCTTCCAACAGTCTCCAATGCTACTCAGCATTGGGCGTCGTGGTAATTGGTGTTCAAGCTTACGTAACACGTGACACAACCATCTCAGTCGATGAAGATTCACAACCTCATCAACTGATTTACCATCATTCTCCAATACCCTGTATTTAACCTCCCTATTACTTACCCGGTGATCCCGGCAGATGCAATCAATATTTCTAAGGCATCTGTGGTCAAATACTAGTAGCTTACGAGTGTCTTCTACTCTTAATGGCCATGTTTCACGGCGATAAAGTAAAACAGAACGAGCTGCTGAGTAATATATTCGTCCTTTAATTGATAGACGGACATCTTGCTTTCGCCAAACGAGCTTTTTGAATCCATGCTGAGATTTTGTCAGACATCAACATATTAGGGCTGATTAGACCTCCAAGATAAGTGAAGTTGTTAACGTGTTCGACTACTTCCCTCCTTATCCATAGTTCATGTGCTGACGTCTGCCAGTCCTGGAGCAACAATTTGCATTCCAGACATCCTGACATTGTTGCTCAGTACTACCAAAAGACTCTGTATTATATCAGAATCATCACCAGACAGGACTATATCATCTGCGTATTCTAAGTCGATAAGTGTACCTCCTAGTCAGAGATCAATGCCTGAAAATTTACTCGATGAGAGCGTTATTTCCATCAGTAGGTCCATGATGAAATGAAGTTAATATATTATTCACTAAAGTAAAGAGAATAATTCAATACTGGTGCATATTCTTTCTAAGAAGCAGATACTTATTATTCTTTAGAAAAAATACAACAACCATCAATTGAGAATAAAGAAATTACATTTTCCACATAACTTACCAACTAATAATGCATGACCATTATCTTGTAATAAAACACGTGCTACACGACTAATATGTTCAATAGCATATTTAAACATAACAAGATTCATTGGTGTTTTAGAAATTGTATTATAATCATTTAAATAATTTTCCATACGTTTTATAAGTAATTTATAATCAGTTACTTCATCATAACAACTATCATCTTGTATATAATTACCAAATAATAAATTTCTAATATCATTATCAGTAACACGTCCACTTAAACTTAAATGACTTAATATTTTATCAATATTAGTACGAAATATATCAGAACATGTTTGACGAATAATATCAAAGAAATAATTTTCATCTTCCGTCATTGTTAATCGATCATAGAATACACGATATACCTGTATAAGTTAATAGAGAATAATAATAAAAAAAAACTCAATGGTATATAAATAAGAAATCATTTATTCTGTATTCGTATAGTATAAGTATGAATTCTCAGTTAGTTCTTAGCTAATTAGTCTTGGGTTCGGATCTCGTGAGGCGAGATCGTGGATACGCATTGTTGATGAGTCCCACAATAGGAAAAAACGGCCCTCTAGTACTTCCAGGTTCTCCATGGTTGTCTGTCTTCAATTGACTCATGATCTCAACCATTGAAATTAGTATAATATCGACAAAAACCCTTCTGATATAATTAGGAACCAACTTCTGTAGATAAATAGTTTATTTAGAAAGGAAAACTTATTACAGTCTTCTATAGGTTAATATCCCAATAGATGTAGTTTATATAATTTATATCTATCCACTTGAACTCAAATAGATTCTCAGTCTCTAAAATGTTTTATGTTATTGTTAAGTATCTCTGTGCTAATGTGGTATGGCAACTCGAACTGATGTACGTACGTACGAAGTTCTATGTTGTTGCTGACTGACTGGCTGACTGAGGTATATAAGGTAAGGATTAGGGGTTTAGGGTTAGAGTTTTCACAAGTTGATATCAGCTATAGTACAAAAATTCTTTGTAAGTATATGGACAAATGAATTAAATATGGAAAAGCAAAAGGCAGTATCCGATTAGTTCATCCATAAAATATAGTGAAGCCAGGTTAAAGTTTATTACAGTGTTAAGATTCAGAGATGGTGGTGATTTTCCTGCTATATGCAATCTACCAATATGTAATTGAACGCTTGTTGCGTTCATCATTATTGTTTGTAATGTATGATTGCAAAATATAACTTTTCACAATCATTTTAAACTTTTTAAGCAATTTAAAAAGGTGGTCAAAAAGTTGTTTAGTAGAAAATTCACTCAATGTACAAAACGATTTTATGGGATTGAGATTACATGAATAACTCTTGTCTCTTTTCATCAACTGTTTATGTGAATCATTATGCTTAAATATACTAATTGCTATGTTTGAAGAGATTATGAAGTCACTTAAGTCTGTGAATGCAACGAAGACTCAGAAACACAATGACCAAATAAGTTAACTATTCCGATGCGTTCCAGCCCCCCTAATTTGATAGAGAAGTCCAGGTTCAGAAGAAGGAAAATGTATTCCACAAGCAGTCAGAAGCACAAACAACAACAACAAGCACAACTCAAGCGCGCAAATACAGCTAAAAAATGTCTTTGGGAAACGTTACAAAATAGCCTATTAAAAGACAACGAACCAATAACATTTAAAATCTTTCCGAGTGGGAAATATGACATGAATGTGGAAATAGGCGCTTTTGGAGCGAAAATAGAAAATTCAAATTTCCAAAATAAAATTACAAATATAAGACGTTTACCAAGTGAGTTTTGAGGATCTAGGATCCCCGACACAAATCAGTTTATTTTTATTTATTTATTTAAACATATAAACATGAGTAAAAAGGGACGCCAAAATATATATGCGCCACACAATAGAAATGAGATTTTGAAGAGATCGAGAGGGAAGGTGAATATAAAAATATAAACAAAGTGAATTAGTGTATAAGAGTGAAAAAAAGATGAATGAGAGAAGCAGTTGTAGATCCGATCTTTTACAGTTAGATTAATATCACGAAGGCACCAAAGATGTCCCAGATTGGCATAAGCCAGTTTGGATTTCGCTATACGTGAAATGATCTCATTACCAAAGCCACCACCAACACTAGCACAACTATCTAGATACAGAAAGTTCTCGACTACTTCCAAATGTTAACTATCAAGAAAGAATGTAGATACAGGGTTCTGATAGTCTTGTAAAAGCACTTTTCATTTAGAGGATGGAGAGCACATACCATACCTACGGACACTGATTGTCAAATGATTAAGTGCTGTATGGCTTGGGCATCATCGCATACTCAAGGTTGAAAAGTCTTTCCCCAGGTAACAGGCCCACATCATCATTACTTACATTTATCAGTGGTGTTTCCAGAACGTAATAAAATAGCCAAGTTGAAGGGGAATGGTGAAACTGAACAAACCTGCCTTACCCTGTAGCTTGAACAAAACAATGAAGTGATGTGGTTGTATTTCTTTTAAATCAATATGTAACGATAAGTCAAAGATATGGAACATAGTATATCAATGTCAGTGTTTGACTCATGATTATATTTTACTGTTCACCAGAAAGATTGTAATTCAAAATAAAAATTTTAGAAAAATGTGTGGGATACATATTAGGATTTTTACAATGGTTTGCGATGCTTTATTTGTATATTGTGTAGAATTATGACATTGATCACTACACAATTATCAATAAACTATCTTATTTATTTATTTGAACAAATAAATACTGGTACAAGGAGGCACCAAACAGATATGCGCCACAGAAATCATTCGGTTTGTGTGAGTGCTGGGATACTGCTCGGGTGCCCAGACCGAAGAAGGTGGACTCCTTAAGAGGGCCACACCCCGTGCCTTTGATTTGAAGGACTGATCCATAAGGCAGTGGAGCAACGTAGAGAGATACTGTCACATGGTATCTGGTGACAAACGATTGGTTCATACGCCATTTATTTCCTGAGGATCCTGAAGCCCATTTACACCACTGGTTTGAAATCAGGGTGTTCCAACTCATCTAGGTGGATCCTCCGTGTCCACCAACTAAGTTAAAGTGCCAGACATTCACTTTCGTCCTCTCAATTTCGTAAACAACACCCCGTCCACGAATATACAGTGAGTAGGACTTCCCTGGCAGAGGCTATATGCGTGTGGCCATGTGAGAGCATTTCGAGAGAGAGAGAGAGAGAGAGCTAACTCTCTCCCCTCTCGGCCGTACCAGGGCATTTGGGGTCCAATAAACTATCAATATACATCTGTTTAAATCTGAAAATATATAGAAATTAACACTAAATGGTTAATGTTGTCTTTCCCTCACCAATGCCTTTTTTTTATTTGAATAAAGTCTCACTTATCCCATATATGAAATAAAATATTATAATAGTACAAATTATATCAGTATGGGGTTGTGGAGTTTACTGCGTTTAGATTGATATCATGAATGGATCAATTTTCAACCACCACTAAAAACCTGGAAGTCACGGACGGTCATTTTATCCTAGGATGGGACTCTTTAGTAGTGCGCATCCACAACCCTATCATCTTCATGAGTGTACACTGCTGAGGCATCCCATAGTAGGATGAAAAGGCTGTTTAGTACTTCCAGGTCTTTAATGATTGTCTAGCATTGATCCATTCATGATATCAATCTAAATACATATATATTGTTTAAGTTATTTATTCGAAACTTCAGTAAAACAAAATTACCAATGAAATAATAATAATAATAATAATAATAATAATAATAATAATAATATACCATCTTAATGATAAATATTAATTATTTTACCTCATGTATCCACAAACGCATTAACTTATCTTCTTCTTTCATATTACTTGATGGTATTAAACGTATACCTTTAATAACTCTTGCAAAATCACGTAAATTAAATATATAATGGGATTTAGCTGGTGTTGGTAAAAATGTTGATATAGACAATTTGTAAACATGTAAAGTTGCTTGAACTAATATCTGTGAATAAATAGAAATGTGTTTTTTTATAATTTAGAAAGAAGTAATTCATTATTGAATATTAATTTTTAATGGGTTACATTTAGAAACTATAATTGATTAGAACTATACATTACTTTATAAGCAAAGATGGATAGTGGCTAACAGTGGCTGATTAATTTCAGTCCTAAAACATCAATGGGAAGATTCAAGTAAAACAATGCCAAATGAATTAAACTTCACCCCATTGCACAAGCAAGTGGCTGTCAGGACTCAGTAGCTGAGTGGATAACGCGATGGCGTTTGAAGTGAATGGTACTGGGTTCGAGTCCCAGAGTGAACGTCAACTCTGAGATGCAGGTACATCCAGTTGACGAGTTCCAAATAGGACGAAGCGCGCGTCCTGGATTTCACTGCTAGCCACTATCCATCATTGCTTATAATGCTTGTAAATGAAGGCAATATCGAGGCATACGCACAGTATGCACATATGCCAATAAGAGACTGATCAATTTCAGTCCTAATCATCAATGGGAAGATTCAAGTAAAACAATACCAAGTGAATTATACATTAGTTTGTTTCTGTAGGCAACTAGACCTTAATATGTCACAAGTACATGAACTTTCTTAGTAGTATCTGTAGACACATGGCCATATGAGAGCATTTGAAGAGATAGAGCTTACAATTTCCATTCTCGACCATACCCGGGCATTTGGGGGCGAATTACTGTTAGTTTGAGTAGTTCAAGAAAATTCATGCAAAAGATAGTGATACTGTAGTAAGCAAGAGTTGTGAATCATTTTTACATGTAGTCAAATAACTTTATTTTGTACGGCAGTTGAAGAAACACTTAAAAACATTAAACACTATACAACTGTTTTGTGCTATTTTGGAACTCTGTTGTCGTTTCTCATAAAGAAAGTGCAATCATTAGAATAGAATATCAAAACTAAGTTGTGATTTATAGTCTATATAAGTGTTTGAATATTTACATTATTGATATTAAGGACTAAATCTTGATTAATCTTTTTATGGCATATGGCATCCTGAATGAATCACCTCTATATTTCCATTAATTCACAAATTCTCAAGTAAAGAAGAACGTTAGCTACCTTCTACAAAAAGATTGATCAAAACTTAGCTCTTAACATCAATAACGGGATGATTAGAACAAACTTTACAAATAAATAATAATATTCATTGGATTTGAACAATTTAGTGGACATAACAACCAAGTAGTTTATTGGAGTGATGGATTCGATTATCGAAGTGAACATTCACATGGATACAAGTATATCTAGCTGATGAGTTTCAAAAAAGATGAAACAATAATTCCAGATTTCAATTCTTGCCACTATCCATTTTTACTTAAGTTATGATCTATTTTTAAACTAATGATTTTGAATGTTTATCTAACTAGAATCGGAGTGTTGATTTATTTTTTTATATTGGATCAACTACAAACGAAAACCTTGAAATGATCTTATTTACAAACATTAATCTAAAATAAAACTGAACATACTTTACTTAATCTCATAAATTGTGGTTCAAAACCATTCGAAAAGTGTGCATCGGTAATAGTAGTAAATATTTTTAACATTGTTTGATCATCAAATTCATTGACACCTAATACATTTGTATGTCTAGTTAAACGTGATGTAATATTGTTTCGTCCACCTCCAGGTGGTCCCATAGCAGCCATAAATTGCTAATTAAGTGTAATTAAAAATAATAATAAATTGACAAATAAATACAAATTTAATCATTAATCATAAAGTTAAGATATAATATTAACACTGAATTTTTCTCTAGCAAATCAACTTACTTACTTACTTACGTCTGTTATCCCTCGTGAAGGAGCATAGACCAACCACAAGCATTCGCCATCCAACCCTATCATGGGCATTTCTTTACGGCTCTTTTCAGTTGTTATTCATCCTCTACATATCTGCTTTTATTTCCCGACTTAATGTGTTCTTTGGCCTTCCCCTTTTCTGCTTCCTTTCAGGATTCCAAGTTAAGGATTGCTCGTGATGCAGTTTGATCATTTGCATAATGTATATTCTATCCATTTCCATCTTTTCCTAATTTGCTCTTCAGCTGGAAGCTGGTTTGCTCTCTCCCACAAAAGGCTGTTGCTGATCGTATCCGGCCAATGGATGTTGAGTATCTTGCGAAGACAGCTATTTATCGATACTTGCACCTTCTTGATGATGGTTGTTGTAGTTCTCCACGTTCCGGCTCCGTACAGTAGGACTGTCTTGACGTTCGTATTGAAGATTCTAACTTTGATATTGGTTGAAAGTTGTTTTGATTTGCATAAGTATTCAAACTGTAGGAATGCTGTCCTTACTATGCCAATCCTCGCCTTTACATCTGCATCTGATCCTCCTTGTTTATTGACGATGCTTCTCAGGTATGTGAAGGATTCTCCGTTTTCCAGAGTTTCACCATCAAGTGTGATTGGATTGGTGTTCTCCTTGTTTTATTTGGGAACCTCGGTTTTCCCCTTGTGTGTGTTGAGGCCTACTGATGCAGAGACTGCTGCTACACTGGCTGTCTTTATCTGCATTTGTTCGTGTGCATGGGATAGGAGAACTCCAAATCGTCTAATTGGTTCCGAGCTATCCATTGTATTCCGGCGGCCTGCTTGAATATCTGGGCTACCTGTTCCTCCGATCTAGATATTTCATCAAGTTATCTGTTTTGTTGTTTGTTTTAGCACATCACTATGTCTATTGTGCGCACAACCTATTCAGGCGCGTTTATGAAAAGTTTACAACCTTTCGCTATACGGGATACAAAAAGGTACAATCAGCGACATCATAGTGGCTGGCAATATGCATTGAAACGAATGAACATTGATCAAATGTGGATTACCGAACTTCTAACATCTAACTGGTCATCATTCAAAATTTATCGTCACAATCGATCAAGGTATAAGAAAAGGAAACTTGTTGAAATACTTTATGCTGAGAATTCTATGTTGTACCAAAAATATAATGTTGAATAAAGCTAATAATAATAATAATAATTTTCCCTCAGATGTCGAGGTCTTCACAATCCAGTCGACGACCAGAAGAAAAAGGAAGGGGGGAGTAGACAGCCTTGTCTGACTCTGGTACTTACTTGGAAATTAAGGATAATACAATTTCATTGAAATCATGAACCCCTGTGAGGGATCGCGGATACACACTGTTGGAGAGTTCAGTACTAGGACGAAACCCCTGTACAGTGCATTCAGGTTTTCAATTGTAGTTTAACTTAGATCGGTTCATGATTTTAATGAATTTCAACAATTTACACAGCCCTATACAGATAATATCACTTGTTTATTCAAAAGACTGAAGTAAAACAATGTGAAATTTCAACCCTGTCTATCTAATAAATTCCATCAGAGTAAGTGTTTTTTACATTAGTTATGAGTTATGTGAATATACGTATTAACATGAAAGAAACATCAATTTAATATATTATCATGTTATGAGACATAGGCTGGAAATATCCACTAAGTCTTTAAATGAATCTGTAAGATGTTGTCAGCAACACTAAAACAAATTAACTTCTTTAACTGTGGTATTTATCCGTATATGGGCGATAGTGACCGTCAGGTCATTTGGTCCTCGTTGTCGACCGATCTCCAGCGACCAAGTTTGTGATAAAACCACTAGACTAAGTGACATGACATTGGATTAAAGATCGGTGTTGTATGGTTGCAAATAATCTACAAGAAACCCAAGAGTTAGGCATTGTACAGTTTGATATCTATTTGTAAGGCTTGAACTATTAAAAAAATCAGCCTTAAATGAAGGATTTATGAGTCCGATATTTTGTATGAAGAACACAGTAACGTCTGCTTCAAATCCCATCGAGTTCCTGGGTTCGAATCTCAAAGTGAACACTAACTCGAGGATGTAGGTACATTTACACTACTAGCCATCATTTATCTCTGTTTATGATATCTATAGCAAATATCCTGCAACCCATTTCGATTATGGTTAATTTTGGTTATGCCTTTTATTAGCTTACTTAACAGACAATGTTATTTGAACAGTAACAATTCGCATATTCCGTTATGATCACTAGATCACATGACAGGCTGACTAAAATATTGATTGCATAAGTATCACCCGATGAATCGTCCACCTCCCCATGTATATATGTACTCAAATCCTATTATTAGTCATTGCTATGCCCTTATGCAATTTGACCGTAAATTTTCCAATGTACTTGCAAGTACATACTTATTCGCCTCTCTGCCTCAAATTCGCCCGATGTGCTTATAGTTTTGTGATCTGCGCTATCTGCTAATAAAACCGTAGTTGCCACTTTTCTTTGCTTTCTGATTTCAAACACCGTTAAGGTCTGTATAATAAAAGTTACGAAAGTGATTGGTTAACGAGGCAAAGCCAATACATGTCTCTTATTTTGATTCGTTGACTAAACAAATTACTTATGCACCAACTAAAATTCATCGGTCATTATACTTAATAGATTATTTCATATCAATTTTATACAATCCATATGAAAAGAAAAAACAAAACAGAAATAATGGCAATCTCTCTGTACTTACTACATCAACTAAATATTGTTTTGTATTATCTTTTCTATCATACCAATGATTATGATCAATCCACATACGTAATAATTCAATAGGTGGTTGAGCGCCATATTTCTCTTTCATTGGCATATTTAAGTCATCAATAAATACAATACATTGTTTACCTATAGGTGGACCATATACACATTTGCGTCGTCTATCTAAACGTGACATAATAATATCTTGTGTTTGATTAGCAGTTGTACGTGCAGAAAAATTCAAAATATTTGGTAAGTAATTTTCTTTAGGTAATTGAATAAGATAATTATTAGCAATGACAGATTTACCAGTTCCTTGAAAGATAAAGAGAAGAGAAAGAAAAAAAGAAAGATAAAATAAAACATCAATTGGGAGGGTCAGAAAGATACTAAGGTCTTGTAATGATTAACATCTTGGGGGGTTATTTGGAAATAGTAAATAGGATACTGATCAATAAATGATATGATATAATACAATGTCATCAATTAATAGCTATTTATAATGTAAAGTCTTTAATGAAGTGTTATTGAAACGGTAACACAATTGGATAGAGTAATAGGTTTACATGATGTTCACTATGAGTTGGACATGTGTGCGATAAGAAAAAGTCTATGATTAGGTTATACATATCTGATATATGTTTCTGTCTGAAGTGTTTTATTCTAGGAGCTTGAATAATGATTTGTAGTGTCGGCTGTTGTTGTTATGCCCATATACCTTATTCTAGCTTCCGGACAGATCAATTTATCCACCCTTCTTGAGTCACACGTTAATAATTCACTTATCAACCCTGACTGTTTTTATATGAGTCTATGTGTGTGTACGTCTTATTGTACTCATCAAATGTCTGTAACTTATTTTTTCTTGGCTAAAGTATTGATCAACACTTGACTAAATGGATTTGGCGCACACGCCTTCGCTTCGCTCTCTTCTATTCTCTTCATCCCTCTCTTTTCTTTCCAGATCAGTGAGTGTAAAAAATGTATGTATTCAAAAATCCATTCACATATTCGACTTATTTAATTCCGTTATTCATGAACGCGATTTAATTTGATAAAATATACAAGGATAACCGATATGTGTATTTTGACAACAATCATTCATCCGATCTAATTCGAGTCAGATATAGGGACATTAAAGATTCCTTAACCATCATACTGAAAAGTATGAACTTGTGGTTTTAATCAGTCATTGAAAGTCAAAGAACATAGGACAATCGTTTCCCTTTAGTACTAATTTGTTCATAGAAAGAAATAGACCATGAGAATTTTACTTGTATATATTTTGTTTGTTTGTAGTAATGACCGTGAAAATGATTAATTGTTAGATACTTCAATATATAACCTCCCCCCATAAAAGGATTCTGTTCATTACATAATTTCTTAGCCTACAGCTGTTTATTTTACTTAAAATACGTCAAACTACGTTTAGTAGGAACGTTTATTAATTTTTTTTGTAATGCAAGATAAAATGTTTATTTGTTACTAATCAAACTAATGATTCAGTTTTTTCTGTTATTTAAATGAAAAGTAGGAAAGTTAAGTTGGAGATTACGAATGATATCTCAGAATCAATGTTAACCATTTTCAAATTCCAATAAACTATAAAAAAGATGTATTTAGTGCTTTATTGACAGAAATATTGTAGGATAATTTATAAATAACATTACCGGAATGAATGAAGCCCCCTAAATGAGTTGGTACGGCCGATGGGGGAGAGAGTTAGCTCTCTCTCTCTCTCGAAATGTTCTCATATGGCCGTGCGTATATAGCCTCTTCCAGGGAAGTCCTACTCATTGATTATTTGTGGAGGGGGTGTTGTTTGTGGAATTGAGAGAATGAAAAGCGAATGTCTGGCTCTTTAACCTAGTTGGTGGACACGGAGGATCCACCTAGATGAGTTGGAACACCCTGATTCCAAACCAATGGTGTAAATGGGCTCCAGGATCCTGAGGGAACAAATGGTGTGTGTGAATCAATTGTTGGTCACCAGCTACTATGGGATTGCATCTCCTGACTTTGCTCCACTGTTTTGTGGATCAGACCTTTAGGTAGAAGGCTCGGGGTGTGGCCTCCTAAGGAGTCCACCTTCTTCGATTTGGGCACCCAGTGAGTATCACAGCCCACACAGAAATCAAATGAACAATGTTGCTCATATGTATTCGGCTCCCCTTTGTATCAATATTTATGTGTTCAAATAAATAAATAAATAATAATCAATTCGTAATAGTGATCCCAACTCATAAATGAAATGACTTTTAAAAGGTTGAGCTGAAATATATGTGTGAGCTAATAATGAATGTTCACATTGCTTTTAGATCATGATGCCTAAATAAAAACAGAATACCGTCTACTTATTTTGAAATAGAAGGGAATAATGGTTAACGTTTTAATCACGAATTGATATCATCTCTGATGTAATGCATTCTCAAAGACTAAAGGTAAGAGCTGGTATTAAGAATTATCCTCAGGATTTAAGGTTACGTGACACTAAACTTAACGAACAAAATAAATAGTTTTACGATTAGGAATTTCCGAGTTCATTCATCTGAGTGGTTACTACAAAGCAATATTTCATCAAAGTCGAAGTCATTTCATGATGAAAATCCTAAACTGTGATTGCAGAAATTGAAATCCTTCATTCATATTTTTTTTTCTAATTAGTTGAATAGGTCAAAAATTTGTTAAGGTTGCTTATTTACTTAATTTTGTCCTCATAATTCACCCTTACCCTTTATAAAACAGAACAGCCGTTACATCACTTTGTTTTAGCCGCTTGTTGTCATCCCACTATTCTTGACATCACTTACGGATGTACACATATATTTATCAAGTATGTGAAAGAAAAGGTTAAATGCATGATTTGTTAGACGGTGATTCCCAAATACATTCTACTTCGTTCATATCTTGTTTTTTATGAATCAGTTAGATAATTATGTAGTGAATGAACACTCGAATGGGGACAACCAATTTATGGTTTAACACAAAATTACAGAGATCTTTGATAAAATGTGAAAACCATACGTTAAATACTTCATTTACAAATCTTTCAATATTTGTCCTTTACAACTTCACAATTCTTCCATTTCTCAATCCCTTTATGTTTTATTTTCTGACTTTTTCTAGCTCATTCTACTCAACCTTTTTTTGATATGCATTCAATTTCCGATTGGTGTTACATACTACTTATACCGACAGATATAAGTAGCATATACCACAAGTATGATTAGGAACAAACAAAATGTTAATTTATAACATTCTATTAATGTGATCAATTATTTCTTAATTTAAATTAAAATAAATTAAAAGCACATTTTGGTGAGACTATAATTTATGGACAACCTTTGAGCATTGCTGAATTGACTTTGAGGGTGTTCACCTAATAACTAGGATCAAATAAGGGTTATGAAATATTGTGGGGATTAGAATTATGATTTTCATTTGATGGTTAAGGTTAGAAATTAGATTAAGGGTTTTCACCACCAACTAACATCAGCTATAATGCCAAAACGCAATTTATCCAAATGGATGAATGAATTTTGCGCCAAAATCTGAGACCTGCTATCTTATACTTGATTGGTTCATCCATAAATTATAATCTCACCTACGTTTTTATTAAAGTGTTAATACCTGTTGGTCCAACTAGAAGTAATGGAATACGATGTGTTGTATACAGATTAAGAAAGTAATACATTCGTTCAGTTTCAATTGTACTAACAATCATATCACTTTGTGAATCATTATCAATTCCAATTGAACTTGATGAATTCAGTATACCACTTTCAGAATTTGTTATAGATAATGATTCATTAGGATTATAACATTGTCCAGCTTTCATTGGATTCCAATTAAAATTAATCCAATCAGTCCATGATCCTTGAGATTTTTTATCAAACCAAAAATCATAAACAGTTTGACGTTCTGGAAATGAATTCGCTTTAGTTAATTTAATTGTTTTTGGCTTAGGATGTTGTTGATTTGTACCAGAAATTAGATCACGAAAAAACAAATCAAATTTTCCTCTTGATTCAGTTGGTAAACATGATCCTAAACTCCATACAATTGAGAAAAGAAATAATGCTTGAATTTGTAAATAAACAGTTTGAACAGACATATTCGCTTGTGGTGAACCAATTTCCGGTGTTTCCGTATCTATAATCAAAATCAAAGAGACATAACATAAAACATATCAACACTAATTTGTGCATAGAAACTGTATTTGAAAAAAAAAACACAGGAAAACCAGACATCTATAACAATTTATTTGATTTATTGATCAACTATTAACATTCAGTTATTATAGAATCTAAATGAGCGTTATGTAATGCATAACACATTTGAAAGCATAAGGTAATATTGTTGTGTGTACTATTGATATCGACAGATATAACTTGTATTTATCACCAATCGAAAGTGGAAGGTTTAGAAAATCGAAGAGAAGAGAAAGAGAACAAAGAGCGACTGGTATGGAAAGGAAAGAACAATAAGGTCTGAAACGGTTGATGAGTATGGTTCACATATTTTACCAAGATATTCTGTAATGTTGGATTGAAATACATTTGGTTGTCTCCATTTGTGTTCTCGTTCACAACGATATTATTGTTATCATTAAAGTTTTTATGTCTTAGTAACAACAGTAAGATACAAAATTCGAGGTCAGTTACCCATCGGCAGGTTCTAACAAGGTCTAAATATATGCTAGCCGAAATGATCAAACTTCACGTTGACTGATGATTTATGTATATAACATGGTTTGAAAAAAGGGAGAGGATACTGGGTTTTACTGATGGTGTAGTCATTGGTGTACACGGTTGAAAAGTTCCATGTCTAAAGTAAAATAGTTATGATCAATGTAGGGTATGGCAGAATTGTGTATTGGCTCAATTTACAGTATCATATCAGCACGAAATAAAATTAATAAGACGAATAGTGGATGAGTTGAAATAGTTTATTACCAATGATAATGAGAAAGACTAAGTGTTGTGATTTTTGCTCGGTTAATTATCACGTGATTGATTCACTAATCAGAATACGACTTATACAATCTTAGCACTATGCCAAACCATTGACGTGTTGACCGGTATGAGCAGCCTAGAGTCCTCATTGATCCTTTTTCCTGACTAGTCGCGAATGTTGAGTCCAGAACACCAATATCAGCTTCCACTACATGAATCAATAAATTTAGACATACTTGGTTTATATACAAGCAAGTCAGATGACATACCATAAAATAAAAAAATAACAATTGCACAGGATCAAGCCAAAAAGTGGTTGCAATTGTGTAATTAATAAACTGGGTATAACTTAAGAACAGTAAATCGTAAAATAGTAGTCAATAGGTCAAATGGAAGCTTATAATAAGAGGAGTATACATAATCTAGTTATAAAATAAGAATATATTTATAATATTATTCTATTAATAGCCTTGAGAAGTTATTCATAATTTAATCTTCTCTTGGACATGACACTAATTATGTATGAGGGAGTACTTGAGATCAAGGTTTAGGTCAATATAATAAGTGAACGCGTCTGCACTACTGTGAACGATTCTAAGCCAGATCATTTGCCATATACAATAACTGGTCTCGGTGATCAATTTGAAATCAATCACACAGTCAATACGACGCAGATTAACATTCAGCGACTTTATGGATTGATGACACATTTTAATTTGACCGCCTCTAGCTTTCCTAATACTATTTCTACCTAATTAATTCTACGATGATGTTTTGATGTCATAGCAACATACGGACTTTCCTCATAATTTCATACTCAATCATATTCATGTCATTTAGATTCCGAAATGGTGTCAGTTACTGATTTTCTTAGGTTCAGTCGAATTTTTGGGATAGATGAGCAGTTTACTGTTACAAAGAGGTTTACTTCCTTGTACACTCACTAAACCATAAGATAATTCGATCAATGACAAGATCTTTTTTAACGAGTTCATTTTCAATTTAATACCGTTCACAATTATACTTCTGACTCAAACGATTATATATTTCTCGTTTTCCGGAAATTTCTTTCTTTGATAACTAGTTGTTTAGTTAGAATTTTATGAATAACTAATTAAATTCCATCAAACATAGTTATTCATAGACATATAATTTATAACGTAAATATATAATTGTACAACTTGAGAAACGAACTAGTTGAAAAGAATCTGTCTTCCCCACATATAAGGCATTGAGTGATATCTGAGTTATTCTACTGAATGGTAGTGCATGACGCTGTAGCATTAACTCTTACTTATTTACAATTACCAGTATGAGGATTTGTAGAGATTGCAGTATTTCCATAGTTGAATTCACAAGTCGATCTAAGTTAGACCGCTAGTGAAAACCTGGAAGCACTGAAAGCTGTTTCGTCTTAGTATAAGACTCTTCAATAGTGCGCGTCCACGATCCCGCACACGATATGTGGACCCAGGACCTTCGGTCTCACTCTTGAATGCTTAACCTGTAGACCACTGAGCTGACATCCAACGGTGTTAGCGTCTAACTTCAATCGATCCATGATCTTGCAAAACTCTTCATCCATTGTCTGAGGTAGATAACTGTCTCACAGCTGACACGGATTGGACTCCACTGGTCACGGCCACTCACTAGTTGTTTGTACAATTTTAAAGCCTATTTGTATTATACAACGAAATCTATATCAAAACTCAAGGAATTCAATATCATTTCTGAGAATCGTGTACGTAATACTAAATCTTATAGATCATAACCATATCTACAGCTAAAATTATTTCTTACATATAAAAGATTTTTAATATTCATAAAGTAATAATTCAAATAGCTGACTAACTGACTTAGTGTTTACAATCATAATGGAATGCTTTAGGTGTATTATCGAATAAATTCATGTACTTTAATTGGTAAGAAGCTTTACACCTGAAGAAAACAATTAAATAGTATCTTTTTAGTGGTGAGACTATAATTTATGGACGAACCAATCACATATAAGATAATAGGTTTCAGAGTTCGGTGAAAAATTCACTCATCTATTTTGAGTAAATAGCGTTTGAAAGCAATTATTCCCTTTTATAAATTTCGATAGAACTATGAGAAGACGGAGTTGATCTGAAAAATGTGATGTATTTGCGCTATACATTTCGAACAATCTGGTCACACATATACTTGTCAGGATATTTTTATATGAAAATTAATAAAGGTCAATTAAATGAAAGTTCAAGTAAAATAACAAAGGGGAGAGAAAGAATAAGAAAATGTCACGTTATCCTAGGCCATAGAATGACTTAAGGATTACCAAGGTAAATTCAAGGTTACGACAAATTGTTTTTGTACACATAAGGGAGGTTTAAATTTACGAATAGCTAAGGCTTCAATAAACTTAAGAATTCGCCCTTGACAATTTCTATACAACGTTCTAAAAGCTGTATTAATGTCAATTTTGTGTCCCGTTTGAATAATGTTTCGCTATCGATGAATCTGGTTTTCTACCTCCCACACAGATCGGATCATTTGACACACATTGATTTTGAGGCCATCTAGGCACATGTCCAATGACCCTTGATTGCATTGTTCGATTACTCCTCCCTATGTATGTGTGTCCACACAAACATGTAAATTAGTAAATACAATGGGATGTGACGTAATCATTAGTTCATTGTTTGGGTCTATTAGGAATCATGGGCTTAAACTTTTCAATCACAACCAATTGAGCAGCATAATAGGTATTCTCGATGGCTGCTTTCAATCTCTGTCTTAAAACTATCTGTTGGATTCGCCTCTATATGGTAGATTGATATAAATTTTTTTCTTTGGAACTAAATTAACAAGAGGTCTTGGCATTAACTGACTTTTGCACCTATTAATAAACTTTAGTGGATAATCATTTACTATTAATGTGTCAGTCAGTAACTTTTCATCTGTTTCCAACGTGTCAGAAGTACAAATTATTTGAGTCCTCTTAAAGAGACACTTAACTAGGCCTCGCTTGTATTGCAGTGGACGAAAACTATGGAAATTTAAGTATTGTCCCGTCCAGGTTGGTTTCCTACATACTGACTTGAACTTTCATTTAATTGACCTTTATTAATTTTCATATAAAAATATCCTGACAAGTATATGTGTGACCAGATTGTTCGAAATGTATAGCGCAAATACATCACATTTTTCAGATCAACTCCGTCTTCTCATTGTTCTATCGAAATAGAGTTTTGACATTGTAGCTGATATCAGTTCGTGATGAAAACCTGAAATCTAATTCCTAACCTTAATCATCAACTGTAACTCATAATTTTAATTCCTCACACAGATTTATAACCCTCATTTGACCCTAATTATTAAGTGAATACTCTTAAGAACAGTCTAGCGTCGCTCAAAAGGCTGTTCATGAATTATAGTCTCATTCATTATTTTCTAATCAAAACTATTTTAAATACATATTAATCTGTGTTATTGGCGATATTAAACTGATATTATAAACTATCAACTCACTTTGATCTAATGTACACCAATGTCTTATTTCATCTAATAAACAATCAAATAATGTAATTAATTGTTTAACAGCATGTAAATTAGATATAGAAAATAATTGTCTACAATTAGTTTGTATAAATTCTAAACATGGATCAACAAGCCATTCAAAAAGATCATTAATTAATTCTTTTAATTCATTTATTAAATTATTTGGTAATTGATAATCTATATATGATTTAACCATTGGTCTCCAACCTAATTGTTCTGGTTCCATATAAATCATACCACATCTTGATACAGTTGCTGGACTAGCTTGTTCTAAATCAGCTGGTTCAAATATTAAATTCATTAATGATGACATTTGTATAATTTCACCTGACATTAAACATAATTTTTTATTATCATCTAATACAGTATTCATATTTTCAATCCATACAGCATCAACTGGTCCATCAAATAATATCCATTTACGTTTATTATCTTGTATTGTAGCATATTCACGAAATATAATAGATAATATACCATCGGACCATTCATGTGATACAATATCAAATTGTCCATATAATTGTCCTATAGTTATTGATTTTGGATTAATAATACTATATTGTACTAAATATTCATTATTAATTTGATTAGTTTCAATTAATTTATTAATTGTATTAGCTAATATTTGATATGATTTAGTTTTACCGCTTAATGTATCACCAACAATCATTAAACCATGTCTAACAAGTATCATTTCATAAATTTGTAAAATTTTATTTAAATACCATGGTATATATTGTAATTGATGATTATTTAATTGTTCATGTAAACAATCAATAAATTGATTATAATCATATTTAGGTAATTGTATCCCAGGGAATAAATCTGATATAATACCTTCAAATAATGGTATATCATATGATAAAAATTTTGGTAAATTTACATCATTAATTGCTTTTAATAATAATACTGATTCATTTTCATTTATATATTTTTGACGTAAATTACCAGCTGCTGTTAATACTGATTTAACAGCACGCATACCATAATCATAATGATGTTGTGATGATAATTGTTCTGAGCATAAACGATATGTAGCTACAATTTTACTAGATAATCTAAAATCAATAATAAAGTAATATTATAAATGATCTTATTTTAAAAAGCAAATGTATATATATATATATATATATATATATATATATATATATATCTTGAGATTTAGATGTTGGTTGGAGGTAGTCAACAGGAAACCCTGAACCCGTGTTTTGTGCTGCTTGGCACTCGTCAGCAAGGTGTACCTGTAATCTTGAGGGAACTGGTGCTCCCTGGCTCCCTGCCAGTTCCCTCAAGATTACAGGCACACCTTGCTGAAGAGTGCCAAGTAACACGAAACCCGGGTCCAGGGTTTCCTGTTGACTACCTCCAACCACCATCTAAATCTCAATACATAGTGCCCACAGTGTCAAGTCACCTAGACTGGCGGCCACATTGCAACATGATCGATAGCATTCGATCTGCACTAATTAGGACTAGACAAGCATGACATTGATCACCACCCAGTGATCAATCAATTGTGATATATATATCTTAATAGGCGGCCTGCTTGAGCATCTGGGCTACCTGTTTCTGGCATCTACATATTTCAGCAAGTTATCTATTTTTGTTTGTTTTAGTATATCATTATGTCTATTAATCGCATAATTTATCCTGTTGCATTTCTGAAAAGTGTACAACTTTTCGTTGTCAAAGTTACAAAATAGCCCAATAAGAGCTAATGTGGTCAATGACAATATGCAGCGCAAAGAATATACATCATTCAGATGTTCATTTACTGGATTGCTAACATTTAACTGGCGATCAATCAGTATTTATCGTTAAGATCGACCATGAAGTAAGAAACGGAAACTTGTTGAGATACTTTGTGCCGAGAATTCTATATTGTACCAAAAATATAATATTGAATAAAGCTTATAATAATAATAATAATAATAATAATAATAATAATAATAATAAGATGACGGTTATTGGACTTAATAATTGTACGTTTGATTTTATGTTAGATTAATAGGTGTAAACAAGTTAGATAATGCGATGAAATAGTTATTCAGTAGATTTTGTTTTGTATTAGTTTGTTGTAGAAAAAACGTGTTTGATTCATTGTCTATAACTAACAAAATTCATTTAGATAGAAATTTATGTGTTTGTACTTATATTTTACCTCTAAATAACCTAATACGACCGAGAGTGGAGAGAGTCAACTCTCCCTGTCTATTGAGGACGTTAGATCCCTAGAACTCACTTGGAAAAGGTCTTAATTTTGTAATTTTATTCTGAAAATTAGCATTTCTTTGTTTTCGCGCCTGAGTCTCTCTTTTCACCTTCATGTCACATTTCCCACTTGGGAGAATCTTAAACGACATCGATCCGTTTTGTCTTTTATTATGCTATTTTGTAACTCTTTCCAAGAACGGTTTTGTGCTGTATATATACGTTTTGATTTGTGTCTATCGTTATCGCTCGTGCTTCTGGCTTTTTGCGAAATATACTTCCCCGTTCGGAATTCGATTTTTCTCTCTATTTAGCGGGGCTAAAACGCAATAGAATAGTTAGTTTATTGGTCTTTGGTCACAAGTCTTTGTTACCGTTCGCAGACTAAGTGAATTCGTAACTACTTCAAACCTAGCACTCTCTAAATGCTCTCAAGTGGCCATGCGTATACAGCCATTGTTAGGGAAGTCCTACTCACTGTCTTTTCGCAGTAGATATGTTGTTTACGAAATTGAGAGGACAAAAAGCGAATGTACGGCACTTTAGTCGGGTGAGTGAACATGGAGGATTCATCTAAGGGAGTTGTAAAACCCTGATTCCAAACCACTGGTGTACATGGGCTGCAGAATCCTGAAGAAACGAATGGCGTGTGGACCAATTACTGGTCACTGGCTACCATGAGACTGCATCTCCTGACGTTGCTCCACTGCCTTGTGAACTAGACCTTGAAGTCGAAGGCTCGGGGTGTGGCCTCCTAAGGAAACCACCTGCTTCGGTTTGGGCACCTGGGCAGTATCCCAGCCCTCACACAGATCGAATAATTTATGTGGCGCATATCTATTTGGTGTCTTCTTGTACCGATGTTTATGTGTATAAATAAATAAATAAATAAATGTGAGTTATTATGTTATTGCTTGTACACTGTTGATTTTATTTTCAGAATTATTAGAAATTATTAAAATTTTCGAACACAAACATGATCATTTTCATAGGAAACGATAGTGATTAATCAACGTAGATGATTGTGTGTTTATTATGATCTAATCTAATATTTGTTCAGTCCGGTTGGCATTTTTCTAGCAACCATAATCAAAAATGTACAAGTGTTTATAAATAATTGTCTACACAAGATACTCAATGTCCGTTGACCGGAAATCATCAGCAACACCCTACTGTGGGAGAGATTAAATCAGCTTCCAGCTGAAGAGGAAATCAGGAAAAGACGCTGTAAGTGGATAGGACATATATTACGGAAATCATCAAACGGCATCACGAGGCAAGCGCTAACTTGAAATCCTGAAGGGAAATGGAAAAGAAGACTAAGGAATACATTGAGTGGGGAATTGGAAGTAGACATGAAAACGATGAATGGCAACTGGAAAGAACTGGAAAACATTGTCCAGGACAGTGTTGGATGAAGAATGCTGGTGGGTAGCCTATGCTCTTCGACGAGGGCTATCAGACGTAGGTAAGTAATTAATCTAATATTTGGTAACATTGTCTTAGGATTTAATTTACTCATTTAGCAAATGATTATTTTATATGATTACAATTTAAAAATATTAATCATTGAGGCTTGCATAGCATTGCGTTCCGGCTAAATGTTTTAGAGGTTAAGCATTAGAGTCCCAGGCTTAAAGTCCTGGATCCTACTCCCTGTGACGGGGAAGTGGGTGTGCGTGTCTGAAATTTCCACGAACGAAACATCCATCTAGTGATGATTGTCTTACTTAAGTGAGTTCGTGATATTAGCTATGAAATCTGGGGACTTTGAAATATTCACAATTACTTCTACCTATTAAGTTTTGTTCGAGGAAAATTCCAGTAAACTCCATGAAGTACTGTATTTATGTTTCTATCTAATCTGATAAGTCAAGAAGTTAAATGTTCCTTACCACGGTTACTTTTATATATGTGAATACTTTCATATTTGCCTAATAGAACTGACTTAATGCATAAAGCTTTTAGAGGAAGTTCCGCTTTTTTTATTTTGTTTCAGGCATTAAGATGACGGTTTTCTTTACTGCCTAAGTTAGGTAAACAAGCTAAACTCTTAAGCGTTTGATATACCAGACTAAAATATAATTATTTATGGAATAATTACAAACAGAATTTAAATTACTGATAAACTTACGATCTAGCATCAATGAAACCCATTGAATATAAAGATATTTCACCGATAAGTGCATAATCAGGAACCATCATAGCAACTGAACGAAATAGAACCTAATTTTAAGATATATACAACAAAAACTTGAAGATACCCAAATAGGTTCTTGTTAACTGATCAGCTTCTTACTATTGTTCTCAAATTTTAAAACAATGTATACATATCTTTAGTAGTAAGAGCTTGAATTATCCTATTGTTATATACAAGATAAGATTTTCAAATAGTCTTTGTTGGTTTACGCAAATCCTGTACAGACTGTCTTGTTAAGTCCATTCTTTCATACAAAAAAACAATAGGACGAAACGGCCGTCCAGTGCTTCTAGGTTTTCAATGGTGGTCTAACATCAATCGGTTCATGATCTCAATCAAAAACTTAACAATCTCCACAACGCCTATACTGATAAAAAACATACCTGTTGGACAAGTTATTAGCTACCATGACTTACTGTCTCAGTGAATAGCTTACTGGCATTTGAAGTGGAAATTATTGTGTTTGAGTCTATGTGAACATCATCATTTGAATGCAGATACATCCAGTTCTAAATAAAAAGAAATATCCCTCTTGGATCCTAATATTAGCCAAAAACCATCTGTTTTATTAAACACTAGTTTTTTCATTAAAGACTTCTTACTGGTAAATATAAATAACTGTTAACGACTATGAAATTATAATTACTGGAGTCTGATCACTGTTGCAGAACTTCTTGGTAGTATAATCAAAGTGCAGTTGTCAATAGTCTCCAGTTTCCAGGGAGAAGGGTAGTCTTTTACATGATTCAGTGATCAATGATGTTGTATTGTAACATTCAGTCATTGTTTTATAAACAGTTTAATCAAACCTAACCAGATACCGACGTATGAACACATATTGAAGAATTGTATTTTGGGTAATGTCAGTTGCATATGTTTGATAATCAAATAAATCTATATCTGGTCATTTTTACTTTGAATTTTATTCAGTTAGGGAAACCGGGTTGTGTTTAAAACTAGTTATCATCCATAAGTTGATAGTAAGTAGAAGTTATCAGTCCACAAAACCAATCTCTTGTTGAAGACGTTTTGTGAAGATTCATTTAATGTGTAGATTTTATTTATCACAGACTGATCTCAGTTAAAGTACATTTGAAAACTAGAGAGCACAAGATGGCTGTTTCGCCCTAGCATGTGACTACCTGAATGAGCGACTATGTCCCCACCATGAGTCAAACTCCTAGTATCTTGCTGAATACTTAATGTGAAAAACCACCTGAAGGCCTTGTGTTCTATCCCTGGTATAGGCGTTGTTCCATACTATGGAAGAATAACTGGTCAGTAAGACATATCCACAATCTTTAAGAGGTTGATATTTTTTTGGATATCATACTTATATCACTAAATGTTTTAATCAGAAATGTGTTCGTTGCGGAACATCTAGTTATAGCCGGAAGAGTTATTAAAGACTTAGTATGAAGTATTCTTAAAAATATTTATTCTCCCTCGATATAATGACAATTTCTCACTGCTGAAGGTTAATCAATAAAAGCTTAATGTCTAGACCATTCTATTGACTGACTCAAATCATTTGAGGTAAGCTAAATCTTGGTTCTACTGAACAGTTTAAGTGTGATCTCGAAGTTTATTTTATAAGTGTACAGATCTACGTGAAAGCAGAACTGTTAATCATAATGATCAGTTCAAATGGGTTATACAGCCACTGTAAACTTATCCTTCACAAAAATTAATTATCTGCTAAAATCTAACAGACTCAAAGTTTTTCAAACTACAGAAAAAAATAGCTTTATGGATAAAGAAGCTGGATCTTTGTGAAAAGAAATAGGTTTAGAGACTTATATGATCTTAGCTACTTTCATGTGAAACAAATCATTATTCATCTTAATTATGAAATGACCTAGTATGATTGCTATTTGTGTACTCATAGCCTGAACTTATTATAATAGTAGTATTATTGAAAACAATAAGTCCCTTTGATGAATTTGGATGGGGCAATTAGAAGACGAAGGTTATCAGAACTATTTTATATATTAACGTAATACATTTCGAACAATCTGATCATATATATACTTGTTAAGACATTTTGTGTGAAAAATAAAAGGTCAACTGGACAAATTAAAAGGTAAGAGGATATAAAGATTATAGTAAAGTACATAAAAACAATGTGAAAACCACGCTGGATAATAAATCAGTATCACCAGGATAGGCTAAGGGTAGGAACAAATTATTTTTGAACATATAAAGGGGGTTCCAGCTTTCGTATAGACAAGGTTTCAATAAACTTTAATGTACGTCCTTGAAAGCTTTTGTACAAAACTGCAATGTCTGACTTAATATCATTCTTATAACCGGTCTCAACAGAATGTTTTTCAATGCAGGAAGATATTTGTCTATCTTTTGATCTTATTTGACTATTGGGATATAAGGAAAATCTGGCTGAAGACTCAATTCAAAGATCTGTTTGTGTAAGCGGTAGTACGTGGACGATATCATAATCATCGGTGCTATATGTGAAGGCGTAAACTGCTTGGTAAAAGATCTCAACTCAGCATATTCCTCTTACATCCGTCGAGGAAAAGATGAAAAACTAGCTACTTGTTCTAGACGTACTGATTATTAAGAGAGACGATAGTTCCATCAAACGTCCTGTGTATAGAAAAACGATATGGACAAGGTAATACCTTGATTTCCATAGGCATTGTCTAATCCATTACAAACCATTGATTAGGAATGTTCAACCGTACACTACAAGACGAATGTCATCTAAGCTAATATAAACTGTATTTACAAACCATTCTTACTGGATATGTATTAAATGAATCAATTAATTGATGCATTTATCAGTCGGTTAGAGTGATATTTGTCTTATCTGGAATCAACACGATATTTAATTCAATGACAACATATTTTAGCAATGTTTAATCAGTATAAACTTACTTTCAAATTATCTGGTAATTCTTGACGCCCAGCATAACCTGGATTCATTGTAATAAACATTGTACACGTTGGGTTTAAGCTTAATTCTGTACCTTCAAATACAAAACGTTTCAATCCAGCACTGATAGCTGTTTGTATACAATGAATTTGTTGAGCAACTACTGATAATACTTCTAATTCAATACGATTGAATTCGTCGAAACATGCCCATGCACCAGCTTGTGCTAGTCCTTTGAAAAATTTACTCATTGCACGATAATCAAGACCATCGGAACAGTTGAATACAACGCATTGTTTTGCAATAGCTTTAGCTAAGTCCTGATATGTGAAAGATATAAAATGAAATGAAGCATTAAGAAATTGTCAGAGTTACAATGCTCTTTTTGTTAACGATGATGAATCTAAAACAAGAGTTAAGTAACCAAATGTTTGACTACTAACTACAGTCTCATAGATACAAACCACATTTCAAATATTTTGGTTTGATCAGCCCTTACACAAAATATATGGCTCAAGGCTTAAGCTATGCTACTGTATTTAATAAGGAAATTGTGTTGCTTTCAATGAGATAGGATTATCTAAAAAACAATGAGATACAGCGGAAGCGTTATCTTCAAAAACAATTTGTATGAATCCGTTAGAATGTTAGTGTTCACACAAACCATTAAGACAATTTTAATGGTTAAATTCGTGGACCGATCTAAGCTAGGTTACAATCGAAGATCTGGAAGCACTGGACGGCCGTTTCACCCTAGTATAGGAAGCCTCATCAGTGCGTATACACGACCCCGTACACACAACTCGAACCCAGGACCGTCGGTTTCACGCGTGAATGCCTAATCTCTAGACCAAATTTCGACTAATCCACGATTTTGTGTGACCGTCCACCATTGTTTTCAGTCAGTAACTGTCTCACAACAGACACAGTTGAACTCCTCTAGTCACGACCTCTCACTAGAATTCCATCAATTCCATCTTCACTAGTGAGCATATGATAATTATCACTATTGGGTTGTGGAGATTGCTGAATTTAGACTGATATTATTCGTATCAGTTAAGATGTAAAACAAAATGTATGTTACCATCGTTCTTACTCGAAAAAATCTCATTGGTTAACAAACCTTATTTAATAAGCAAATTATCCATTACAATGATCGTCTACAGTAATACATTTTATGATTAATTACGATCCTATTTGTTGGTATATTTGTATCCTAATGACCAGTGAACTTAAAAGATTAGATTTTCTACAGGAACTAACTAGATGAATTCTCAACATTTCATTTCTCTGTATGACCAAATAAAAATTGTTCTACTTTAGATCTTGATTCATATTGTTACTCCGCTTGAATAATATTGTTAGATAGTTTATTCTGCTGTTGTGAGATGTTGTCTACTTATATTGTTATAATTAACTAAACTATTAGATACTAAGGGGTGTTCAGTTGTATTTGCTGTTTAGTTGAATCCGTTATACATTAGACAATTTTTTTATTCACTAGTTTGAATTATTCTAGTCTTTAGTTCTAGTTTTTCAACTTAATAATCATATGAACCTATGACTAGAACTAACGATCAAGAAATATAACTATAGATATTACTTAATAATTAGTCAGTGTTGATCAGGGATCTAGTATACTTTGGTAGACTCAACTTACATGATATAAGTAAGTCTGTGATATCTAAAAGTACAATCAATTCGTCTTTGTCAATTTGAGTGTCTTTAATTTGAATGCTTGATAGAGTAATCGTATAAGTTCATCAGACATCTTAAGGTGTTTTGTATTTTTCTCAACAGATTGTACATCAACGTTCCTGGTAGTGAGATGATCAATCATAGTGGAATCCTTGGCTTGTATAATTCAAGTCTATCATCAAGCCAATAAACAATTGGTTCATTTTGATTTCATTAACCACCGACATATATATTTAGAGTTCTACAGATCTATTTACTTAGTTTTTGAATACCCCTTTCAACATTATCATTATTTAATTTAAGTATACAAACAATGATAAATGTTGAACATTTAACACAGAAATTAGTTTTTTTTAATCAGACATCATCACAAATAAAAGTTGAAAATAAAATTTACTTTGCATGTTTCCGTTTTTCCAGTTCCTGCTGGTCCTTCTGGTGCACCACCCAAATTTAATTTTAATGCACCCATAAGTGTTCGATAACATCGATCCGTCAATGGTGTAATCACTAATCTTGGAGTATTGCCTAAATATTCATAACTTTAAATTTTAAAGAAAAAATACCAAAGTAATTTCTTATTATGTGAAAGAAGAACAATTATTATTTAACCGAAAATATATAACGAAATATGTTTATAAACTTGTAGGAGCTTGCCCTATATCAAGTCCACATAGGTTATCTTAGCTTTCGGATTGACCAATTTATTTGTTCTTTTTGAGATATATTTTGATCTTGTTCATTATTCGCTTGTCAACCTTGACTGTTTTTATGTGATATTATGTGTATCCATACCTTATCCTACTCATAACATGTCTGTAACTTATTTTTGTTTGACTATAAATATTGAGTCACGCTTGATTAGAACAAGTTGACTCGAAATGTCTTCTCCACCGCTCATCATTTCGTTTAGCTTCGCTCTATTCTCTTTGCTTTCTTCGTTTCGTTTCTTTGATCGTCTGTATGGATCAATGATTATATGAAAAATACGTATTCGAAATCCATTCTCGTATACGACTTATTTAATTCCGTTATTCACTGACACTGTTTTATCCGATAAGTGTACACGAGGATTGGCGAAACGTATGTTTCGATAGCAATCAGTAAACGATCTACCTGGTGTCAGATCTCTTGGCCACTATAAACTATTCAATATTAATAAACAGATTGTAATTTGATTCATTTCTAAGTTTCCGTGTTGTATAATTATTTATTTGAGTACACAAATATTGGTACAAAGGGTCACTAAATACATATGTGCCACACAAGTCACTTGATTTGTGTGTGGGCTGTGATACTGTCCGGGTGCCCAGACCTAAGCAAGTGGTTTTCTTAGGGGGCCACACGCCGAGCTTTCAATCTGAAGGTCTAGTTCACAAGGTAGTGTAGTCCCATGGTATCCAGTGACCAATAATTGTTTCATACGCATTTTATTACTTAAGGATGCTAGTTTTCCAACTCCTCTAGATGGACCCTCTGTGCACACCAACCCGGTTAAAGCGCCGTACATTCGCTTTTCGTCCTCTCAATTCCGTAAACAAACCCCCCCCCACGAGAAGGCAGTGAGTAGGACTTCCCTAACAATGGCTGTATACGCATGGCCACTTGAGAACATTTCGAGAGGGAGAGCTGACTCCCCCACCCTCGGCCGTACCAGCGCATTTTGCCTCATACTGACAGAATATTTGTCACTTTGATGATCATCATAGTAGGCATTACACAAAATGAATTATATGTATTGATATTTCTCACACATAAGCCGTTAACATTCTTTGCCTAATGAGTCATAAATTAAATTACACTGAGCTTATCTGTAACTAGATAGGCAGTATCATATAGCAGAAAACTCGAAACCCTTAGAATGATCCTGGAAAGTTAATGGCCACGACTGACTTTCTGTAGGACTGAGCCCAGTGGTAACGTCTCTGACTGTGAAACTGGGTGACACGGTATCGAATCTTTCAGGGAGCACCAGTTCCCTCAAGACTACAGGTACACCTTGCTGATGAGTGCCATGAAGCAGGAAACTTAGGTCCAGGGGTTCCTGTTGAATACCTCAAACCACCATATTATCTCAACATAGTGCACACCCAATGTCAAATCGCTTAGACTATTAGCAACATTGTAACTTGATCGATAGGATTCTATCTACGCCGAAAAGAACCTGACACACATGACATTGATCATCATCCAGTGATCAATCAATTGTGAGTATTATAAATTTATCGGTTTTCTCATTTACTTTTTCACGCTTAAAATCTAAATTTGTTTACTAAATTGGTATATATGAGCACAAATCAATTTGTATCTGGATTTTCGCTGTTTTCAGTGTTACAGTTAAATTGTATTAGTGACTAGTGATTTAATGGTCTACTTGTAAATTTGTACTCTACATTGATGCACTAAACTAGTTATTTACTTTTAGAAATCACTTTGAACAATTTAAGAAACTAAACCAGCCCTGAGTGATTTTCTCTGATAACACTCACTAACTAGGTTAAAATTTCAAATATTAAGAGAGTGTAATTAACACGATACTATTGAGCAACCGGTTCAGAACCCTGATGGTCATGACTTTTGTATTTTCATTCAACTAGGCTGTATGTTTCTGTTGCCAGATATGAGTTGAGTTACGTTCGAATAGTTACATATATACAATTTGTCTTCTAATTTATAAATTATTCACAGTAAATCGATACATGTAAACCTACTTCAGTCATCAGTATAGGGGTTGTGGAGATTGTTAAGTTTTTGATTGAGATCATGAACCGATTGATGTTAGACCACTATTGAAAACCTGAAAGCACTGGACGGCCGTTTCATCCTATTGTGGGACTTCACAGCAGTGTGAATCCACAATCCTGCTCGCGGGATTCGAACCCAGAGTACATGTGCACACTAGTGACTTGCTTCGTGAGGGAGTTCTCGGAGTTCTAGTAAGACGTCGTGACCAGTGGAGGTAGTCCGTGTCGGGTAGAGATAAGGATCTACCTCAGTACAATGGAAAATGGTAGCGCAATTTAGTGGATTGGTTGAGGTTAGACATCAACATCGTCGGATGCCAGCTCAGTGGTCCAGTATGTTAAGCGTTCGCGCGAGAGACTGAAGGCTCTGGATTGCAATCCTGCGAGCGGGATCGTGAATTTGCACTGCTGAGGAGTCACTAAACAGGACGAAACGGCCGTCCAGTGCTTTCAGGTTTTCAATGGTGTTCTAACATTAATCGGTTCATGATCTCAATCAAAAACTTATTATAATCAACTTAACTCTAGGTTAATAAATCAAAATTATCAATAAATGCAAATGATTTTAGTAAACACTAACCCATAATCTAATTCAGTTGTTATTTGGCATACAGTTACTTTATTCGATTCTTCTGGTAAGAAATAATATCTCAGTTGACTTAACCATTCAAAATCTTGAATTGAACTCACTTTATTCTTAACCATAGACGTTACCACATCCCGTGCTATAGAAAAATTCAGGGTTATCAGGAAAATAATAGATAATTATATTTTTGTAACGGAGAAAACTGAATATTTTTATTGTTGAATTCATGAGTCAATCAATGTTAGACAACCATTGAAAGCCTGGAAGTACTGGACGGCCGTTTTGTCCTAGTACGAAACTTCTGAGCAGTACGCATTAACGATCCTGAATGCGGGACAAGAATCCAGAACCTTGTGTTTTGTGCGCAAATACTTAACAAGAAATCAATAATTTGATATTGCATGTAAAATGGGAAAGAAGAACGTTCCACTTTTTCTCATACTATGCTATTTATTAGTCACATCAATCATTAATAATCGAATTTGTAATGTGACTTAATAGGTTTAATGTTCAAAACTATTTTCATTTAGCAATTTCACGATTTACATTTATGTTTACTCAATGAGGTTTGAGAAGAATATTGGATTTTATGATCTATATCATGAGATGATCTATACTAGAAAACCGTTTAAAAACAGAAAACGTTGAACATCAGAAGAGTTTTATAGTTAGGTAAAACAGATTTCCAGTGCATCATGATTTTCAATGACCGGCTTTGTACGCAGTTTAGAAATTAATTAATTAATTCCCGTCACATCTCCAAAGCATTGATGATTCAGCAGTCATGTTTGTAATTTGTCTATAAATTCCGACTGTTTCATTTTAAAACACTGTTGTTGTTGCTGAAACATCAACTGCTATTGATCGCAAGGGAGAGATATTCTCTGTTTCTGTATGAATCAGCACAGTAATAGAAAATACTGTATTGCAAATTAACAACCAATGTCGTACAAGGACACCGACGATAGTTCTGTATGCTGATTGTCCGACATAATTACACTGGTCTTTGTCCAATTACTGACTGACCATGGTTCTTTTTTTCATCCCCGTTGCCACTGATATGTCCTGTCGGATTGAACGCTACTTGTTATATTTGGTCACCGTCGTGTTTTGGGGGTTAATAAATCTTCACTTATACCAGTCTTTGTGTTCTTAATTTTGCGTCGTGAGAATTTCAGAAGTTCCTCGTCTCGAGTATAACTGATAAGCGTTTCCGACACAATAAATCAGTGACGACCAGTCGTCATCAGACAAGACATATCATGATATAAACTATGAAATTTATTAGGTTATTTCAATCTTATTCCGCATATTACAAAACCTCGGATCCAACAATCGATAAGATTATTAGTCAGTTACATTATGATTACTCTTACCCTGAATAACCCATATTTTACCCATATTCTTTCTCATAATATAATTTAAGTAGTAGCTTGATTTTAGAATTCAATATGCTCAAGTAAATTTATTTTATTTTATATGACAGATGCGTATCTTCTATTTTAGAGAACCTTGTTTCCTTAACATTTTGGACATCTGTTTGAATTTTTAATTCGTACATGATATGAAAAACGTTTTTGGAAACAATTCAAAAATATTTATACAACGTTAGTTTATTTAAAATATTATATAGTATATAAAGCGTTTTAGATGTTGTGAGCAAATTTCATTTTTTTATTTAAACGTTTGTGCTACTGTTTATTATTAAGTAGCTAAAGTTATAATCGACAAAATTATTTGTCATGAACGTGAACATGAAGAGAATGATAATCTTTATTAGAGTTTAATTGTTTGGTTCATATAACAAACATATTGAGTACCTAAAGGAAATTTTGAAAATTTATAGGCATTTAATAAATGTATAAAAGATTTACTCTATCTACATTGAATGATTTTAAATTACTGAACATAGTTTTAAGTGATGAAGGGACAAGAATAAATTTTCAGTATTGATTTTTTACGTCAGTTTTTAATAAACAAAAAATTGTGTAGTTATAACCTCAATGAAGTCAGATATTTCTTTTGATTAATAATCTAAAGTTAATAGTTATTTAAACAACTGTTGACTGAAAGAGTTCAAGTAATAATAACGGTTAACTTATAAAAATAACACTCTAAATTGAAGAATATATACAATTTTCCAGGTGAAGATTTGATCTTATTATTAATATTGGTATTTGATTAAGTCTAAGAATAGTTGGTCACTCAGCTACAACATAGGACCAGGCACATATGTGCATCAGTTCACGTTGCCATACCTCATTAGCACAACAAAACAAATGCCGAATTCATAGAAGTAGTTAATTCAAAGGTGGTAATATATAAAAGAAAGATTGTGTATAAGGATATAGTACAGGAAGAAAGAATCAGTTCGTAGAAAGAAAGATATGAGACGATTTTAATTTCATAGTTTAAGGGAAGATAGAGAGTGTATACACCTACTCCACTGTGATTGATTCTGAGCCATGTCATCTAAAGTCTCCAACTATTGGTTACGAAAATCAGGTACCTCCAGAAGTCTAACAATAGACCAAACAACTACAAAATAAATGTAACTGATGAACCTTACAACTGATGAATTAAACATTGCAGTATTATTTTGTAGTGAATAAAAGCTCAGGTGGGAAAAATCGATCACTTTTTTGTAGTACAAAATTGCAGAGTTTCTTGATCAATTATGAAAATCACACATTAAATACTTCATTTGCACATCTTTTATCCGTTGTCCTTTACATCCTTTATGATTTTTCCATTTCTCAATTCGTCTATTTTTCTTTTTTTTTGTTTTCTTCAGTGCAATATTCTCAACCTTCTTTTGACAGGCGTTCAACTTCTGATTGATGTTACATAGTACTTACAGCTGTCAATATAAGTAGCATACACTATAATATTAGTAGAAATACTTAATGTCACTTTATTTTAGAGGATATATGTTAGATAATCATTATCAAATCTATTTACTTACCATGTACATCAATTACTGTAAGTGCACCTAATGTGATTCGTTCACCACTAGTTAATTTTCCTCTTACTAATTGTACGATATCATCAATTTGTTGGTTACATTTATTATGATATTCAGTTAATTGATTATTTTTAATAGATTCTTGTACTTCTTTTGTCCAATAAATGCTTGATACACAAATAACAACCTATTAAGAATGAAAAATAAAGAATAAATATATATTATATAATGTAGTATTGATGAATAATAATTTAATGTAATACTGATTATCTATATTTGAGTAGTATATTTTAAGTCAGATATATGGGTTAATTGTAGTTTAAACAATTCACTGATAAAGTATTGAGTGAAGTCAGTCAGTTGGTAACAACGTAGAACTTCGTACGTACGTACATCAGTTCAAGTTGCCTTACCACAAGAGCACACAGATACAATTGTCGATTCAAATCCCGCAGTGGTAGAAGTACTAAGAGTATAAGCAGTAATCGGAAAGATGTTATTTAAAGAGTATAATACAGTGAAATAAATTTGGCAAGAGGAAATAAGGGACATGAAGAATTCAGAAGATTTTAATTTGGGAGAACATAAAGAGTGGATGCACCTGCGCCACTGCAAACGATACTGAGCTATGTCATTCAAGGTCTCTAACCATCGGTTGCTATAGTCTCACGGATCCCAACCAGGTAGTCTACACCTACCAATATGGTTCGATCCACTTGTTAGAGACTTCATGGATTTGTGCCATGTTTTGGTCTGGCCGCTCCTAGCATTGTTCCAACCTACTCCTACACCGTGAAACATCGCTCATCGGAGCAGTCGGTGGTTGGGTATACGTAAGACATGTTCCAGTCATCTCAACTGACGAAGTTTCACTAATTCATCACCACGAACTAATTCTTTCTCTTTGCATCATATCTTTATATGCAATCTTTCTTTGATATATTACTACCAATGAATTCATTGCTTCTATGGATTCGGTGTTCATCCTGTTGTGCTAATAAGGTGTGGCAACTTGGACGGATGCATGCCTGGTCCTACTTTGTTACTGACTGACAGAACTTTTCATTCTTTGACTTAATAAAATTGAAGTTATTAAAATATTATCCTTTACCTTAAATTATTTATTTATTTATTCAAAAAAAGGAAAAACCATTATATTCATTATGAAATGAAAACTGGACTATAAATAATATGAAGCTTACTTGACCTGGCCAATCTAATACCCATTTTTTTCTTAAAATATCAGGATATGCATGAACACTATCGGCAATCACTTTTCTTAAACTGCTAAACATAACATCTTCAACTTGTAATAACCATTTTTCAACCATACCCTAGAACAAAAAAAATATATCCGTCTATTACCTTTATATAAGTTAAAATGAGTAAATAAGTATAAATGATTTCACTTGTTTAACAATGTTAGATGAGAAATATTCAAAATTTCGATGCATGTGTGCTGTTAGAGGTATGAGGGCGGTTATCGATTCCCAGTTGCACACACCGTGGAAGGATTCTTCTGGAGTTACCTGTAAAAAAAATTGGGTTAAGGGTGGTCTTAGTGACCTGAGAGCGTGACCGCAGTGACCAAAGGATAGCTGCTTGAGGTCCGTCTCACACGACATTTTTGTGAGTAATTTTCACGTTGACTTCGTACTTATTGGAACCTTACCACCGAAGACGGATATCCGTGGGATAAGGCAAGATGTGCATTTTTAGAGTCGACCTTTTCTAACCCCACCCCTCCTTGTGGGAAGGCAGCATCGCTGTTATGCTGGTTGTCTGAAGGAAACACCTTATTACCGTCACATCTCTGTACAGACAGTAGTACGATTTCGCCTTCTGACCTTCAGCTTGCTCTTTTCATTATCACCGCTCTTCAACCGACCTGTCTGGCATGGTAGGAATTTAAGGAACGATTGTTCCAACCAGTATAGCTCGATTGGTAGCAGCAACAGTCGAGGTAAGATGTATAATTACATCATTTCTTGAATAATGAGTTGTTGACTTTCATTTTCCTTTAACTTTTTCATTTTGTTCGAATCAAAGTAGAAGACATTCACCTTTCGAAATTGGTAATTTATCTGCATTTGTAAGACTATGAACAATGGAGGTTAAGTTTAGAAAAATCGGAAGAGTGAATCCGCTTGTTCAGAATAACACTGAAAGCCATTCTTACCAATTAAATGATTTATTGCAGAGTAAAGAACATCATCTGAGATACCAGTGAGGATATATGTAGTTTGAGGCTAAGTTTCAGGAACTAGGTGATATTTTGAAGGAACGAAGTTTAAGCAAACAAGAGAATAAAACTAAGGAGGAAAGTTTGGTGACGAATTATAGAAAAACAAGAAATGAAACCCAATCTCTATTTAAAGTACTAGAGTGATTGAGACTTCTCATTTATTCATATCGTAGAGGGATACCTGTTATTACGGAAGCTGAGAACGAAACTAGCCTAGTACTGAGGATCTTGTCAACCTACTAGATTAAATGGCATATTTGAGTTCATTCTTTATCTTCTCAACCTAGTGCTTTCTTATTATTTTCTGTGTTTATTTCTGTTATAACCTGTAGCCTTGTGCCTTATTAATATATAACGAAATGATATCGCCAATCAGCGAACAGTGATTTATCGACTGGACCAATGACGCGTAAACCCCTACGAGCAGTCTAAAGTTCTTATCAGTCCTTCTTCCTGCCTAACCCTGCCTGTTGAATCCGGAACACCAATCTCAGCCTCTGTGATATGAATCATGTATTTCAAACATACTCGGTTTACATACAAACCAAAAAGACGACATTGTACTAGAAAATAGAAAATAACATTTGTACAAGATCTAGCCAAAAGTGGCTATGAATGTGAGAGACTGTAATTAATCGATTGGGCATAATTCAAGAACGGTAAATAATAGTCCATGGATCAAAATGAAGCTCTTAATAAGAGGAACATGAATATGTATAGTTTAGTTACATAACAATTATACAATAAAAATATATGTATCGTATTGGTCCATAAATAGTTCTCAAAAGTTACCATTCATAATTCTATTCGGGATAATGAAGCTAGCAGGATGAATATATGCGTAGGCGCTAAACAATGTTCAAGCATACGTATTTCATACAAGCACAATAATAATAAGGGTACAATAAATTGTTATAATGCAGATGACTATCCGCTAAATAAGTTAGCAAAAGGGCTTAACTGGGTTAATTGAGATTAAACTCAATTGCACGTGAGTCGCTATAAATCCACTAAAAGTGACTAGATAGTGGGGATGAACACCGTTTGATTTGAGATCATCAGAGTCTGATTTTTCTGAAACATTTCCCTCAAATCTATTGAGAATCTCATTAGTAGATAATGCATCATTAAGATAATCAGCATCCATGAAAATTGCATTAGGCTCTTGACCATCATAACAACATAATTTCTTGATATCATTCGTTCATTTCAAACTCACTTGATATGTGTATAGCTTTTAACCACTAATGTTATTTCAACTATTATTCCTTCTAACCTTATAAATTTCCTTGCAATATGATATAATTTTGTTACTCATTAACTGATTCACATTTATAATTCGTTACATCTTGTTGATAAATGATCACGTCTTGTGAATATTGTTGTATCATTAAGCTCGGCTAATTATCATGTGATTTATTCGCCAATCGAAATACAACTTATTCAGTTTTAGTACTGTACTAAACCAATGACTTTCGACTGGTATACGAAGCCTATCGTCCTTATTGATTCTTTGATCGTCTAGCCCGCCCAGTTGGGTTAAGAAAGCTAACAACAGCTTCCGCTATGCAGATCGTTTATTTCAAGCATATTTGGTTTATATACCAGTCAAACGAACTGGATCATGCCATAAAATAGAAAATAACATTAATACAAGATCAAGCTAACAAGTGGCTGTGAATGTGGGAGACTGTAATCAATAAACGGGGCATAACTTAAGAATAGAAAAAGAAATTTCGGCTCAAAGAAAAGGATTCAAATCACGTTGACAATAAAAAGAAAAATGAGAGTGTTACTTTGAAACAAAAGTTGAAAATCATCATCGAGTAATGTGTAAGGAATTATCATAGAAAAGACTAAACCCATGATAATATAACAATTTCAGTATCTCTATGGATGATCAGGTCACATCTCTTTACGTTGACCAATCCATATGCATGTTTGTAACCACAAGTACGCAGTGATGAATAATGCCTTAGAATCAGTTAGTGTTATATGCTTAAATAAATATGGAGAATAGGTAGTTATGCTTATCATTAGTACAATATATCTGGTCATGAAATTGACTTTAAAATAGCTTTTGTTATCTTTACATAAAATGTTGTCTGCGGAAGGGGTGCACATTTATAAGTTTATGCAAATCCAGGTTAATAAAATGTTAGAGCCTACTTTAAGTGTAAAAAACCAATTTATTTTAACCTTAAATCTATTTCGGTAACCTTTAATTCATTTGATTGCCCAGAGTAGTTTGATAACCTTTTATTATGTATACAGTCTATCATTTCATTTTGATTCTGATTCAGTCAGACAGTCAGTCAACTACAACGTAGGTCTATTCTAATTAATCACTTCTAGGTATATCAGTGACTTGACAAAGTAAATTTACATGAACATCAGATTGTTTAAAATGTGTATGTGAATAAATTACACCTGCTTCTGTGTTTCAAATCAATTGCATCTTTCTTTCTTTCTGACTGTCTTACCTTAGCTTTAGCTGGATGAATTTTTGTAACAAACGGTACTGATTCAGATTCCGCTGACGTCATTCCAATAATTTCTTGTTGTTCTGTAAATATTAATCGGCTGATACCTAAATAATAAACAAATAAATGACAATGTTGAATAGATTGATAAACAATTAGAAAAACAAAATAACAGATAAGATTTCTATAAAATATTCATGAAAACAAATAGGAACAATGTTTAACAATACAACTGCTCCACTGCCTTGTGGATCAGACCTTCATGTCGAAGGCTCCGGGTGTGGCCCCCTAAGAAAACCACCTACTTCGGTTTAGGCACCCGGGCAGTATCACAGCCCTCACACATATCAAATGAGATCTGTGTGGCGGATATGTATTTGTACTAATATCTATGTGTTAAAATAAATAAATAAAATAAATTAACAATACAATAGATTTTAAACTAAAAAATTTCTTGATTGAGATCATGAACTGGTTGATGTTAGACCAAAATTGAAAACCTGGAAGTATTGGACGATAGTTTCGTCCCATTGTGAGACTCCTCACCAGTGCGCATCGACGATCGCGCTCGCGGGATTCGAACGAAAGGCGTTCAGTCTCGCGCGCGAACGCTCAACCTACTAGCCTACTTTATGGACATCAAACAACGATAATAATGTTAGGCGATTTTATTATAACTTTTGCTTTTTTTCCGGATGATATTCATATCAGTCTGATATTAACTGGAGGTTTAAAACAACGAAAGTGCATTAGATGTCCATCTTGTTCTGGTTTGTTGAAGAGCATCATGAAGCATGAAGTCTAGTTGTAGGATTTTCTAACGATATATAGTACACGTGATGACAAGCTATTTGAATTAGTGGTTAAATTGCAACTTTATCAGTAGAAGTTCGTCATCCCCACTAAGTAGTAAACAAATACAACAATGGCCACTTTCCAGTGGACACTCAATATAAATTTAATTGGATTTACATAATTCATCGTTCTTCCTCAAGCTATAAAATTGTTATGTGATACTTTTATCAACATAAGTAGTGTATAACGCGGTGAGACTATAGTTTACGGACGATCTTTGAGCGACGCCAAAGTGACCTTGAGAATGTCTACCTACTTAATAGGGCTAAATGAAGGTTAGAATAAAGACAATGATTTACAGTTGATGGTAAAGATGAGGATTTAGATTCATGGTTTTCATCACGAAGTGACATCAGCCAAAATGCCAAGACGCTATTTAGACGATGGGTGAGTGCGTTTCCCTACAAAAATCCAAGACCTGTTATCCTAAATCTGATTGGTTTATCCGTAAATTATAATCTCGCCTATAACGGTAGTCAGGGATAGAATGTCTGGCATCAAATGTTTGAGAAGATCAAGGAAGAAAGAATGGAAACAGAAACCAATTCTTATGAAAATGCAGGCACAATGAAGTCTGAGACAATTAATAAACACTTTGCAGATGAAGAATTAGAGTATGATTTTTCTATTTTATCAAGCGACTTTGTATTTTTGTGCTAAATGTAACTGGCTATCCTCAGCTGTGTTCTCTTTCAGTACAAAAGGCCTATTGTAAGTTCTCTTCCTTTCTCTTCACTATCCTTGTTGAAGTATAGTTTTAAATTGGCCGTTAATCAATATCATCACATTAGATTCTTATTTCGTATACGGAGTTTTTCTTATCTTTTCTCCACTTTAGCCACTAATTAAACTTATACAAATCGTAACATCTGTAAATAATGTATATATTTATTTTTGTATAAATTACCTTCGAAACACTTTTTTAAATGTGGTTGAACCCTTTGGGGATCTTTTGTTTCGGATAAAATTTCTAATAATTCGTCATTGGATAAGAAGAAGAATCTAACAATAAGGCAAAAAAATTCAAAAGAAGCACAACAGTTATTAACAACTAATGATGGTGCGTACGGATTCAATCGTCCTGATGAGCTACGACTCTTTAACTATTTCTGATGTCTTTTAATTGAACGACAGATTCGGTTCCTAAGCTCTTCTAGTAACCCCTAGGCTAAATCTACATAGCGACTTGAACAGGAAAGAAGAGGCACGAAATATGGAAGAAACGCTTTGCATTAAGGTTTGTATATGTACAGAAAATCTAGGTTTCTTTATGGTATTCTGGATGACCTTGGGTTTCCGGAAACTTCTGAAGCGCTAATAAACATAGTAGCAGTATAGACAATCATTCAATCAGCTACGACGTAGGAACCAGGCACATATGTGCATCGTTCCAAGATGCAATATCTCATTAGCACAACAAGACGAACACTGAATTCATAGAAGTAGTTAATTCAATGGTGGTAATATATGAAAGAAAGATTGCATGTAAGGGTATAGTAGTACAGGAAGGAAGAATTAGTTCATAGTAAGAAAGATATGAGGCAATTTTAATTTCATAGTTTAAGGGAAGATAGAGAGTGTATACACGTACTCCATTGTAATCGATTCTGAGCCATGTCACCCACAGTCTCCAACTGTTGGTTACGATAGTCACGCGGACTTCAACCAAGTAGTCTGCATCTACTAACATAGCTATGACTAGAATTTAATGACTCGAAGCACTGATGCCATGTTTTGGTTTGGCTGCCCCTAACCAAGATTTTCGGTCACATGCATGAAACACTTAAACTGTAGACTTGAAACTTGTTTCATCTCATCGAAAAAAATCATTACATATGTATAGTCAAATAATAGTTACATAAATATAGGTAATTGACTAACCGTGGGAAATATAATCGCTTCTTTTCTAAATAATCATTTAATCCTTTTTGTATTTCTTCGAGTAATAAATATGCGTCATTTAACCGTTTTAACATGTCTCTTTGATCAGTAGCTATTAAACAATTTGGATTTAATGCTGTCTCAGACATTATTTCACGCCATATTACATCAACAATACCAAATTTACGACCTTCTTCAGGCATTTGTGCTAAAATATCCTCAGATGAAAATATGGGCTCCAAATATAACCATGTAGCTTGTACCTGTATTTAACATTTTAACCATAATGATTATATGTTTATGATCAAAATGTAGAACTCTGATCTTAAAAATGATGAATAATAACAATTTAAGTGCGATTATAGGCAAATATAGATGTTGACTGGCAGTGGAATCCAGTTGGACGCACATTTCGTCCTATTTGGGACTCGTGAGCTGGATGTATCTGCATGTCGTAGTTGATGTTCACTCTGGGAGTCGAACCCAGTATCATTTGCTCCAAACGCCATCGCATCATCCACTCAGATACTGAGTCCTGATAGCCACCTGCTTGTACAATGGGGTGAATTCAAATTCACTTGGTATTGTATTTTGTTTGTATCTTCCCATTGAGGTTTAAGACTGCAATTGATCAGTCTGCACATATGCCAATAACAGACTGATCAATTGCAGTCTTAAACCTCAATGGGAAGATACAAACAAAATACAATACCAAGTGAATTTCAATGACAGTTTTATGAATGTTTTGTAAACATTTCAAAAGTTATAGAATTTTTACTACGAACTGAAACTAAAGTTATTTCATTCTATCTTGAAAATTTCCAATGTTGTGCATTCATAGGAGATAGATTCCGAATCTTTAGTCTAGTGATACCGTTTATAACATGAAACCTGAAGGTCGAATTCAATCTCATGTGAGATTGTAGGTTCATATTGCTGATAAGTGATTATCTAGTACAAGGTATCTACAAAGTAGTGCGTAACACCAATCAGAAGTGAATTGCATGGCAGCAGAAAGCTATGAAGATTGAATTAAAAAGAAACACAGAGAGGGAAGTAGGAAGAAATTGTGAATTGGAAGAATCATACAGAATATCAAGAATAGTTAGTGGAATATTTGCAAATGAAGTACTTTTTTTGCATGGTTCTTATATTATACCAAGATACTCTGCAACTTTGTAATAAAATACATTTGGTTGTCCCCACTTGTGTTCTCGTTCATAATAGTAGTACCTAGTTTACAGAAAATTTAGATGATCCCTGTTCATGACTAGTGCATGAATAGAGTAGTTCTGCTTAAATAATAATTCTTGTTCTCTTAAAATGAATACAGAGAACTATAGTGAAATACTTCAATTTACGTTTATCTTATTGTATTGTAACTTACTTTCAACCATACATCTAATATATCATTCATTGAAATCAGCTTTGTTTCCCATGAAATCATTTCTTCTTCAAATGGCTTAATATATGGTGAACTACGCATTGTTTGCGCTTTAATGATATGATCATCTAATATAACTTGTATATCATCAACTGCTGATAATATAGATATTCCCTGAGAAAAAAACCAATGTCAAATGAAATATTAAGTATAACAGCTGTAATAGGTAAATAGTATTTAAAACATGCGTATTATCTTATTCTGAGACTCATCAACGACGTTATTAGTTGTCGTCTCAAACGCCAATAGTCTCACCATTTGACCATTCATTTCAGATAGTCATCAACTTGTTGAGTATTCATAATAAAGTGTTTGCATTTTACTGATGACTGATACCAATTATTTTTGACTGCGTCATAAAACGACTGAATATGACTGGAGCTTGTAATTATAGGCAGTAATGAAATATTCATTTAAATTGCGCAAACCGCAAAACAGAAACCGACCAAACGTATTACTGAAACTCAATAATAGAAAAACATTACGAACTTTGTGAAACTGTAATTTATGGAGGATCTTTGAGCGACGCCTTAGTGACCTTGAGAATGTCTACCAACTAACTAGGACTAAATGGCGGTTAAGAGTCAGATTTAGAGTTTTCATTACTAACTGACATCAACTACAATGTTGAGACGCTAATTAGGCAAATGGATGAATGAATTTCACGCCAAAATTCAAGACCTCTTATCTTATATCTGATTGATTCGTTCATAAATTATAGTCTCACCAAGTTAACAAGAGTATTCTGGAAGATGTGTAACAACAGTATTGAGAAGTTGACACATGTACCAGAATTTCATTGTAAAGGAGAATTTTAACAGTTTAACCGCTTTCAATTATATATATTCTTCGAACTAATCAAAGGTAGAACATTTTGAGATTTTCTCCAGTTTTATTTATGCAGCTAAATACATAAAAAGAGTTGAAATTATGGTTTCTCCATGTTATTCTAATGATCATTACCAAAATGTAAACAAGAAGAAAGAAATGACTTTATACTAGGAATTTAGTAGATATAAAGAAATTATTCCCAAGACTATTAGAATAATAAATAATCAACAAACGTTGATTTTGTTTTATAGAGGTCACTGATACTAAGTATTTCTTCGCTGACCTATATATGAAGATGCTGAAACCGTTATTTCCATTTTATCCGCGTAACAATAACTGTTCTAAAACAGTTTTACTTGTCACATGATTTCAGTCTTGAATTCACTCAGTGAGTTTATTTAACTTCATTCGTTTAGTTACGTAGTCATTCATTGATATTACCTGTAATTGAACCGTATCTGTATCATTTTATAAGCGTAGATCATTTTGCAAATAGTTCCAGATTTTTAACAACTGTACTGCAGAGTTGTTATGTCTTGAAACGTTAATCTATACCACGTGTTATTCTAATTATAATTCTTCTACCTCGAGTCTGCTACTTCGGTTATAGTCTAACGTCATTAACCTTGAATATAGATACGGTCTGGCTTTCAACTTTAACCTTGAGCTAAAGTAAACTACACTCCCATTAGTCATATATCCTCATGCCTTTCTCCATCCCTAGTCTTAAGTGGGAAAAGGATTCTGCAGTTAGGCTTTTATTATTAGAAGGTTTCGACGACCCAGAACAGCCATCAGAGCTTTATTAAATAATTATTAGCTTATATATACAAACGATCGTACCAGACAGTACACCACATATGAAATTATATTTTAAATACAATCATTCTATAATTACAAGAGAATGAATCAAACAGTACATAATTAATTATCATTAATTATAGAATAATAAAACGAATAATAGGTCTACAAGAAGCTTATGATAAAGAGACTATAAGCATACGATAATATACTTATCTACTGACTAAACAATAAAAAAATCCAAGAAGTACTTTCGGAAGTTCTAACTTTCTCAAGACTTGAGTTATCATAATAAGATGTAACTCTGCTCTAAACATATTAAGGCATTATATTTCAAAAATAAATTGGTATGGGGAGATTTGTAGAGTAGGTGGATGATTTTGATGGAGTTTTGTTCTTTGAGCTGGATAATTTGGTCGGGGAGCTTCAATCGTATGGTCCTATATTTGGTCATAATTTTTCTGATTGGTTGATAAATTAGATCAATTCGGCGGTCAAACGCTACGACATATCCTCGCTTATATCAGTGCATGTGGACAACAACCAAAATAAAGAAGTAAACAATGACAGGTTCAAGGTCGACAACAACCAATGAACATCGAAGTCTACAGGACAAGCTGTGAACCATATATGGATAAATTCGAACACTTCTTTTCTACCTGAAGTTTGTGCCGATGATGTCGTTCATAATAACGATGAAAGCTACACGATAAAACCATCCAGCTCAGAGAACAAACCTCCATCAAAATTGGTATTTAGTTCTAAAATCTACTTAATACACAAAATAAACTTGAACGAAACTTCAATATTAAGATAAATACTTGATTATTTAAGTGATATAAATCACTGAGATATTAACTTATATGGTTAAATATTATGGTTAATTGTAGGTCCTAGGTATAATTCTAAGTGTGTTTGTATTTGAGTACTTTTGACTGATTCTTGAATGAAATAACATGAATATTACTTTTACAATATAACAATAGTATTTCATTGTCAATATTAAACTGAATATAAACATATTATGTTAGGTAAATTTAAATGACACATGTAGTTTCGGTGAAGCTGATATAGCAAATCTTACAGACATTAACAAGATGTATGAAGGATCTCAAATGAATGCCAATCAAATGAAAATTACTTACTGTATCCCTGTAAGATATCAATTCAAACTTCATTAAACTCCATTCACCTTTCATTTTAGCTATAGCCATTTCAAGTTGATGTTCTTTAGCAGCTCCAGCACCAACTTCTTCTAATTGTTCCAAATATGGTTTTAAACCATATTCTAAAAATGTCACTAATTTAGTATCTTCCATTGGTTTAATATCAAAGCCTACAATTTCACTCATTTGATCCCAATGACGTGATTGTATGCCTGGATTACAGACAATGTGAATAATTGGTAAAAACTGTTGAAATTTAGTTAGTTTATCCTGTTTGGAAGAATAAAAAAGAATTATAGAAAATCCAGAGAACGGTGTAACAAAATGTTGAGGATTAACCGAAAAACAGTTCTATTAATGAATCATTGAAGTGCTAAGATAGAACTTTAAAATGTTTTATTATTTACGTGAACTAATACTTTCAGAAAACAAAATCTCTAACTAGAATTCCATACTGATGGTCTCTGACATTATATGTTAAGGTATATCTCAGTCAGTCAGTCAGTTACAACGTAGGTCCAGGCACATATGTGCATCGGTTCAAGTTGCTACACCTCATTAGCAAAGCAAGACGAACACTGGATCCATAGAAGCAGTTAACTCGATGATTTAATATATAAAGGAAAGATTTTATGTAAGGGTATAGTAGTACAGGAAGGAAGAATTAGTTCATAGTAAGAAAGATATGAGGCGATTTTAATTTCATAGTTTAAGGGTAGACAGAGAGTGTATACACGTACTCCATTGTAATCGATTCTGAGCCATGTCACCCACAGTCTCCAACTGTTGGTTACGATAGTCACCCGGATCCCATCCTAGTAGTCTGCATGTACTAACATGGCTATGACTAGAATTTAATGACTCGAAGCGGTGATGCCATGTTTTGGTATGACTGTCTCTAACTTTCTTCCAACCGTCTCCAACGCTACTCAGCATTGGGCGTTGTGGTAATTGATGTTCAGGCATACGCAACACATGACCCAATCATCTTAGTCGATGAAGATTTATAACCTCATCAACTGATTTACCATCATTCTCTAATACCCTGGGTCTAACCTCGCTATTACTTACCCGATGATCCCAGCAGATGTGAGCAATAAGTTATATCTTCTATCAGGCTTTCCCATTGTAGGTATTCAAGACTGTTATTGATCACTCTTTATGTTTCAACATTGTGTTTCATAAGCTGATTATCTTCTTACCTTTATTCTTTACGTTATACGGCAATATCAAGAAAGTGGAACATGTTATATAGGAGAGACGGGACAGTTCAATGTTCGGTTTATTGAAAAAGTACTTGAAACGATCTTTACCTGAATTTCAATAGTTTTTTTCTAATCATTTACAAGAAAGCATTGGTCAAAACGCTTTCTTATGGAGTAGAAAGAATATGTGCCACCAACAAATCGGAAGAAGAATTGAACGTTGAAAAATGCTTAAGGGATAAATACTACCCACAGAAATTTACTGGCAAATATAAAATTCAAAAAAGAAAACAAGACGGAAGTGGCTACAATCAATACGAAACCAATATTTATAAATCTCAGCTTCAAGGGTGATGACGTTGCAAGCACAATCTACAGGAGACTTAACACTGCATTAGTCAGAACTTAACCGCAGCTAAAGTGTCGATTCTAGATAAAACATGTTCAGTAATCGAATCAAGTGTCAACAAGCATCCCTTTCATCTTAATACCAACTGTGTCTATAAATTTACGTGTACTCGCCAAAGCAGCTAGATTGGCCGAGTAGAAAGAAGGGCATATCCTACATTGTTTTAGTATGTTCGAAAAAGCCTTAGAACAAGAGGAAGAATGACTTTAAACAGTGTAATTATCAAACATCTCTTGAATACCGGACATCAGGTCGATACCTTACAATCTTCCAAGGTGATTAACAAATAGCAAAGCTCCAGTCTTCTGAAGTTTGCTGAAGATGTTACTATCAGGCACTAAATTTGTGCTATACTATACTAAAATGTCTTCAGAATAACTTCCAAGGAAACCCTTTCATGTAAGTAACTTAAACCAATTTTGTAATTGTGATTTTCAAATATCACTGGTTGTAGACAGCTGACGAGAACCAAACGAAATAAAATGAATTCATGCTATTCAGCTAGAATGTAACTTGGTATCCTGAAGGGAAACGGAAAAGAGGAAGAACACAGAGCACAGAGCGTTGAGAATAAGAAGTAGACATCAAGAAAAAGAATAGCGACTGGAAACAACTGTAAAGAATTGACCGAAACAGATTCCGACGAAGAATTGTGATGGGCAGTCTATGCTCCTTTACGAGGGGTAACTGGCGTAAGTAAGCAAGTAAGCTAGAATCTTTGTCCGTGCCTTCTTCAAGATGTTAAAAGGAGCTATATATATATGTATAAGAAGTATTTCCAAATTATGATATAAAAGAGTTCATGCACAGGTTTCTACCAATCTTTAAATAACACTTTCTATTTCGACATTACCGAGTGAATTTCACACTTATGTAAATATTGAATAATACATAGATTAATATGAATGATCCAATCAAAATCAATTATTAACTTACCTTAACTTTTTGTGCCACCTTAGATGGTCCTGGTAGTTCAGTTAAAGTTTTGGTAAGTTTATGCATTATTCTATACATATCAGTAATTTGTTGTTCAATCTCATTTGGATTCAATGTATGATATGGTGATTCAAACCATTCTTTATTATATACATCAAATGCAAGTGCAGTACGCCATAAATTATCAAATGGTTCCATTTGTTGTTTAAGTTCTACAATTTGCGGGAATGATGTTTGCTCCCAACCAACAAGACTTTCTTCTCTGTTTAAAACATTTCATTTAAAAGCAAGCAGTTAGAAGGAAATGTAAAAAAGAGTGAGTTAGTATTTAGAGCAATTGTCAATGTGAACCTCATCACTAGGATAGAGGTACATCCATCTGACAGGTTCTAAATCGAGTACTATATAACTTAAATAATTAAAGCAGTTGAATAAATTTGATTGGTAATAGTGATGAATAAATATAAACATAATTATTCAGATTAGCAATATAGGCTTGGGATTTAAATCTTCTTGTAGTGTATAATTTAGTCAGATGGCTGGAATAGGTTGAGACACGAACAGAATTTCAACCTGGTCACGTTTCATTCAATAAAATCTACTGTTATACGTGTTGATGAAACCTTTTAAACGTTATATCTAGCTTACTATCACTAACCTCACGGTTAAAAGTGATGTAACAATGAATACGCATAACAAAATCAATAGAACATCAGATGGAATGAACTAATGATTCTATAGAGATTTCCGAACATTTCAGAATAACAGAGAACTGCATGAAAACAACCAAATTCTTCCCCTGTTTTAAATACAACTGTTTAGACAACTGGATCCATACATCGGCTGCCTAGAACAATAAATTGATTTGAACAGAACAGAACACGAAACACTAATAGGTATACAGAAAATGGATACTGTTTTGTTGATCAGTAATCCTAATCTTGATTTATCATAACATTATTACCATACATCATAAAATTAATCATTTGATGTTATGAATAATGTTATTTATCTAGTCTGAAGTTCTACATTCATGGAATATTCTTGAATGTATCATCCTGCTGACAGGACAAAAAGTACTTAGCTGATTATTAATAATGAGTATTTGTTTCTACTAAACCATTCAATTAAACAATAAAGTTTCTTAGTAATTATAAACTATGTGAGATGTTATTTTGAAATTAATAATATATCATAGGTACTAAAAATCTTTAAAAATTTGAAACCAAACATTACAAAACACATCAGAGTTAAATAAACTCAGTACACTCAATCAATAATTAGTAACTTTTGTTCAGTTCAAATGGTATCAGCCAACTTCATGTTTATGTAGGCGTTCTAACATATCTACTTTCGATGGTTGACATCATAAATCAATGGAAGCTAGACCACCATAGAAAACCTGGAAGCACTTGACGACCGTTTCGTCCTAATGTGGGATTCTTCAGCAGTGCGCATCCACGATCCCGCCTCACGAGATTCCAACCCAGGACCAATCAGTCTCGTGCGCAGGCGCTTAAACACTAGACCGCTGAGCCGGCATCCAACGGTGTCAATGTCTAACTTCAACTAATCCACGAAACTAAGCGACACATCCACCATTGTCATCAGTGAGTTACTATCTCACAACAGATCCGGTTGAACTCCACTGGTCACTACTTCCCACTAGAACTCTACGATATACCTGTTGAAGCCAGTCACTAGTGAGCATATGTTGATTCATATCAGAATGGTTTTTGTGGATATTGTAGTAATTTTAACGGTTGAGATCATGGGTCAATTGAAGCTAAACCAGCATGGAAAATCAGGAAGCACTGGACCAGGATGGTCTAACAATGTAGTAAATGCTTAACTTGCAAACTATCAATCCATCGTCTCAAACTTGACTGTTCCTTCTGCAAATATCAGTCCATTGTCTCACATTTTATTGTTCATGCATTTCCATACCAACTGCGTTCCGTTTCCATTCTTTCCTCATCGATGTTCTACTGAAATGCATTCTATCCCTGACCACCATTATATACTACTTATGTGGATATAAGTAACCCACACCACAATAGTATTAGTATACATTACTGTGGTTGTTTGTCATTATCTAAAACGTTATTTACATCAACAAGAAAAATGATCATTATCTGACTTTTATACAATTCAACTTCAAAACCATAGTGTAGATGATGAGATAACTAGTTACTATTCACTTGACAATAATTAACCATATATAACCTACTTATTGATTTGTTCAGCATCCAATGTAAATCTTTCTAGATCAGCTTGAAAATCATCAAGAATTGATTGAGATTTTAGCATTTCATCAAGTGAAATTACTTCACGACGACGCATTAAATTAATACGATCCCATGCATTAGTTATACGTTTTTCTAAGTCTTTTATTCTTTGTTTTAAATCATCTTCAGCATTTTCACGTAATGTTGTTAAACGTATATTTGTATTATCAATTATAGTCATAATTTGTTCAGGCCAATTAAATAATGTAGCATTTAATTTGATATCATCATCTTATGAATAAATGTGTAAGATATAAGAGAAGAAAAATTATATTCCTGGTAATTATATGTTATATCTTGGAGAGAATAATGAAAGATAATTGCTGGGATCTGTTTATGAACTAATATTCTGCAAGTATTCTTATTGTATGACTGTTAAGTAACTATATTATGTATATACATATTTATATTCCTTTCATTATAAGCTTTAATTTGATTTATTAAGTATTATCGTAGGATTTACTATTCATGAGATATTCCCAATTTAACAGTAACAATCCTTCACAATCACTGCCACTATTTGACTTCATCTTGTATAACTGTTACTCTCTATTTTGTGGTGTGATGTAGTCTGATTTTGCTGATATATAAACCAAGTATGTTTGAAATAAACGATTCGCATCACGAAGACTGAGATTGACGTTTTAAACTTAACAGGGAATGATAGTCAGAGAAAGGACCAATCGGAATTCTAGGCTGCTCGTACTAATATTTGTCTCATTAATTTGGTCGTGTATAAATCAACGTATCTAAATTGTCAATCATATGTTGCAATAATCGTATAGTTAGGCACATAACAATATACATTTTTGTAATAATAGTGATTAAGTTAGTAATGAATAAAATGAAGGAAACATAGAACAATCTAGAATTATAAATAAGAGTATACTAATTCAAATTCCAAAACCTTTCATCAGCACATAGTGAGCAAAAAATCATTTACGAAGAATAAGATAAAGATATTGAACTGATTGTAGTGAATGTAGATATTGAAAATGATGTCACCAGGATCTAAAGGACAAACAGAACTAATCGGATTAAAATATCGTTATAAGTTTCAGACCCGACCGATGTTGCTACCTTGACGTGATGGTCGGGCTTGCCTATCGTGATGAACCAATCGAGCTATACGTCGTAGCTGACTGACTGGCTGATTGATAAGTTTAAGACACATATATATTTGTTTATTATTTGGTCCAAACATTTTGAATTCATCAACCATAACCATATTCTTCAGTTTAAACTTAATCGTATAGACTTTTGTTTTCATTGATTGATTCACTTTAGAATATCTTCCATATCAAGTTAGAACTATACAATAAATTAATTCACTTGGTGTTGTTTTACTCGTATCTTCTCATTGTTATTTAGGACTGTAATTGATCAGTCTCATGTTGGTATATGTACATGATGTGTGGATTGCCTCGATATAGCCTTAAGTCACAAGCTTTATAGGCAAAGATGGCTAGCAGTGAAATGCAGTTTGACATGCATTTCGTCCTGTTTGGGACTCGTCAGCTGGATGTACCTACATCTCAGAGTTGACGTTTATTAGAGGGTATTTGTACTTTTCAAGTGTCGTCGAGTTAATGTTAAGTTGGTTACATTTAATTACTAAAATGAACTTAATTTAAATAGGGGATTGCAAATCATTTTATTGTCCCAGTATTTGTAATATATTATAAAATAGTATCAGTGATAGCATATTTATCCCATCTTAATACTGTTTATTATTAGTATTATTACTGTCTTTTAAATGGCATTAATAATTCCTGATCTGTATCATATAAGCTCAGGGAATTAGTGACTGTTGTAACAATAGTAATTGATCTATGTCCCAATAAAAAGTGATATTGTTATCTTAATAGATATAAGACTAAGTATTCATACATTAAAATAAGATTATATAGATTTAAATTCTAACTAACTATTAGGGATTATAGCTAAATCTGGAGGAGTTTACAATAAATATCTAGTTAGTCAGCAGTTAAATTTTATACACCTTTGTTTGACCGATTTTATTGGTGGTATATTTTAGCAACATAAACTGAAGTTATCACTCAATTCAGCCAGTCAATCAGCAACAACGTAGAACTTCGTACTACGTATATCAGTTGGAGTTGCCTTACCACAAGAGCACACAGATACAATTGTCGATTCAAATCCCGCAGTGGTAGAGGTAGTAAAAGTATAAGCAGTAATCGGAAAGATTAGGGTTTGAAGATGTTATCCAAAGTGTATAATCCAATGAAATAAATTTGGAAAGAGAAAAGATAAGGGACATGAAGAATTTAGAACATTAAGACTTGGGAGAACATAAAGAGTGGATGCACCTACGCCACTGCAAACGATTTTGAGCCATGTCATTCAAGGTCTCTAACCATCGGTTGCTATCGTCTCACGGATCCCAACCAGGTAGTCTACACCTACCAATATGGTTCGATCCACTTGTTAGAGACTTCATGGATTTGTGCCATGTTTTGGTCTAGCCGCTCCTAGCATTGTTCCAACCTACTCCTACTCCGTGAAACATCGCTCATCGGAGCAGTCGGTGGTTGGGTATACGTAACACGTATCCCAGCCTTCTCAACAGATTCATTTTCACTACTTCGTCAATTGATTTACTGTCCTTACCGAGGACCCGTTTCCTAACAACTACATTACTTACTCGATGGTCTCAGGATATATGAGCAATGTTTCAAAGACGCGACTCCCTGAGTGTGTGGAGCATTGTCCTCTTCGTGACCGGAGTATAGCAGCATCTGTCCCGTAGCTAGCTTTTTCTGTCCAGCTTGGGTCCAGTGGGTTTCGCTGATTCCCAGTACTGCTAAGTTGTATCTCCTCATTTCCATTGATATTTGACTGGTCTTCCCGGTTTCCCACATTGTTCGAACGTTCCATGTACCTATAAAAATTTTTGCTCTGGTTGTTAGAAGGGGCATCGGGCTCGTGGCTTCCGAAGGAACTCGGCTTTCACCATGAAGCGTCATAATTCTTCTAAATGAAGACCTTCTAACTCCCAGGGCAGAGTTAAAATGGTTTGGATTATTTTTTCTGGTAAGCGTTTTTTTAGCGAGTTAGTTTTCTACGGGATGGGGACGCTAACCCCATGCCCAACCCTCCTCCTTTACCCGGGTTTGGGACCGGCAGCAACCCTATAAGAGCTACAGGCGTTGTTTCGAAGACGCCTTTGATCAAATATTAGTAAACTACGAATATCTTCTACTCTTACCAGCCATGTTTCACTGTCATAAAGTAGGACAGAATGAACTGCCGCGCAGTAAACTCGTCCTCTGGTCGGATATCTCACCTACACCATAAATGACGCAAGTTGGCAAAAGCTAGTCGAACTTTCTGTACCTGTGCTGGGACACAAAGTAACTGCATAATACGATGCATACTTAAACACCCAGTGGCTACTAGCTTATAAAAAGCCAATGTAATATAGAAATCTAATGAACTAATATATTCTCATAAGTAGACAAGGAATTAGAACCAATGAGAATAACTAAAGAATCATATTCCAAGGTGGAAAAGATTTAATCAATATGAAGTTTTCTGCAAATTTCCCCTTAAAAAATAAAGACATTAAAACTAAATTATGTAGTCTACTATACAACCCTGAATTCATTTCCATGGAAACAATAAATTATTTACACTATGTCAAGTGAAACAACATGTCTAGGAAATCATTAGACCTGACGTTATCAAATATCCGTAGAGAACAAGTGGAATTTATAAGCGAAATATAAAAAGTACCACTTTTTCAGTCCTGTGTATGTAAATAATAAACCCACATGATAAAAGAGCATAATCCAATAGAAAATTTAGTCGTTCTGCAGCTTCAGCTACTTCTTCTTTCAATTTAAATACTAATGTATTGCCTACTTCACGTAAATATGTTTGTAGTTTCACTAAATCTTCTGTATTCATCGGCGTTTCACCTAGTCTGTTCGTTATTTCATCATACTGACAAGAAATTCTGGAAATGAAATAGGAGATGAAATAGAAAATGAAACAAATTTTTTTTAAAATGCATCATTGAGATCAATTTAGTTAATTATATGTTTAGCTATTACTAAAAGTTGATACCTCTTAAATGCATACTACTAATAAGTAGTTAAATACTGATGGAATAAAATTTGTGACGAAAAGAATGGTAAAATCAGAGCATAAAAAATGTCTCATTTTTGCTCTGAATTTAAAATCGAGTTCTATCAGAATAAATAATATACGTACCACACAGCTGTGTTGTCCGAAATACGTCTGTGTCTAGCTTTCGTGGCAGATTTGAAGTAATATGCATCATTACTTTCTTTTATAGTTGTTAAATAGAAGCAATCTTTAATCTATGTAACAAGATTTGCTTAAATATTCAGGTCATAGATAATAGAATTCCGATTCATGTTGATTATGTATGAAACTCGTTGTAGTTCTTGTACTTCCTTACACAATATTTAACATTTAATTAGTTATGACAGGTTCATACTACTAACTACTACTACTAATACTACTAATGACAATGATTAGAAAAAGTAGTTAACTTTATATCATATATACCTTTTGTTTGCATCACGATTTTCATCCATTTCATATGTAGCTATTAGATCATGCAGTTTCCACACACGTTTAACTAATTCATCATTTACATCTTGACAATTTAAACAAAATAAACTCATCGGAACTGTTTGTCGTAACAATAAGAGTTCAGTATTCAAATCTTGTAAACTTTCAACTTTCTATTCATAAACGGTGAAATTTTGGATAGAAATAAGAAAAACAACAACAAAGAAAAATGGATGAATAAGAAACTTTTTTATCATTTAGTATTTAGAAATGTGTTTTAATTCAGTGAAACTACTTATCATAGATTAAACAGTATGTATTTAAAATGAAATTATCTCACGACCTATAACGTACACTTTCATCAGTGCACAGAACTATTCACTACACAGGTTTTAGCAGCATTAACCAATAAACAAATGAAAAGTGAATCGTCAAACAACCTGTTATTTTCTTTTTACTTTACTTACATCTGTTAATTCTCGTGAAGGAGCATAGGTCGTCCACCAGCACTCTAAATCCAATCCTATCCTGGGCATTTCTTTCCATCTCATTCCAGTTGTTATTCAGCCTTTCCATATCTGCTTCTATTTCTCGACGTGATGTGTTCTTTGGCCATCCTCTTTCCTGTTTCCCTTCAGGATTCCAAGTTAGGGCTTGCCTCGTGATGCAGTTTGGTGATTTCCTCAAAGTATGTTCTATGCATTTCCATCGTCTTTTTCTAATTTCCTCTTCAGCTGAAAGCTGATTTGTTCTCTCCCATAGTAGGGTGTTGCTAATGGTATCCAACTAATGGATGTTGAGTACGTTGTGTAGACGACTATTTATAAATATGTGTACCATCTTGATGATGGTTGTAGTAGTTCCTCACATTTCGGCTCAGTACAGTAGGACTGTCTTGACGTTGGTATTTAAGATTCTGACTTTGATATTGGTTGCAAGTTGTTTTGAGTTCTATATGTTGTTCAATTGTAGGAATGCTGTCCTTGCTTTGCCAATCCTCGTCTTTACGTCTGCATCCGATCCTTCGTGTTCATTGATGATGCTTCTCACGTACGTGAAAGATTCCACATCTTCCAGAGTTTTGCCATAAATTGTGATTGGATTGTTGTTATCTGTGTTGTATTTGAGAACCTTGATTTTCCCCTTGTGTATGTCGAGGCCTACTAGTGCAGAGGCTGCTGCAACACTAATTGTCTTCATCTGCATTTGTTTGTGTGTTTGGGATAGGAAGGCAACCTATTATTACCCTGGTAAATCATTTTTGTCATTATCTTTATTTTTTAGTGTTCATTTTATTATATGGTTTTCCCATAGCGAATTTCTATTTTTATGTACATTAAAACCATCCCTTCACTCATACATTTCCAATCACTCAATTGTCTTTATTTATGTAAACTCTTCAAATCCTATTCGCTTATTACGTAAGCCACAGTATCAGTTTTTATTTTATTCCAGGAATCTTATGTAAGCCCTTCATAGCCTCTAAAATTATCACATAATCCATCTCTGAACCTCACTTAATTAATGCATCATCCACCCCTTATGTTTTTTTATTTCAACCTTTGTTATTCCAATTCCTTGCATTTATCTACGTCAGTTGTCTAAACCTATATCTTACTTCAGTGTAAACTTTCCATACATGTATGGTTGTAAGCAGCTAATGAGAAACCACAAAATATAATGAATTCATATTATTTTGCATCCATGTTTGTTCTGGATTTATTTAAATTCATATAAGGAGCTAATTGCATCAAACAAGAATTTTAATGACAGTAAATGATATAACGGATGGTTAGAAATATTTTTTCTCTCTCTTAGGTATACTAATATAATACATTAATACAATGAGATCAGATCATGTTATATCAGATCCAGGATTCACAACCCAGAATATAAAACAAGACCATTTATTAGATAATATTTTATTCAATACAATTACAAACATACACTCTCAGTGAGTCCAGAGTAGAAACCAATAAGAAAAAAGAAAACCATAACATTTAGTAGTTAGTAGGCTAAACGCCTACATCTTTAAATTTCTTATAAATTCAGTTTATAATCTAGTTTATAATCTGTTCAGTGATTCTTACTTTCTAAAGGTCATTCAACAAATGTCAGTATGTGATGAAAACCAACTCTTATGCTGCTGAAAATGTAGGAGCGGTAGTCACTTCCCACTTGTCTATACCACAGAGGGTTGCCTCGTTTTGGAGAACCTGTAAAGGAAACTAGCTTATAGATAGTTTCGAATACCTGAGATCTTGACAGCAGAAACAACGAGACGACTGTTTGAATCCTTTTACATACAGCATTTATGTGTATAGTATTCGGTGTACTGGCCCCCCTAGCTTCCTGACCTTAGTGTTATGAAAGGAAATACATGAGGCAAGGTGAGGTGTACCATTTTTAGTTTTCAACTTTTCCAACAGTCATAGGTGATAATTATCTAAGGAAAACCTTTTAATGTCAGCATACCCCAGTATATTTCCTGTATGACTTCACATTTAGACTATGCGTTTGTTGCCTTTAGTGTAACTGCTCTCAATCTACCTGCGTGATATATCAGGATCTAATGCAATGGATGTTTTAACCAATAAAACTATGGGTTATAACCATAGACAAACCTGAATATTTTGTTTAATTTAGAGGGCTATGAAGTCTATCATCAAGCATAATATGTTCCAGTCGGGAATTTTATTAAATCTTCACGTTGATCTTCGAGAATAAACTACCATATTACAAATAAGAACAGTAGCTCAGAGAGTTAGTAAATAAAAATAGGAAAATACGACCCAAATGAATATAAAACAGTGTAGGAATAAGTTGAGTACACTTAATTTTTGGATAAAACATATTTGAAAACTATTTCTTAGACTCCTTATGTATTCATTCGGTTGATACTCTCTTCTAGGTACAAGATTCCCCACCAAAAATAAAGTTTTAGGCTATAAACTAGATAATTTCTGGTACTAATCAACGTATGCTCACTAGTGACTGGCTTCAACAGGTATATCGTGGAGTTCTAGTGAGAAGCAGTGGGTAGTGGAGATCAACCAGGTCAGTTGTGAGATAGTAACTCATTGATGACAATGGTGGATGTGTCGTTCAATTTGTGGATTAGTTGAAGTTAGACATTGACACCGTTGGATGCCGGCTCAGTGCTCTGGTCGGTTAAGCGCCTAGAGCGAGACTGATAGGCCCTGGGTTGGAATCCCGCGAGGCGGGGTAGTGGATGAGCACTGATGAGTTCCACAATAGGGCAGAACGGCCGTCCAGTGCTTCCAGGTTTCCCGCAATGGTCTAGCTTCAATTGACTCATGGTCTCAACTGTTGAAATTACTCCAATCTCCACAAAACCCCTTCTGATAATAATTTATTCAACATAAATACAAGTTGTCTATACTCAATGAGTCCAGAGTAGAAATCATTTATAAGAAGAAAATCACATATTAAATAGCAAGCTGAGTATTTGTCAGTTCACGTTTAGAGGTCAATCACTTCTAGGTTTGACTAACCACATATCACTATGTCTCATAGTAATCTTGATGAATAAATAATTACAGAGTTCTTTAGTAAAATGAATTAAATACTTCAGTTGTAAATCATTCACCAGTTGTCTTTTACATCCTTCATGATTCTCTCACTTCCCAATTCCTTTCTTTTCCTTTTCCTGTTTTCGTCAGTGCAATCTTCTCAACTTTATTTTTACATGCATTCAATTTCTGATTGCGGTCACATACTACTCATGTCTGTTGACATAAGTAGCATACACCACAATAGTAACGTGGTACATTAGTTTATGTAAGATATCTAACTATCTTACTTTCAAAGTAATTAAACGATACGTAATGACCACATGTATTTTATTCTTTGAAAACATTACTTATTAAAAAGTACTTATAACTAAAATACTAGTGGAACTCAGCGAGAATTAAGGATGAATAATGATTTTTCTAAGAAAGCGTTTTTTGTGGATATTATAATAATTTATTAGTTGAATTCACGAGTCAATTGAATCTAGTCCACCATGGAAAACCTGAAAGCACTAGACGGCCGTTTCGTCCTAGTGTGGGGGTCTTCAGCAGTGGGCACCCAAGATCCCGCCCGCAGGTTTCGAACCCAGGACCTATCGGTCTCGTGCACGAACGCCTGGACTCGACATCACAGAACCGGCATCTAACAGTATTGGTGTCTAACTTCAACCATTCCACGAAATTGAGCGACACATTCACTAGTGTATTCAGTGTGTACACTCTTACAACAGACCCGGTTGAGCTCTACTGATCACTGCTTCTCACTAAAACTTCGAGAAGAATTTATTAAAATAAAAAATAAAATTAATAACTAATAACTACCTTTTTAATAGCTAATAATGAATGACGTTCTTTTAGAAAATGTTTCAATTCTAATTCCGCTTTATTAGTAAATAAATTACTATATGGACGATATAGTTCCAAATAATCTTTTGGTCCTATTGAATTAGCACGAAAAATAATCATTGCTTGATCTGTATATTCAATTATTGATTGATCACTAAATGTTACTGAACGTAAGTATAATGAATGTGAACTTAGTTCTGGGAAAATATCCACTTCAACCTTTAAGAAAATTAATTAAACAAAAGTAAAACTATGATATATTGTGACATTAAAACATCATAGTCATAGTAAATTGTTTGTATATATAAGCATAGCATAAAAGGATATAATAAAAGGAGAAAGAATTAGTTTCTAGAAAGTAAGGTATAACGTAGTTTTAGTCTGACGATTTAAGGGAAGATAAAGTGTGTATAAACCTACACCAATGAGATCGATTCTGAGTATATATCACCCAAAATCTCCAACCACTGGTTACAATAGTCGTTCGGATCCCGACCCAGTAGTCTGTATCTAATAACATGGCTCAGATCAGAAGTTAGTGACTGTATAGATTGAGGCCTTGTTTTGGTTTGGCCACCATTAACTAGATATGTGAAAGTACTACAAAAAACATTCGCAAACTTATAAGATGTTCACAACTGTGCAATTTATGTATTAAATAGAATATTATCTTTAGGCTTGAAAGTGTACCAAAAAGTTAATAAACTTGGGATAATTTTTAGATTCTATAAGCCTTACGTTTGGAACAAATAATCATTGAACAAATATTTGTTGAATTTAAAGCAGGCATTTTTTAACGTTTTTTTGGGCAATTTCTAACATTAATTCACTTGGTATTGTTTTACTTGGATCCTCCCATTGGTGTTTAGGACTACAATTGATCAGTCGGTTATTAACATATGTGCATACTGTGGGTATTGCCTTAATTTACAAGCATCATAAGCAAGGTTGCTATCAGGACTCAGTGGCTAAGTGGATAAAGCGATGGCATTTGAAGCGAACGGTACAGGATTCGAATCTCAGAGTGAAAATCAACTCTGCGATGCAGTTACATCCAACTGAAGAGTCCCAAATAGGACGAAACGCACGTCAAACTGCATTCCCATGCTAAACACCATTTATCTTTGCCTATAAAGCTTGTGACTTAGGTCTATATCGAGGCAATCCGCACAGCATGTAAATATACCAGCATGAAACTGATCAATTACAGTCTTAAATAATAATGAGAAAATACAAGTAAAACAACACCAAATGGATTTCAATAACTCATTTTATTTTATTTCAATATTATAATCACTTACTCTAGGCAAATTTTCCGCAGCATTTGTTATTGCTTGAAAACAATGTAATAGACAGTCTCGAATTTCACGAAAACTAGGTATAAATATAATTTTTGGATCAGATATATGTAATTTTAATAAAATTGGTGATCTATGCAAATATTTCAATTCATCATATTGTTCTTCAAATTTATTTCCATTCTATAATACAATTGATGGAAAACAAACAAATAAGAGTTACATTCATAGAAGCGAAAACCAATCTGGATTTGATATGTAATGACACTGCTATACACCGATATCCGAATGACTATTATAAATATGGACTTGTAATTGTAGAGCCTTATCATGAAATTATTGAAAATAAGATTTACATTAAACTAATTAATGAATATAAACTAAGATCTACTTGAAAGTTATTACATCACAGATATAAATGTATCAACAATCTTACATTGAGTGTTATATTCCATGTTCATAAATCAGTAATATGATAAAGGATATTTCTGAGCTTAAACTAAGTTGTGATATATCATACAATACATTTTATCGTGTTCTTTTGTTATATCTGATATGAATAGCTAATCTAAAGTAGCAAAAGTGTAATCAATGGTAATCAGATGTGACCCAAAGGCCAAGTGCATTTTAATTGGCTAAGAAATGGGTCAATTTCCTAAGGTTAAAGTGGTATATATATGAATGAGTATTTGTGCATTTCATTCGGTAATGCAATACAATTTCTCCCTCATTCTTGTATTTTTGCCCAAGTAGTCAGTTGGGAGGGGGGTTATTGCGTAGCATACCGTTTATCAGTACCAGATTTCGGGTGTCGCACGTCACAACAGTATTACAAAAATCTAACAATAAACTGAAATATTTAGATAGATTACACCATGACTTAAAGAATTTACAGATAGATGACTAACATTTGTGGTACTTTACAGAATAGATGGGTTATGGGTAATAGTGGAATCTATGACATATATTTCGTTCTATTCATCCTATCTATTAATAAAAAGGATATGAGTTATCCCGCTGTGGATAATCATTACTGAATTTTTTATCAGTCTTCGTTGGAATATATATGTATCTGTAGTGAATGAGAGCTCACTCATATTAGGGCAACCAATTTATTTTCAATGCAAAATCATAGAGCTGTTTCGTAAAATATAAAAAACCATAAAATAAATATTTCATTTGCAAATCCTCCATCACTTGTCTCAAACCTCATCGTTCCCTGATTGCTATAACAGAGACTCTCTGTTTACATTTTCATTCTCTTTAATTCGATCTTCTCAACCTTTTGCTACCATGCATTTCACTTTTGATTTGTGTTACATACTACTTATGCCAAGAGACATAAGTAGCATACACCACACATCATTTTTTATTTAGTAACTTCAGAAACAGTATGACATTTCATATTTCTATAAAATTCCCTAGTTGGTATCATTCAGCGTGATTGGTAATTACTACAATTAATATGACTAATGAATTTCTCTACATCTATCACCTCAGTTCAACAAATGACATTGATTCATATTCTTCCTTTAATTGATTGATCAATTAGATTCATGTAATTTTCTATTAGTTTGAATGGCATGTTTCGATAAACAACCTTCTTTTATTAAAAGAACTCATAAATTCACAACTTCCTTGTCTTTCCGTTGCTTTCGGTATACAACAGTCATTAGAATGATGGCCTGTCCTATTTATCGGCTGACTAATAATCTGCGAAGTTCATTGTCATTCACTGAGGCAACGCTTTGTATTTCTATGTATTTAGGTTCTTGAAGTTGCCTAAAATACAGTGATTGTCATGGTACAGATGTTTTTTTAAACAAATTATCATTTAATTATATGACCAATGCTATAAGCAAAGTTTCTTAGAACAATCATTTAGATTGATGAAAAGGGACTAACAATATACATTTTGTATCCAGGTGACTAGTAATTGTGTTTAAGTAAGCGTACATTTGGTTATAAACAACATAGGATTTAACATAGGTGTACATCAATTCAAACTGTTACATTTTACATTAGGATAGCGACCGTAAGTTACTAAAATGATAAACAGAAAAGTGTATTTAATAGTAATATCGATAATATTGGTAAACTAATGTGAAACACTAGAATAGTGTGAGTAATAAGTTCTTAACAATGTAACAAATATTTGATCAGGAAGAATTTTGAATGATAACTTACTTCATGAATTTGTAATACCTTTAGTAAATCTTGTAAAGATATATTTACAATATCACGTAACTGTCGAGACATTAAGGCTGATATACATGCGAAAAATAATCGAACTAACTCCATTGAATCAGATGAACTAACTGGCATTAAATGAGACCATGTATTACTTAATTCAGTAATAGTCTTTGCACATGTTGGTATCCAACTAAAGTAAAAAGTTTGGAATTTATACAGTTAGTTCTATATTTGCTAGTTTACATAATTAGCAAGTAAAAATAGATCAGTTCATACAGTTTACTATTTAAGATGTGTTCACATTAACTAATACATTTGGTATTAAACAATAATATGTTATTCATTGAGATGATGAATCAATCAATGTTAGACCATCATTGAAAGCCTGGAAAATGGTTACGGAATTTCGTGGATTGATTGAAGTTGGACATTAACACTGTCCGGTGCCAGCTCAGTGGTCTAGAGGTTAAGCGTTTACACACGAAATCCAAGGTCCTGTGTTTGAATCCTTCGTGCACGATCATGGATACGCATTGTTAAGGAGTCCTACACTTGAATGAAATGGCTATCTAGTGCTTCCAGGTTTTCGATGGTGGTATACCATCGATTGATTCGTGACCTCAATCAAAAACCTATTAATCTCCACAATTCTATACTGATGATGCTACGTCAATGTAGTTCATCGTTTTAGTCGAATTTTACTGAGAAATTATTTGCTCTAAACGACTGAGTATCGAACTGCGTTCTGTTTGATATAATATGTTTAGAGATAGCTAGAATCACTATGTCTACGATTTATATTAACCGATCACAAAATAAAATATAATCATAAGTACATTCAAATCAGTTTTAACTGATTAAACACCTGAATTATCATCATCAATTTGTCTAATAATAAGTTTATATCAATGGATATAATAGCTTACTGCTTTAATTTCAAGTCGTGGCCTTAATCTTCATCGCATCTCACATTTATAATTTTCAATACAACTATTAGGATGATCATTAAAAAGCTAAATAATCTATTTACTAAATATCAGGCTTTCAACTACCCATAGTAGATTGGATAAAAGAATTCAATTCAAATAATATATTAGTTCAATGAATTCTATAAATTCTATACTAATATTCAGTTATGATATCATCTTTACTCAATCTGAAGTCAAATGAATCAGTTATAAAAGGCTATGAGTAACAACAAAATTATTGGATATTTGCATCTTTATCAATTCCTGATTTTCTTAAAGATTTCAAATTTATTTTGTTTATCAGTGCCAAATAACTTTAAGCATGGAATTACAGTTGCTTAAAGATTACCTAAAATCCCGTGAGCGGGATCGTGGATGCATACCGCTGAGGAGTCCTATAATAGGACGAAACAGTCGTTCAGTGCTTCCAGGTTTTCTATGGTGGTGTAACGTCAATTGACTCATGATCTCAATCTGACATCTTAATTATTTTAAGATTTATATATATATATATATATATATATATATATATATATATATATATATATATATTGTCAAGAAATATTTAGTTGAAATAAACTTCATTATTACTAATTATAACTGCTGTACTTTAAAAGGAAAGGATGTAGGAAATATTGTATTATTGACCAAAGTTATATAATTTATTTACATTGAAAAATTAATTATCAGAATGGGGATTTATGGAGAGTGTAATAATTGTAATCGTTGAAAACCTGGAAGTTAGGGACAGTTGTTCCGTCCTAGTATATGACTACTCAATAGTGCGCATCCATGATCCGGCACGCGAGACTCGAGTTTAGGGGTTCGCATGCAAGACTGAAGGTTTTGGGTTCGAGTCGCACGTACAGTAAAAATAATTAGTTTCATGGAACGATTAGATATAATTTGGTTATTTCATTTGGAGTAGTTTGATTTCACAAACTGTATTATTAGAGCTCAATACTTTGTTACATTTTTTGTATAGTTGAATATTTGTTTTTGAACATTCTTATTCACAATCTATGATGTATCCTTTACTTGTTGTCTTAGTCAGAGATGCACTTTATCTAATGATTCGTTACCCAGTCTGTATGTCCAACTCTTATCCTACCTTCAAAAAAGATATAATAAATTAATGTTTACAGAAATATTGGTTCACTTATGTTCAATCGTTTCTAGTTATTCCAAAATAAGTCTCTCGAACAGTTTATTTTTTTGATAAAAAAGTTGGGTTTAAGAAAATGATACTACGTTTTCAAATATTTAGTTTGAAATGAATTGAATCTGAACGAATTAATTAACACGTATCACATACGTTCATTACTATCCATATATGAATTGATAGTTATCTAAACAGCTGTTTACTATTTTTTAGTATTAAGCTGTGTATATATCAATTAAAATGCCAGTCAGTCAATCATCAACAACGTAGAACTTTGTACGTACATACATCAGTTCGAGCTGTCATACGACATTAGCACACAGATACAATTGTTAACTCGAATCCCGTAGTGGTGAATATGAATTTTTTCTTCTTTCTTCTTGTAAATCTTAAAAGAAAAGATAATGAACAAAACTAGAAGAAAACATACTTTTTACGTAATATTTCTCTTGTATTTTGACATTGTTGAATGATAAGTTTTTCAAATTCTATTGGCTCCAAAGGTTCTGGAAGATTTACTAATTCATCATAATTTACAAAACGTAGATGAGAAAATCTATAAATTGAAGGAAGGAAAAAAATTAATATGAGCACTTTCTATGATGATGATGATGCCTTTATTCTTCATATGTTTTGTTAATTTCCAACTACCTATTCTATTTTTGATCTTAGTTAAAATTGACATTATTATGATTTCGATTACTTTGTCTAACATTTGATGGCAGTCTTCTCTCTCTTTCTTTCTCTGTGACGATATAAAATTTGACAATTTTAAAAAAAATACACATTCATATTAGAATGTACGTTGTTTATAATTGACTTGTTATCAAGCATATATTACACGGTGGTTATTTATTGCATACTAATAATCGATGACGGAAACAAACTTTTTGAAATACTGTAATGAGATACAAGAAATGTTGTAGTTGTTCACTTCTATCATTAGCCTTAGCTATGTATACTCATACTCCAATGAAACAATTTCATTAAAATATCGTTGGGTATCGCCTCAGTGGTCTAGTGGTTGAGTTCGCACGCAAGACCGAAGTTTCTGGTTTCGAGTCCACCAGGCTTCCAGGCTTTCAATCGTGGTTTAGCTTGGATCGACTCATGAATTTAACTATTCAAATCCAATAGTGTAGAAATGTCAATTTATTGTTGCACTATAACACATCATCAACGAGAATTTATATTCTTGCAAAAGAACTGTTCCCTTGATAGAATAAAGTATATGATACTAATAGAATGCGAGATTTGTAATCCCTTTTTATGTTGTTCCTTAATTTTATTTTATAAAATCTTTAAAAGGAATGAGTTTATTGCACTTTTATTTCTCTCGTTGTCATATATTCTTTTTCCAATATTTCAGTATCAATGAATATTAAAATGATAGCAACAATGGTCATTTATAATAATTCTTATTGAATTTATTCATATGTTGGAGAAGAGTTTTGTAGCTTAGTTTGTACTGATGATGTCGTTCAGAAAAACGATGAAAGCTCCACGACCTAACTATCCAGCTCAGAGAACGAAACTCCATCAACATATTCATATACAAGTTGAAGTTTATATCACAACAACCTTCAAAGTCCTTATTTTAAACCCCCATAAGGCCTCAGATGAACATCGCTTGCGAACATCGCAAAAAAAACCTACCATGCACTTCCTGGTTTTCAGTGGTTGTTTAACTAAGGTTAGTCGGTGATGTATACGAAAAAGTTTGATAATTTGCAGAAATCTTTGTACTGAGAATCTTCTGAATATTGCTTAAGCAAAATAAATGTATATACTAAGGTTGTTAGTAGGATAAATTCACTAATAAGTCTGAAGGGTAGTAAAATGACAGTAACGACATTTTTATATGAGACGTTAATATTGTCTATCAAGATTTACTATCTGATCGTGTTAAGTATGAAAATAACAGTTACGGCAGCATACAAAACTTCGTCTGTAGCTCTTCCAGAGTTACTACCGGTCCCAAGCCCGAGTAAAGAAGGAAGGTTGGGTATGGGGTCGGCAACCCTATCCCGTAGAAAGTAAGTAAGTAAACATACATCGTCTTGTTTCTCACATCTAAAAATTAGATAATAATCACTCAGCACATTATACAGAGAAAGTTTGAAAAATACAAAGCATTTGACAAAACTTTCATTTAAGCATCTTAAAAACTACCTACAGAATAACTGTAGAATATTTAATTCATTATATAAAGAATGTTATGAAAATTTACTGAGAAACTGTGATTATCGAAGAAGTTATGGTGAAATGAAATATTCTGGAATGAATGTACATGCAAATCACTCGATTCTAAGTTGGAGCATAAAAAGTTAAGCGATTTCAGTATGACTTAAATGTTCTTGGTTCAGTCTTTTATGGTTTATTAGGTAAATGATGTTTATAAGTTCCACTTATAGATAAAGTAACTGTTCCAGTATATTCAATACGCTTTAAATCCTAAGTCTAACTGAATCTTAATGTATTAACATAAATAAACGGATGAGGACATAGTACAAATGGATCGATAACTTTTGTTTCAATTAAATGCCTTCAACATACTCTGTGCACCAAATTTTTTGTAGTGCTAATGGTATTGGGCCAATTGTAAATAAATATTGTTTACAGAATTCATATGCTTTTTTACGTGTTGTATGCCATGGAACAGGAGCTCGAATAACGAAGTTTGGGTATGGAATAGGCAACGATTCAATAAACAATCTTTTTCTTTCCTCTGGATCTAGTAGAATGTAGTCGACTAAAGAACAAAAAATAAACAACACATCATAGTAAATGAGTTATGTTCAAAACACTGACATACTCTATGTCATTTGGTCAACATCTAATTATAGGAAGCCTTTGAAGAAGATTTAGTTCCAGTTGGCCTTAATGACCATGGAGTATTTACAAGCTGAAAAGAATAAATGCTTCCTGTTGGTTTTGAACTGAATATCATAAACGTAAACATTATTGCTATTATTTATACTCCAACTCACCTGGTCTATGATTGTGAAGCGCCTATATGAATTAAACAAAGTTTTAATCGATTTCATGCTGTTTATCACTCATAGTTAATCACGTTTGCCTGCAAGAATTAATAGAGCTAATTTATTGCACCGCCGCATTAGATAAGAGTACATCCTTTTGAAGTTGTTGTATTTCCTGAGCTATATAGTTTAATTGAGATTTCATTGTCATTATGGTCAGCATCATCTGCTCTTACCTTATATAGAAGTGGATTTCTTAGTTACTTGACGAGCTTGAATCAGTCGGTTCTTTTGACGTTGTTCACGATTGGTTGATGTTGCAGGTTTTTTTCTGTTCAAGTTGACTGTTTCGTTCTATTGACCTATAAGCATGTTGTTAATTGACCCTTTTTGAATGGTTTAAAGGGTAGAATCCGGTTCTATTTGTCTACTGATTGCTGCATGACTTAAATGAGATTATTCTAGAAATTCATTTGTACTCTTAGAATTTCTTTGATTCATAATTTTGACATTCCATCATAAACCACAGCTAGTATTTCAAGAAGCTTTAAAATAAATGTCGCTCATAAATAATTTCATGCGGACCGAAAAATATAACAACGGTAGACCACAAATAAAACATAATCTACAAAATACGTTGCACTAGCTGTCATAAACAATACACTGAACAAGTTAGTGACCTTCTTACACACAAGCTATCAGTGGTTCACTGATATTAATACATACAGACAACTTTGAATGTAGATTCGATTGGAGAATGTCAAAATTCTGAATCAAAGAACAACATGATCAGAGGTCAACAGAACGAAACAGTTAACTTGAACAGAAGTGAAACCTGCAACATCAACCAATCGTGAACAACGTCAAAAGAACCGACTGATTCAAGCTCGTCAAGTAACTAAGAAATCCACTTCTACATAAGGTAAGAGCAGATGATGCTGACCATAATGAAAATGAAATCTTCTTAATTAAACTATTTAGTTCAGAAAACCTGAAAGCATCAAAATGATCCAACCAACTGTCAAATCCTTTCCTTCACTTCTGTATTATAACATATATCTTAGTTTAAGCTAAATGAATTTCTTCTGATACAATTTAACTAAAATTGCCTATATTTATAAGAATTTTAAGTTTCTTCAAAATTATCGCTATTATAATATCTAAAATAACCGAATAATATCGCGCTTCAAAAAAGACAAGAAGATTATGAGGTGAGTTGGAAAACTACTTAACTAAGACAAAACAGCTATCCGACACTTTCCTGTTCTAAATGTTTTCTTCAATTTATGTGTGTTTTTGATACAAAATAGGGTGTGACTAAAATTTATGGACGACATTTGAGCGAAGCCTCTATGATTTTGAGAGTATCCACCTAATAACTGGGAAAAAATGAGGTTTATAAACCAGTGTGAGGCATTAAAATGATGATTTACAGTTGATGTTTAAAGTTAGGAATTAGATTTCGGGTTTTCACCATGAACTGACATAGTCTACAATGCCAAAACTCTATTTAACCGAATGGATGAATGAATTTCACGCCAAAATCCGAGACCTGTTATCTTATACCTGATTGGTTCGTCTATAAATTACAGTCTCGCCAAGTATTTTTTTTAGTAAATTCAGTATTTATAATACTAGTGTTACTTACCGATAGATTTTTTTACAGCATATACATAATCATCATGTATTTCTTGTTGTAAATCAACTATTTGAGTTGGCCATGTCAATGTTAAACTCCATGGTAGGTATTTTTGTAAACTTTCCCATAGTTCATTTGGTAATGGAGCAAGCATAAAATCTGGTATACCTTTATTTATATAGTAAGTATATCTCTATGTTACAAAATATAAATACAAAAAAAATTAATTTGCACTAAGTCAGTAATATTAATTAATAAATGAATCTTGACTACTCAAAATAATATATTATTTGAAAACAAAGTTATTTAGATGTTAACGTAAGAGATGTTCTTGTGAATACTTTGTATAATTTGAATGTGGTTTTCATGTAACATTGTCTGAGGAGTCCTAAATTAGGACGAAACGTTTACTTAGTGCTTTCGGGTTTTCGGCTGTATTTTAGTTGATGGGTAAGGATCATTAATATTATCAAGCTATTCATAGCTATATGAAGAAGACCATGTTTAATTCTGCGACTCAGTGGTTAAATCACTGGATTTTTGAGTTATTAAATTACTCATTGTTTTCAGTCAATATCATCAGTAATAATAAATGCAACGAAAAATACTGTTTTTGAAAGTGATCGCTCAATAAATTCCACTTACTTTATCTCAGCGACAAAACTTTCTCGTTAATGAAACCTAGCCTTATCATCAAAGTAATTTATTTATGCAAAGTATTCTAACTAATTGACTTTTGTTAACATAACAGTAAAGCTTTGATTAGGACTACATGCGTTGAAGGTATCTGTAATGGTAATAACTATGGCATCATTGTTTTAGTTTATACTACGGACTGACCTCAGTTAGGTAGCTACTGAAAGTCAGGAGGCACTGAAAACCTTCGTTTTTGAATTGAATGGTTTAGTAGTGTGTATCCGCTACCCCACCATGGATAAAACCCAGAAATTTTAGATCTCATGATGAGTTCTTAACCAAGTCCGCACCCGACTGTTAAGGTTGAGAGCTCTACTCAACTCAAGATATTGAGCAATTAGTTTGTAATACATCTGACAGGTATCTGACCATCACTCGACATAGTTGAATCCCACTAGTGACAGCTTCTCATTAGAGCCATTTAATTTTGACCCAAAGGTAAAAAGTGCAAGTATTATAAGATTTCAAGGTCTTCAGTTCAGTACTCAGTGAGGTCACGGATGCACACTGCTGAAGATCCACGTGCTAGGAGCAAGCAACTGTCCACTACTACATGTTTTCAATAGTACCCCAACTGAGGTCGTTCTATGACGAACACAACGAACAGATTATGTGAGCAAAAATATTTTTATCAGTAATACTCATAAAATTATCATGTTACTTCTATATCTCTTTCTGATGGCTTCTGACGGTTAGTATTTCTTTCTTTCTCCAAGGTTTTCATTTGATCGATCTGCTCCTCTGGGGACATAACTCTAAAACGTTTCCTAAAAAATGAAAAGGTTAGATAGTATTATATTATAAACGCAAAAATATAAGTTCAAGATCTAATTTAAGGTAGAAATTAACATACTTATATGATCTAAGCTGGTCAAAAGTGAAAATATATCATTACAGTGTCGTAAAGACTTAAATAATGCTAATAAGATTGAAAGACATGTTTTAGTCCAATACAAAGAGCAAGGAAAAATTCTAAAAGATCTGGGCAGTAACTGCAGATTACAGATACAATTATTCACTTTTCAAAGATCAAATTACAATTCTCGATCAAGATGAAGTGAAAAGTAGTTTAAAGAGTTTCAATTCAGGTAGTATGGATCCCTTAAATATTTCACTAATTTTAAGACATTCATCAGCAGTGATTAATCACAGGTCGAATTTTCCATGTCCGCTCGACATTTGTTAATTTTTGTGAACAAATAAGTACATGAATGGATCTCGTGGAATGGATCACTTTGTATTAATATGCTATCGGAAATATAGTTGTCGCAGTCAAACACCTAAATATTAATCTATGTATTTTACGATAGCTATTGAACTTATGAAGAAATCTTTTGGACGACATTTGCTAGGTGATAGCTAAAGCTGAGACCGTTCTAAGTATTTTTCACGTAAAATCATCTCTATTTTTGCAAGTAACGATGGAGGAAACTAAATCAAATAGATTCTGTAAGTACCTGAACATACAATCAATTATTGGCTGTACATGTTAGTGTTTTGTTTTCAGAATTCCCAACATATTAAACACTAGAGTTTTCTGGAAACAAACGGGTTCAGTCGATATATTTGTTTGAATCTTGAACACAATGTCAGGAAGCTTTTGACTACCTATTTCTTCGTTTCACGCTCAAAATCCTTCTATTTCTGTTAGCTTTCATTTTTGCGCCGTTGATAAGCATGAAAATACATTGTTGTTATGTTACCAAAATTCACTAACATGGAATCGAGTTGGGTTATTTTCAAGAATGCCTTCAATCATACATGTAAGCACGGTTAAAACAGTGCTATCGGCAGAAGACCTCTTTGTTTAGATGTTTCTTCAAAAATAGTGGAATTCTCTTCAATTAGATTTTTTTCTCTGTGGACACTTAGAAGCTCAAAGATTAAGTAATGTAAATATAATATTAGTTGTTTAAAACTACATTTCGTGAATATCCTAGTGTGAATTTGTGTTTTTGTTAATTATCTTAAACCCAGTGATTTTTAACACTACCATCCAGTGTAATCTAAAATAACTTGAGCGGAACATGAAACTTTCTTTAATTACCTGAGTAATAGGAATAAATTTAACCTGTTTTAAAGACCAAATTAGCTGTGACGTTTACTAGACATGTAAACATTCAATTTCTGGGGTTATATTTTCATGTGTTCAAAATATAAAGTACATATTTCTTATGCAAAGTTTTTTGAAGTGTTTGTGATAAGCACAACAATCCCTGGTGAGATGGTAGGGATTATGAAATAGGTGGTTACACAAATCGTAAAAGATATTTCAATAAAACCTTTTAGCCAGAAACTATATATTATATTAAAAAATTCAGATATCTGCTAGAAACTAAATTGACTGTGTAGCATTATATTTTATCTCGTTTTCCAGTTATTCTAAATGTTCTATGAAAATGTATTATGTTCTTTAGACTTTGGTCAAGATGACGTACTAAAAGCACTTAGTACTTTGAAAACGGAAAAATCAACAAGACCAGATGAACTGCACCAGTAAATATCGTGATAAATTGGACAATATACTGCTGCCCCACTGACCACAATATTCAGTATGTCACGTGAACAGGGTGAGTTACTTACGGACTGGAAGGATGCAATTGTCACTTTAATGCATAAAACAGGATCCGTAAAGCTTTTACCAAACTACAGACCTGTCAGACCCACTAGTGTAGTAGTTAAAATACGAGAAAGAATTATTAAAAATGCAAAAATAACATTCGTGGAGTTCAATAACTTGTTAAACAGCGAATAACATGGTTTCAAGATAGGAATAAACTGCACAAGAAACCTCCTTATAGCAAGAAAGCAATGAACAGAGGCTTTAGATAACGAAATATCAGTGGAGATTATCTACGTTGACTACAGCAAAGATTTGGTAGGATAACAAAAAATAGACCACTCTTGAGGCTGGAAAATCTAAGAATTCACGAACCTCTCTTAAAGCTGATAAAGCATTTCTTGGTAGGCTGTAGATAGAAATTAAGAATAAATCCTCAATGCTCCTTCTGAAAACCAGTACTTAGTGGAATATGGGAAGGCCCGTTTCTAGGCTCTTGACTTTTTATACTATTTCTAGGTGAATTCCCAAGTAAAGTTGATTCCCCGATACCACTATACGCTGAAAATGCTAAAATCTAGTGAGAAATAACAGGAGACACAGATTCATGTGCACTTTAGGCGGAATTAGATGTTCTGGCTAGCTGGTCTAAAAGATGGCTGATGCCTATTAACGTGGGCTAGCATGTCTACATGCAAAGTAAGAATGCGAGGGTAATTAGGTACAGCATAGAGGAAGATTTAGTTGAATTAGTCTGTCACACAAGCATTTTTGAGTGATAGTGAGCTATTATTTTACGACCACGGTCCAATGCCACGAGGTTGCAACCAAAGAGTTTAGAATCCTATGTGCTTCAAGACGAATATTTGCTGAGTTAGGTAGTAATATGTTTACTACAATGTTACACAAACTTAGTGTATTACAAACTTGAAAATGAGTTCAGGCTTCGAGTATCTGTTTAAAAGGTGGCTCAGACATCTTGAAAAACGTACAGAGAGCAGCTACCCACGCAATCATATAAATTCGGGGTTTACAATACAAAGGGCGGCTTGAGAAGCTAGACCTCTATATTCCGTCCAACCGCAGATTAAGAGGTGATTTAATTTTGATGTATGGAATTTAACTTCTTACTTACGCCCGTTACTCTTCGTGAAGGAGTATAGACCACTCACCAGCGTTCTCCATCCACCCCTGTCCTGGGCACTCTTTTCTAGCTCTTTCCAGTCGTTATTCAGCCTTTCCATATCTGCTTCTATTTCTCGACGTAATGTGTTCTTTGGCCATCCTCTTTCCTGTTTCCCTTCAGGATTCCAAGTTATGGCTTGCCTCGTGATGCAGTTTGGTGATTTCCTCAAAGTATGTTCTATGCATTTCCATCGTCTTTTTCTAATTTCCTCTTCAGCTGAAAGCTGATTTGTTCTCTCCCATAGTAGGGTGTTGCTGATAGTATCCGGCCAATGGATGTTGAGTACGTTGTGTAGACGACTATTTATAAATACGTGTACCATCTTGATGATGGTTGTAGTAGTTCCTCACATTTCGGCTCAGTACAGTAGGACTGTCTTGACGTTGGTATTTAAGATTCTGACTTTGATATTGGTTGCAAGTTGTTTTGAGTTCTATATGTTGTTCAATTGTAGGAATGCTGTCCTTGCTTTGCCAATCCTCGTCTTTACGTCTGCATCCGATCCTTCGTGTTCATTGATGATGCTTCTCACGTACGTGAAAGATTCCACATCTTCCAGAGTTTTGCCATAAATTGTGATTGGATTGTTGTTATCTGTGTTGTATTTGAGAACCTTGATTTTCCTCTAGTGTGTGTTGAGGCCTACTGATGCTGAGACTGTTGCTACACTAATTGTCTTCATCTGCATTTGTTCGTGTGTATGGGATAGGAGGGCTAGGTCATCTGCAAAGTTCAAATCGTCTAGACGACATATGCAATACTAAAGAATAATTTTGGACATGATATATCCGTTTTCTCTCTCTTCACTAGATTGAGACATCTCAAAAGACTTAGCAGGCGAGTAGAAAAACCAAGAACGAACAAAATACAAGTGGCATACAGTTTTTCACACCGAGTCATCAATTCTTGAAATCTACTACTCAAAGAAGTGGTTTCCGCTCCTTCAATTGACTAGTTCAAGAGAAGAATAGATGGTTTCGGAAACCTACTACAAAAGGGCTAACACAGGCTGTAGGTCTTATACTTTCAATACTTGACTTCGAAATCTGAATCTGACATTATATTAGACGGTTATATGTGTCTAAGCACATCAGCTTATTAGTCTTATGCACACGTGATGATAGACTAAAAATAAACACCTATTGCGAAAGTTATCATTTGACATACATTTTTTCAGTCGTGAACCCAAAGCACAAAAAAGCCTCATATAGAAATTTAAATCCAACAGATACATGCCAAAAATATTACTCTTATGCAAATTGTTGAGTTTGAGGGGATCACAGTTAGATTGCTTTTACCAGGACAAACAAGTAAAATGAAGACCAGATGTCTTACATGCTAAGTTAGAGATAATCAATTTTAAATATTTAAACTGAAAAATCCGTGAGCACTTTTGTCCTATACGCTAAACAAATAAACTGTGATCAGAAGTACATATGCAATCAGATACTCAGTGGTCAACAGAAACAACTGGAAGGACATCTTATCGAAAAAATGATACTAATCTAGCTGAGAAATAAATTTCATTTTTTCGGGGCTGCCTGCTGCGTTGGTCAACTGACTTATTAACTCTGAATCTGAAGACTGTGTATACAATGAGATGATTACAGAGAATTTCTAAAAAAGTGATTATGAGCATACCAAATTTGGTATGCCTGTTTGAAAGGCATGTTGCACCTCCCTACCTGCTCTTAGATTCGTCCTTTTCTTTTATTTTTCTGGAACGGATTTTAAATAATCCGTCACATTTTGCTAGACTTTGCATTGATAAGTTAGCAGCGTTTGGAGAAAAATTGTTCCCAATAGATTGACTAGGTGAGCGCCAGTATTTCTGTTCCTTGAAAGGGGAAGCTTTAGTCAGGGTAAAAGAATTCATTAAAGGTGGATGTGTAGCATTCCGTGTGACCATCTGGATACAAAGAAGTTTATCAAATAAATTGACATACAGCATACAGTGGCGATGGGACTTCGTGCTTCGCTATAGGTGGGAGTGGGGGTAGTTTCTCTGTTGAACTGCAACTAAATGTTGGCGTCGAGAGTCTCTTTAAATGTCAATATGAATTAATGAACTTTATTATTCAACAATTACTTCAGCTATCTCTTCATACTTCTTTAGTGACCAGTTCCTTTCAAAGCACTCTTGTACCTGTTAAAATAAACTAATGAAAAGACGGATTACCATATGACAGTTCTCAGACATTTTATTATTGCATCAAATTGGATGAATTACAAAATAAAATAATTTATTTTCGTTACGACTTCATAAATTCAGCGTTGCTATTCGAGATATATAAATTGTTTCGGTTTGATAAAACAAAGCTACACAGAGAACATGATCATAATAATGTGTTAACAATTATCTTGCATATTTGGCAGAAATTAGTTAAAATCAAGTGGTTCAGTTTCTTAAACATTGAGATATAGATGAACTGTTACATGATGAAATTAGTGTTTATAGCAGTGCGTTGAAGCTTCTACTTGGTGGATCACAAGTTAACTTGATGAGCACACTAAAAGTGTAATGTGGGGATGATGTATCGCTGCCAGAATGCAGGAAAACTACTGCCTGAGGGTGTGCTGTCAAGAATTCCTACCATATCACATTACGACAGAACTTGGCACGTTTCTCTTCTTTTAGACAAGTTGTATAGAAATCTGTAGTGTCAGTTATTATGCCAAGCCCATATACTTTATTCGAGCTTTCGGACATCCCATTCTATTCATGTTACTTGAGCCATACATTGACCTTGTTATTTATTCGCTTATCGATCTAGACTGTTTTTATATGAGCGTATATGTGTGTGCCCTTCTTATTCCATTAATCACATGTCTGTAGCTTTATTTTGTCTGACTATAAATATTGAGTAACACTTGACAAAGATGGAGTTGGCTTCCCAGCCATCTTCCATACGTGTCAAAATTGCTTTGTTATGGCTCTCGCTCGCTTAGCATGCGAAAAGGTCTACCTCATTGGTAAGCCCGCCGACGACGAACGCAACGCAGCAAGCTACGTCGATGAAGGAACTTCTGCACTCTATACGTTCGACGAACAAACTCAGCGAAGCCAGCGCAATCTCCAATCCGACGCAATCAGCACAGCCTGTGCAACATGACATGGACATGCTCAAGTCGTATTATCTTATCGATACTTTGTCCTCATGTCAATTATCCTCATTGATACATTTTTCGGATTGTTCCATTACGATTCAAATTATCATTATATGCTTATTATTACATTATTATCAATATCATGACCGAATGTGGAATTATTAATCTTGTTCGTGCTGTCATTAACTTATGACATTTTCGCAATCATATCACTCACTGAACAAATTACCATTTTATGAAAATTCCACTCTACGTAATGACATCTAAAACTCATTGGAATATTTCTATTCAAAAACGTGAAGTTTTCCTGCTTTAAGTGAGTTCTTTCCAATTTTTCATGTCATTTTGATCTAATATTGCATTCATTCACTTAGTCGAGGTCAGCAATTTATGTTATCACAACATACATTTTTCATTTCGAAATTGCCTCCTATTATGTCTGTGGATGCATCTAACTAGCTAACTAGTAACCATTACGCTCATTTTATCTATTCTTCCACGTGCATAACTACATGCTGCATCACTTATCACCAAAAACGTTATTTGAGTACTGCAACTACTATTCTATTCCCATCGCACTGCATATCGGAACATAGAGTTTAGAGCTAGTCTCTCAAAGATACACTCTGACTATAAATATTGAGTAACACTTGACAAAGATGGAGTTGGCTTCCCAGCCATCTTCCATACGTGTCAAAATTGCTTTGTTATGGCTCTCGCTCGCTTAGCATGCGAAAAGGTCTACCACAAATCCATTTTCATCTGCTTACATTCAAAATAACCACTCCTTTAAATAATAGTTCCTTTCCTCATTACTGTTTGAGGAATATCGTTAAAGTATGTCCTGACTAATGTATCGTCATCTGAAGGCTATCTAATTACAAAGCTGTGGCTGTCAGCTAATATTGAAGTTAATACGAAACGGTTTCGTTGTGCTTTCTTTTGTATTTTTTGGAGATTATGGGCAAATATTTTTCTTCCAAAACAATTATCGGATCTTTCTCTCATAAGACCCAGTTTGGTGAGCTAATTGCTGTCATAAATTCATCTTTCTTTTTCACAGTAGCTAACAGTGTAGAGCACTTGTTTTGTTCAATTGTTTCCGAAAACTGCTGATAGTTTTATTCCTTCTTATTCGCTTACTATAAACCTAGCATGACTTCCTCCAGGATAAGCAAATGCAACAGTGTGTGGTCTCGATCCTTGGAAAATATCTCAATAATATAGATTTCGGTGGCCTGTGTGTGAGGTGATGGACTGTGTTATACGTTGCCATTAAGCTGTCTTCGGTTACTGGGATGAGATGGCGCATAGAAACTGTAAAAAATGATCAAGGACATATAGAACCCAGGCCTCTTACTAAATGGTCAGAGTATGCTGTTCCTCCATAACTTCGGGCTCACGTGCTAGCTGACCTTTTGTCATCCCTAGCTGGAGATCTTAAGGTTCCCACGAGTACAAGTGGGTCCTCCTTATAACCAGCGGCTTCACTTAAACACCCTCAGTCTGCCACAAGCTGTAGTAAAAAAAATAGTCACTCGTTCAGTCATATTTAACCTGGTACCTATTAGCGCTAGGTGAAGTTGTCACATTATATGACCACCACAAGTCAAAATTATGAAGACAGATCTTAGATTGTTGGTTGTGTTGATAGTGAAAGTAATGGTACTAGGTAGGATGAAGTTCATAAAAACGAAAGTAGAAAAGGTATTAGTACTTTCCAAGATCTAAAATCTATGGAATAAAAAAGAGAAAATGCATCTTACCGACACTTCTGAGCTTTCTCTTCATAAATCTGTAAACTTTGATTACGGTGGTCAGGTGGACACCAACCAGACAACCCTAACCCACCTACGTGGGACAATCCAATGGTCAGTGACCTCATGTATTGTCGCTAAGTTCCCGCCCATGCATTCTAGCTTTCAGTCTACGAATACATCATGCAACATAAACGAAGGCGTACTATAAATATTTGTTATGCACCCCTGAACAATCTCAGCCGGTGAATAGTCAGTACCATTTCGAACAGTTTGCTAACTCTACGTAGCACCTAGAGCCGAAAGTCACCGTTACTCACTCCATATTCTCAAGAAAAAGGACAGTCGCTCAAAGACACATATAATTGAATACTCACAGCCTAGAAGCATGCTCTGTTCTTAAAAGTCATGCTTCAAAAATATAAAGTAGAACAGAGCAAACCACTGCGCAATAAAATTTTCTTTTAGTTAGCAGATGCAAATTAAACTATGTCAGGAAATGTCTTATGTTCACAGTAAAACCATTTTTAAAGTATAACGCATCTAAAATTATCCATCTATTTACTCATCAAACTTTCGTGATAAGTCATTGATAGGGCGCCAAAAGTTCTGCTCTGACTTGGGGAGTCGTAAATGGACTTTCCCAAACGTTCTAGCAAACTGATTATTTCGGCCAGGGAGGATGATATTTTTGCATTTATTCCACCACTGAGCACTCCAAAATGCCGTAGGTCACCTTCTACTACATAGTTGGCGGTTGTTGGTGATTAAATTGTTGCCCAGTGCAGATTCATAGGATACATAGTAGATCAGCCTTTCTTGATTGACATCAGTTTTTATACTTTTCACGAAGTGTTGTTGAATATTCATTGATTATATACTGTTACTTTGTCTAGTTATGTTTGAGTCTTCTGAGTAAAACGTTTCATTGGTGTTGACAATTGTTTTCAAATTCATTTAGTTTAATAAGACTGGATAAGCATTAAATCTCTTGGTCTCTGATATTTTCACGCAACAAAACCATGACTGTAACATTTTCAGGGGTTCGACGAGGTTCTTTTTCACATTCACTTCCGTGATAAGTTGCACATCTATTGTAAGCTTTCATTTAGTTTATGTTTTAAACGCCACACATTCAATTTGTCTTCATGGAAAGTTTGGGTGTCGGTTAGTCTATGGTCGTCGGCTTTAGGTCAGTAACTCATACTCGTTATAAGAAACATGAATAAACTTGACCCTATACATTCCGAACACGACAACTAACCGTCCGAGATACGGATTGTTTTGTTTGCGAATTGTTATTTTACAGTGCAAATAAAACTGTTGTGTCGTGATTATTCACATGGCACAGGCTGAAAGCTGTTGATCAGTAAGAATTTTTTTATAACTTGGTACAAACCAAAAACGTAACCATATATATCACAATAAACCTAACTTTTCATCTGTTAGTCATGGTTCAGTAAGTACGCCAGTTTCATATAGGAAGAACGCACGTTTGATCAAACTTTACCATTCCACGGTATTTTAGAAGCAATCGAACCTTGACGTTGATGCTGTCACAAGTATTCAGTGTTTGACAACGTTTCTACCAGTAACACCTAATATATTTCGTTACCACCCAGAGAAATCAAAAGACAGAGTCGAGGAGATCGGAAGAGTATATTTGGCGATGACCAATATATCGGAATTCTCTGATCTAATCTGACTAGCGATTGCGGTTGATGTTGAGCACGGCGTTAACACACGTGATCTGGTGCGGATGCACGACCGAGCGCCTTCAGCTAGATGAGTCCACTAAAACATATGGTCAGCATCCAATGTCAAAAACTTAGTGCTATTTCTTTTGGGGATTTATTTACCGCTACAACGTCACTATTGTTCTAGCGCTGAGTGCAAATCTGTAAGTACGTTTAGGGTGGGCAATTATGAGCTTATGTATAGTTTCCTCTTAACTAAGATGCATTTTTATGTTGCTAAGGCAGTTGCAGGTTGTTAAAGACAGTTCATTTGGGTCACTGGTACAGACTCTCAAACTTTATGTAAATAACTGGTGGAGAAAGCAAACAGAAATCGTGACAAAGTTTGGACACCTAAATTATATTGAAAATTATCATTCATTAAGTGGCATATGGTGTGTGTGTGCCAATTAGCCACAAGGTCAAGACGATGAACGCGTGGACAAATAATAGCAACATCGAGGACGTGTGACGAAATTTCATGTGATGCGATGAATATTCCTCGCCTAGTTTAGTTGAAAGTGGTGGAATTGTTTGACTTAATTAGTCATATATCAGCGTCCCAAGACATGAGAATCGCCCAGTCTGTCCCACTATAACATTTTAGTAAAGCTACCCTGCATCTTTCAAGTCTTCAGAGAATGGCCAAAATCCCACCAGAAAATTTTTTTATATTAAAGTAATCAGACTAGAGGGGTATA